TTTGGCAAGTGCCTAGCCAATGGGGATGAGATCCAGGGCGTCGTTTAGGTATGTTCTTGGCTAAACTTTTCCCTCTCGGTCTTCTCTCCCCCTCCTCCAAATTGCCCACCAGCCTCAGCCTCAGGTGCACGCCAAGTCTTCGCCAATAACCTTCTTCATGCCCGCCCCCCCCGGCAAGCCTTAGTTGAAAGAAGGAAGGAGGTAGATGGGGGCGGTGGAGAGGTGAGAAACACATAATCAACCTTGTAAGTTAAGTTGCGAGATATCAGACGAAAGGTGGGACCTGGGGTGAATGGGGCTGTGTAAAGTAGATAGAAAAACAAAAACGTTGTTGTTTACGTTGACGTTCTGCCGATCATCATCGATAAGGGGGACAGCTACAGCTCCACGGCTCCACGGCGCCGAGGTCCGTGGCCCGTCGCGCTCCGGAAGGCGGGAGGCTCGCGGCCGGGAAGAAAGCGACGATCGGTTCGCTGACTCGCCAAGCCGGACACCTCGCTTATTCTTCGGCGGGGGGTTGGTAGTGACGCTTCTCGTTGTTGGGAAGGTGCGTACCGGCTCGTCTCCCACTCTCCCACTGGTTACACCGCAGGCTGCCACTCGAAGCGAGGATCTGAGCAGGACCACGTAATCCTGTGATGAATCACTGCAGTCCGCTCTTTTGAGCCCGGAAAAGAGACAACGGAAAAAAAGAAGAAAGTGACGAGAATACGAGAGCTGGGATTTGAGGTCTTTCTCACAATTGGGACGGTTCTTTGATGTCTGAAAATTCCAATTTCTTTCCTAGAAAACGCCACGCTCAATGCAAAATCAAAGTACAGCACACTAACCCCTTTGGTGTGTCTTCTTTTTGTAACGGTTTTTGGATGGAACGTCTCTTCTCAAGCTTGCCTGCGAGCGTCTGGCTCAACGGCGAAGCGAGCTGGTAACGAGATCCATGGTAGGAAACTCTGCTCGGGCATTTGACTACTCTTGAGGCAACGACGATAGGAGATGGGTATAAAGTGCCTTGCATCTAGTCGCGCGTCTCTCTTGTCCCCCGAAAAGTTTGGAGGGAAAAAAGTCAGTAGTCCCCTCACTGGAGAAGCTCCTCGCAGGTCCAGTCCTCGTAGCTATTGGCGCGCAAGGTCAGCCAGGCATGGTTCGCGATAACGGTGCAGAAAGCCCACGAAGCTTGCGTGGACAGTCAGGGGGAGGGGGTTGTCGTCCGGCACTTACTATCCGTCGGGCATGTAGCGGCGCACGATGAGAGGGATCTTCTTCTCCCGGAGCTCCTTGATCGCGATTTGCAAAGGATCCGTCTCTCCTTCCAAGTCCACCAACACCGGCGCATTCATACTGATCCCATGCATTAGCTTGTTCTGTCCTCGTGCATCGCGAATTTCATCGCGGGGTATCTGCTTTTGGTGGGATTGCGGTTTGACGAACCTGATCTGCAGAGCGCGGGTGCCCAAGATACGGGCGCGCTCGTACTTTGTCATGTAGGGAGTCGTCGTGCGCTGGTCATCGGGAATCTTCTTGTCGCGGTGCGACTTCTCGTTGCCCTTGCCCGCGTTCGCTGCCGCAGAGGGGTCGCCCGATGCAACAACATTGTCCGCCTCCTCCTCGTCACCTTCTGCTCTTCCGACCTCCTCGTCGTCCGCAGGAACCTCGGGGTCCCAGTAGTCGGCGGCCTCGTCCTCGTACATGGTCTCGTCGCTGAATCGCGGTTAGCAGTCGCGCCACGGCCTGGATGACAAGCAAGTGCATGTATGTATTCTTACCCTCCGCCAACATCGTCATCGCCAAAGTCAGACATCTTGAGGTCTCAATTGATGGGATTGATGACTTCCGGAGTGGTGTGATTCATTGATACGTCCTGGTTCCTACGTTCGTCGCGTGTTGTCAGGTTGTCGCAAGCGGAGCGTCTGCTGGATCCAGCCGTGAAAAATTATTGACGAGGCTGCTGCGATGGACAGAGTTCCTATGTGGGTCCGCACTAGTCTTATCAGCACAAGGAAAAAGCTTATCCGGACCGAGTCGACCCCGGCCCCTCGTCCCGTGGCTGGTGCAGCGCACAAAATTTCGCCAGACCGCCCGGGAATCTGCCAATTCTGCCAGGAAATAAGTTCACCAGCTCTCGAAAACTTTGGCACATCGACCTCTTTTCTCATCGCCAAGGCAAGGCAGGCAATGCTCGTTTCCAATCGCTCGTCATGACGAAACGGAAGGTCCAAGGGGCTTCCGCCTCCTCGGATCCGAAAAGATCCAAGGTAGCGGCGCTGGAAGACACCAGTTGGTGAACCCGCTTTCGACTACACACTGGTGTGATTTGGCTAACACGATTGGGGGGAAAAGCTGCCAGCGACGACGACTACGATGATACCGCCAGCAACTCCGGCTCGACCGCCGACGCCGAGGTAGAGTCTGTAATGACAGGCCAGACCTCACTCACGACTCGATCCCGCAAATTCCCCTCAGATCTCAAGACCATCCCGTGCACCTACCCGGACTGCGACAAGACGTTCAACCGGCCCGCCCGCCTGGCCGCCCACCTCCGTTCCCATACGGACGACCGGCCTTTTAAGTGCACCTACCCCGGCTGCGACAAAGACTACCGCGAGGAGAAGCATCTCCGCCAGCACGTCAAGGGCTCTCACACCCAGGAGCGGGCCTACATCTGCACCCACGAAGACTGCGGCAAGTCGTTCCTGACGGCGACGAGACTGCGCCGCCACCAGGACGTCCACGCCGGCCAGGAGCGCTTCCGGTGCCGCGACTTCCCACCCTGCGCGCAGAGCTTCCGCAAGCACAACACCCTCCAGCGACACATCCGATCGGAACACCTGGGCACGCACGCATACCCATGCACGGCACCCGGCTGCGGCGCCGGCTTCGACTCTCAGGGGGCGCTACGGAACCATACCAAGCGCGACCACAGCGAGCCGCAATTCTGGTGTGAAGAATGCGGCGGCGGCGACGGCGAGAGCAAGATTGGATTCACGTCCATCTCGCTGCTTCAAGCACATATCCGCAAGGAGCACCTCAACTGCATCTTCTGCGAGTACAAATGTACCGGGCAGTGGGAACTGGAGAGGCACGTCGAGATGCGCCACTCAGGCATCCCCGTCGACGCCCGCAAGACGGTAGCCTGCACATGGACGGGCTGCGACAAGAAGTTCACCAAGAAGCACAACCTCACCGTCCACATCCGCACCGCACACGAAGGATTCCGCTTCGTCTGCGGCGAGGTCGACGTCGCGGGCTCCCCAGACCTGGAGACCTGGTCCAACGACCAAGGCTGCGGCGGAGGGTTCGTCACCAAAGCCAACCTCGAGGACCACATCCGCTACGTCCACCTGGGCCTGGAACGTCCGGTGCCGAACCAAAAGCCCCCCAACATCATTGACGATCTCGCCGGCACCAAGCGCACGATCCTCTGTACAATTCCCGGCTGCAGCGCCCGCTTCATCCGCCACCACGACCTCCAGGTCCATCTCGAGGACCACCCTCCACCGGTGGGGGCCGGCGGTGGCGGCGGCGGCGGCGAAGGTGACCCGCAGATGGACATCGACGCAGCCCTCGCCAGCTTCGCGGCAGGCAACCCCAACGGTGGCGAAGCCGACCTCGCGCCCTTTGACGGCGACCGCGAGATGCCGGAGCTGCCCTTATACGGCATCATTCCCGGCGTCACAGACTTTGTCGGCGGCGACCCGGGCGGTCCGAACGACGACTTCTGGATCGGTGCTGCCGACGACTTTGGAACGCCGCCGCAGACGTGGCAGGAGGAAGAAGCAGCTATGCGCGCGCTCATTGACGAGGACTTTTCCCAATTCGTCGATCCGGCGTGGGAAATATCGCCTAAAAGGGAGGGGGATGAATCAAACAAATCCAAAAAAGACATACCAACATGATTTCGACGACAGTATTAGATACCCGGCCACGGAAAACGGTGTGCCACGACAAAAAAAAGCCGATTAGACAAGATGAAGGGGTGGTCACCAAAAGTTCATTGCTTTTTACTTGATGAATACTGAATATACTATAAAGGACGAAAATGGAGGTGCTTAGCTACTAGCGCTCAGAAGATATCAGCAATACGTTAATCCAGTCGTTTCCCCTTTGATCACTCTCGTTTTTGTAAGAGAGGCATCAAGACTAGTAATCTAAAGGCCGTCATGGGGTGGAAGAGCCCCTATGGAAGGAATATCTCTCAAGTAGAATAGCACACTGATTGCCAGGGAACGGTACACCAAATGAGAAAAGCTTGGTTTGACGATAAAACCATGACGTTGGGTTGCTGCATGCTCAAACATCTTTACCGTGGAGGATTGAAAGTCATACTTACAATCTGCTGTATTGACCAGTATCTAGCACAATATGAGATCGGAACTAGCATAGACCAAAACTAAAAGACAATGATGCCAGCGCGCTGTTCATCTACTTACTTGAGCATTGACATACAGTCACTTCAGAGGATGGGAACGAAGATTTGCAAACAAAGATTCGCTTGCATTTGTCCAGGGAAACCAGGCTTTTCCTGAAATACGCTCTAACAGACATACAAGTGATTGATGCTAGCCCGTGTAGCCAGCATCGCCTCCTTCTGCTATATCCTATGTCTCCCTCCCCAGACCTGAGCCAGCCCCCTCTCATTTCCATTCCACATTGGCGACAGATCGTGACTGCCGTGTTCCAGGCAGATCATAATCTGGTATCTGCTGCTATGTTCGACCACAATCATATGCATGAAAGAGGTGGTGCCAAAATTTTGTGTGGTAAGTCTCCTCCGAGCTCTGGGATCGAGAAAACAGCCCCTGACCACTTTGCCAAACCGGCGATGAAATTATAGATGAGAAGAGACAAAAAAATGAAAATAGAATCAAGAATCAAGGATGAAGTGAGAAGACGTGAGATGCAATTACAACAATTAACCAATCTTTGCGCTATGTTCCTTTTGCATCATGTGCAGGGGATGAGAAGAGCGCTGGGAAGGACGCTATGAGAAAGGTTGGGTACTTCTAGTTGGCAACCTCCTCTTCGACCCAGCCGTTCAGACCACCTTGAATGGCAAGACCGTAGCCAGCGCCCATGCCGCCGAAGCTAGCCTGGTATTGGTGTCCACGACGCTGCTGCTGCTCACCGTCGTGGCCAGAAGGGACGCCGCCGTTCTCAAAACCAGGGTTCAGGGCAGGCAAGCTGACGGCGCGGTTGTGCTGACCACGACCGTTGCCAGGAGCCAGAAGACCACCGATGGTAGTGGGTCCGGGACCAGAGGCACTCTGAGGGTAGCCGTTCGAGATGCTGGCCGACTGTTGGTGGCCAGGTATGGGACCCTGGGATTGCATGTCGATGGACAGCTCGCTAGGTGATGACTGGGCCGTGCCAAACAAGGCCTGTTGCTGAACAGCAAGTTGCTGGTGCTGCTGGTGTTGCTGGTGCTGCGCTTGCTGGGAAACGTGGTTCAGGTACATCGTAAGGGGATGGTTGTTTGAACCGAACATCGTCGCTGACTGCTGAGGGGTGTTGCCGTTGGTGGGAGAGCCAGAGTTCTGGGAACCATTGGGCGGCGGCGACGAAACGCCATCGGTGCGAGGAGACTGCGCCTGTTGCTGGAGCTGACGGGGAGCGTTTCCGCAGCGATCCTTGCCGAAGTTGACCTTGAATTTCTTGTACTCGTCCTTGCTGCGGATCGCCTCAATAGCCTTGATAGCATTGGCAATGTTGGTAAAGTTGACAAACGCGCAGCTCTTCTCTCTCAGGGTGTTGACCAGCTCGATCTCGCCAAATTCGGAGAAGTCCTGTCTCAGTCGCTCCTCGGTCCAGGTCTCATCGAGGTTACCAATGTAGACGTTGCGAGAAGCTCCTCCACTAACAGCGAGAGCGATGGCAGGCGGCAAAGCACCAGAGTGCTTGCCCCAACCAATCTTGAGCCTGCGGTTGTGAATCATCAAACCCTGGAGGTTGCTCAAAGCGTAGAAAGACGCGGCGGCCGTGGGGTCGATGAACGTGACGAAGCATATGTGCTTATCAGGGATGTAACGGATGTGGTGGAGAAGACCTCCGCGCACAACGTTGCAAATCTCCTCAATGGTTGTCTCGGGGTGGATGTTGCCCAGGTAGATGGTGCGGTTTCCGAGGTTGTTGATGCCACCAGCGGTCGTTGCAACGGCAGCTGCGGCAACAGATTGCTGGGCCAGCGCATTGGAGATTACGTCGCGGTCTGCGCCAGTAAGCATGTGCGCATAGCCAGGCGCAATTCCCAGGTATTGAGCAGCGTTCTGCTGCTGCGTCTTGGAAACGTAGGCGCATCGGTCCTTGCCGTAGTAAACGCGACGAGGGGCCTGCCATTTGGGCTCCTGAGGAAGCTGGGAAACAGCCTTGATCGCATTGGCAATGGACAAGAAGTGAATGAAGGCAATGCTCTTCTCACGAACAATCTTGACCGTGTCAATAGCACCGAACTTTCCAAGGTCCTCGCGAAGCTCCTCCTCGGCAATGTCCTCCGGCAGGTTACCTAGGTAAACGTTACGGGAAGCACCCGACTGCTGAACAGCCAGAGCCACAGAGGTAGGAACCTGCGAAGGCTTGCCCCAGCCAACCTTGATGTCCTGGCCCTTGATGCAGAGCTTTTTCAAGATGGCATCAGAGTGGAAGTGGGTTGCGGAGCTAGCGTCGAGGAAGGAGATGAAGGCGCAGTTCTTATCGGGCAGAAGACGGACGGACTCGATTTGTCCGCTACGAACGTGACCCAGAATCTCCTCGGCAGAGGTGTCAGGGGGAATGTTGCCAAGGTAGACGGTGCGGCTGGTGCCAGTGACCATACCCGGGCCCATTGAAACGGGGGAGCTGGGCTGCATGGGAATCTGCATGTTGTTGAAGCTACCACCGGTCGGAGACTGAGGCTGGAAGAATTGGGGGGCACCGTAGGTCGAAGGAGAAACCATGGCCTGGTATTGCTGAGGAGACATGTTCTGCTGAACAGGGCTCTGCAGACCATTGTGCTGCTGCTGCTGCTGGCTCTGGTGCTGAGCTTGCTGGAAGCTCTGCAGGTTCTGGAACTGAGGGCTAGCGAAGGCCGCCGGGGTTCCAGGCTGGAAGGGGCTTCCGAGCAACAGCTGGGAGGGAAGAAGAGGCGTGAACTGCATGTCGAAAGCGGTGCCAGGAGTGGCCATGTCGGCGGCGGAAGGGGGCGCCTGCTGGTGCTGGTGCTGATGCTGGAGGTGGTTCAGGGGCTGAGTGTTGATGGTGGGAATGTTTCCACGACGGGGGTGTCTGTCAGCGAAGCCAGAGATGTTGGAAGTGAAAGCTCCGTGAGAGAAGCCAGTTTCGCTGTTGGAAGGCTTGGAAGCGTGGCCGAAGCGGTTCCCAGGAGCACTGGGGCCGCCTTGGCCGACGGGTCCTTGAATTTCCTGCATCCCGAGTAGATGCGGAGGGACAAGGCTGTCCCGACCGATTTGAGATAGAATCGCCGTTTTGAAAGATTAGACGTGCCCTGAGCAGGCACGAAGAATCGAAGATTGGCGCGTTGGAATGCTACGATATCCGAGGAATACCGTAGCGTTTAACGTGTGATTGGGTAGGTCTCAAAATCCGTCCAAGGGGCAAGCCAACGATGTCAGAGTCCAAGACAAAGGTGGAGCGAGACTGGTGGTGCTAGCTTGGTTAAACCAAACTATCAACGGGCCGTTTGGTGAGGTTTGTGGCGAAAGGGTGCCTGGTGCCAAAGTCGAAGTTGATGAATTATATGGATCGAAGCAACAAAACCTAATCAGGCGGTAAGATCGAGGCAAATGCGTTAGGTTGCGACTAGAAGCCTAGATATCTCCGTTGTTGCTGTAGAAAGCAATGTGGTGCAAAGTATTCCGAGTAAGTTTTGTCGGGGTCGGAGCAATGTTGGCCTGAAGCAAGTCGTATAGCAAGTAGGTCGAAGCAGCAGTTTGCAGTTGGTCAGCGAGCGTCGAGGATTCGGATCGGATCGGTATTGAGATCGGTGCTGAGACTGATCACTCCTTGCAGGCAGACCGGATGAAGGTCAAATAATTATGGACGAAGGATATACGGGCAGCGAATGTAGGAGCCAAGGTGAAGTGTCGATCAACACGACAGTATCGGTAACGATCGCATAGGCCAGTAAGTCGACGGCGGCGACGAGCGAAATAGCCGAAAGGGTGAAGAATAGAAGTTGTAAGAATAAGGATGAAGGCGGTCGGAGAGGAGGTGAAGAGGAAGGGAGAGGATGTAGGAAGGAGGTATAGGTAAAGGAGACGGGAGGGTGAAGAGGAGAAAGAGGTGAGGTTAGGTTAGGGGGGTAGAAGTCCAAGGGTGGAGGAAGGAATAGGAGGGAGACAAGTAAGGTTAGGTAACAAGAATAGGAGCAGGGAAGAGCCAGTAGAAGGAGAGAAGAAAGAAGGATAGAAAAGCTCAAGGAAGCGAGAGTGAGAGAGAGAGAGGAGCACGCACATACGCGCAAGGTGGAAGGGATGGAAAGAGGAAGAAAAAAAAAAAAAAAAAAAAAGAGGTGAGCAAAGGCGGGAAAGCGGAGTGAGGAGGAGTAGGTAAGGTACAGCGTAAGGTACGTGAGGTACCTACTCCGTATGTGAGGTACGGGGAGGAGAGGTAAGGGTAGCAGGAGGGCGAGTGGTGGACTATGGGAGACCAGGAGAGAGGGGACGGGGGGTTCGTGTAGGCGGTAGATTACCCAAAAGGGTCGAAAGTAGAATTGGCTGCGCTAAGTTTAATGAGACGGGCCAGGGATTACGGCAGGAGAACCCACAGTACGAGAGCCCACCAGTCACCAGAGGGGAGAGAGAGATCAGAGGCCAGAGATGCCAGAGACTAAGAACTAAGAGCCCGGGGGGATGGGTTGGATCATGGACAAGGACAAGCAAGGACAGTCTCTGTCTCGGTCTGCTTCTGCTGTCTTTCCAGCTGGTGCTGGTGATGGTGCTGTTCTCTGCTTCGAGTATCCAGAAGACCTAATGGCAGCTAACAGTTGCACGAGATGGGGGTTGAATGGCAGGGGAAGTGAAAAGCGGACTGATAGCATTAGCCCTAAATCTTTCACCCTGACCATCAATGGCCAAGGCCGTTGTCGAAGAGACTGGCCCTGGACCAAAGAGAAGGAAACAAGATGAAAGAGGAGAGTTGCGCAGGGCACCCAGAGGGTAAGGTGCTCAGTGCTTTGTGAAGTGTGCTATGATTAAACGTCCCATGTCGCCATGTACGGATACCTTTGCTTTCTTTCTCTCCCATTCACCCACAGCACGGCTCTGCTGGTACAACATCGATGACTTGGCTCTGCTCTGCTCTCTCCTCTGAGCCTGCTCTGCTTGCGTCTTCTCCTCCCTCTCTTGCTTTGCTCTTTCGTTGGCTCGGCTTTGGCTCTGAGCAGCATCTGGTCCATCCGCCCTCCATCACGAGTTCCCCATGACAGGAACCTGACACCGTCGGTCTGTGGTATCTTCGCCCTGGACAACTGACGTCCCTTTGGCGTATACCTGACGGTTAGACAGCAACGGAAAGGCGAGCCCCAAGTACGGAGTACCTGCGTCTGTATACCTAGTGAGGTGCCTGTGTAATTGATGAACGGCTTGCCGAACCGCCCGTCTTCTGTCTATGGTCTGTCTTTCATTTCCAGGGCAATACTCCGTACGGATACAGAGCATCTGCCAAGTGACATTTCCCACGCCAACGGGCCCTTCCCCAGGTGCATAAGACGGCCCCCTTCTTCTCTCGTGTACTTCGCTCTGGAGATTGTATATCAAAGATACTTTCAACGGCGTGATGGCCCCTTCTGGGCGCTATGCACGGTTGCATTTTAGGGGGGAAAGAGCAAAAGGGGGGGCACATGCTGCGATACGGGGGCCAATAAGACGAGTCATCTTAGCTCAAAGTACCTTCTCGTGGTACAGATACTCCATGACCATACTCCGTACCGTACCTGGCGGTCCTGACCTCGCAACTTGCAGTGAAGTGTCCACTGTCCAGTGCGAGTTCTTGCGGCTTTGCCAGCAACCGGTCGACACGAGCCCGCCGCATGCCGCACGGGGAGGAGAAGATGGGACCGGCTCAATAAACGAACTCGTCGCGGGTCGTCGGTACGTACCGCTTGCAGCATGTTCCTGGCTGATCAGGCCGATCTGCACAATTAATAGAGCCTCTGGCAAGGTACATCCGTACATGGCATGTACATTGCATAAGGCAGGCAAGCAATGGTAAGCAAGTCGTTTCTGGACTCTGGACTCTGGACTCCTGGAGAAGTCAGAATAGCCGCAGCTCGCCCCATTTCCCTCCCCTCTGATCTCCAGGGCGGCAACCGTTCCAACTGAGGCTAACAGCTGTCAAGAGGCAAGACAGGCACGACAGGTAACATGCCACCTTCATCTTGATTGAGGTCACGCAACGCAACTCTGCGCTGTAGCCTGCTGCAGCAAGCAACACCTCGAAAACCATCTCTACGGATGCTCTTAGTACAAGGTAAGGTATGGTAGGAACGGAGGCTCTCAGGTGGACCAAATCATTCTCACCAACTCCAACGTCTGACTCTGTATCCAAAGGTACCTACCAGCCTGCCTGTGCCTGACTTGTCTCGATGAACTTGATATTAATCGAGAATCGAGAGTTGCCAGACTTCGGTAGCTGCAGCCGCCGTCAATTTTAGCCAGGTGCGGCGGGTAGGGCCAGCCACAACCACGAGACTTGAGCATCGACCGTCACCGTGGTATTTTGGCTTACGCCAATGCCGCCGGTCCAACTTGTCGAATCATGAACGGAAGCACGGGGGCTACCACCTACCTTAGCCTTTGCACAGTACATTAGGTCCTACGATACCGCTTGGTGATGGCCAAGGCTCAAGGGAACCAACGAACGAAACATGCTCACGCTCCTATTCGCTCGCTCGCTCGCTGGTTCAGACTCTTGTGGCAAGACAAGACAGAATTATATCGGCTCAGCTATGACTGGTACGAGCTGCCGTGCCAGTCTCGTCTTGGCTGGTCAAGTTGATATTGCGAACGCTGCAAAATGAAGGGACAGTAATGGGCATTCGCATCATACGGATAATCATCCACCTTTTCATCTGGCCATCAACACTTCTTCCCAACAGACCAGCTAACGGCCAGTCCGGATACATCTCCATATACCCGTTCTCCGCCCACCCGTCCGTTGTCACCAGCAATGCGACGCTTCGATTTCTTAGTCTTGCTTATTATCCACATGAACAGCTTTCATCTTCCCCCCTGTTTGGTCCCCTTTTTGGCCCCCCTTCCTTCGGATTCCCCCTCGGGTTGGTCCCCCATTTTCGATGCTCAGAGTCGGAGGCAAGCCGCAACCAGAGCCTCGTGAGTTGTCTCCGTCAAATAATCGAGCTGATCACTGGCCTGGAGCAGAGTGACGCTGGCTTGAGCTCTGGCCGTAGTGTCTTGGATTGTAGCCTGGGCAAACAAACAGGCATTCCACCGAACCTTGCTCTAGAAACAGAGCTGGTCTCATTCGAATGTTGCCATTGGTATCCGGACCTCGTACTGTCCTGGAACAATACCGTGAGCTTCCGATCTGGACGGAGATTTTGTGCTATTGCACAGCCAAGATGCGGATATTGCATTCCAACCATATGGGGGGGGCGTTTTCTTTGCGCAGATTCCCGACCCCTGCTCATACTACAAGGCGAGGTACTCTCTTTCCCCTGGCCTAACCGAAGACACCGCGCCGCACCCGACATGGCACTTTAATGCGGTACTTTGAGGGTACATTGCTGTGAAGCTCCTCGCTCCGTGCGGGTGGCCCCCCTGGAACATGGACCTTCCTGTCCCCCTCCACCTGGCCCCTTCCAGCCTCCCATCCCTACCTTTCCCCTTGCCTCCCACCTGGCCGACAAGCATAGCCAGGGGAAGGCACCACCTCTTCTGGCTTGGTCTGTCCTCTTCTGAACAGCCTCCCCGATCCATCCTCCAAGCCTCCAAGGGTTCATCTTGCTCTCTCTTTCTCTCCACCCCCCCAAGCCGATGGATCATGGAACTGACAGCCGCCTTTGCCAGCAGCAGCAGCAGCAGCAGCAGCAGCAGCAGCCAGAGTTCACTATTCGCTGTTCACAACCTCTGGCAGGCTGGCTCACGTTGCTCCACCCCTTTTTTTGCTTTCCGTTGCTGGGGTCGTGGCTAGGAGGTACCTGCACACTACATGACTACCTCCTTACGCAGCGCGGGCATGTAGTCTAAGCCTCGCCGTTTTGCACTCTGCTGCTGGTTCGGCAGGGTTCGTACCCAAATGCTATGATAATGCTGCAGAAAGGTGGTGTTCTGTACTCTATAGCCCTCAAAGACTCCCCTCAGAATGAATAGAGGGCAGGAACGGATAGTAAACCATCCATCACGGCCTCAGACAGTTGCCTCCAGATATACCGAAAATGGTGCTCTTCAGCTGATACGACGCCCTGCATTCTGTATATCCACAAAAGGTACGGAGTACAAGACGAACATCTAACAGTAAGGTATATGATCTCCTGGAGCGTGAGGCATGCGACTGCGCGGCATGCTGTCCAGCTGTCGTTCGTTCTTTCGCTCGTTCGGATTCCCCATATTGGATGCGTCCCCCTCGCCCAAGCCGCCCCCCATAGGCCCTGTCTTGCATCGACTCTGATGAAGAATTGAAATTGCATCAGCTGCATCTCAATCTCATCCACCACACTCTTGGACTTTCGCCTTGCCCATCACGCTTTCGGTTCTCCATTCCTGACGAAACTCGCATAGCATTATCCGACTCCACGTTACATATTGTCAAATATCGTCGATGATGTGCCAGACCTAGCTTTGCTTTACGGATACACTATGGATACAGTCTACTAATCACACGTAGGGCTTGCTTCCCCTCGGTACGACAGGTTTCGCAGACTAAAGTAGAGCCTCCAACTACGGACACTTTTCGCTGTACCTTGCACAAGTGGTAGCTAGTGGCTTTGCACTATGCAAGGAACACCATTCATCGACTCTGATCCGTACGGATACTCTGAGCGGACACTTCTAATGTGATACAACGTGGCACATGAATACGGATCGCCAGCGGCTTTGTCGTCGGAATAGCCTCCTTCTTCGACCTGGCAGCCGCTTTTACTCCTTGCAGTTGTGGTTGCTGCATCCGTGTTCCAATATCGAAACCCTTAGCCTCCACATCTCCAGCTATTCGGATGAAACGCGGTTGCAAGGAGCCCAGGTTCGTCGAAAATAACCCCAGACTGTCACGGAAGCTTTGGGACAATCAGGTACGGAGTACGAACTAGAAGCTCGCGACTTCAAACTTGTCAACCGGCCTGGGCCTGTCTCTTGTGGCTTAGCTTCCCGATTGTATCCGGAATCCGAGGCCAACCTGGCCTAGGCTAGCAATGAGAGAAACAACAGGCAAAGTCAAGTTTGAATACGCGATACGGATACAAACCTCGAAACTGCTTGGCACCAAGCATTGTCATGGGGCAGTCGAGCACTACATATTTTGGCTGGCGACAATGGCACACGATCGCCATCTCTGACCGTTCGAAAGACTTCCGAGCTCACCGTTACCTGATGCGTTTTATCTTTGACCTACCTCGCCTACGGAGTACAAATCGTCACGGCTGCAAAACCTCGCCCTCGGGATCAGCCAGAACCATAATTCTACTTTCCGTCTGAATCGCCGCAGTTTTCAATGGGCTCTGTCGGCGGCCCTCCGAACACACAATTTTCGGTTGCCTCGTCCTATCCAAACACAGGCTTACGTTCCACGCCTCGTTCATTGGGCCGCCCTTGAAGCGAAGAAAGACGAAAGAAGTATGCCGCTCAGTGCTCTGCCTCACATAGCCGCGATGTGTATCCGTACGAAGTACTGCATGGCACCAAGGCAGCTAGCTCATTGCCGCCGGTCCAGAAACCCGAGTACAACGGTCTGACCCCTAGATGGAAGTTTGAGCCGGCAGCCAGCTGCAAGCAGGATCCGCAGCGCCGTGTTAGATCCGCCTTGCATCAAGTCATTCCTGGTCCATTTAATTCTGACATCGGATCATCAACAGACCACGCAACTGTCCATCTCACCTGTGTCCTGTGGACCGTCAACGATTCCCTGATCTACATTCTTCCGAAAAGACATTATTGTGTACGGATACGCGCCTCGTCTCTGGAACGTTAAAACGGGGCGTGATTCAAAACTGTCCTCGAGTCAAGAGTATGGACGCCGATCGCAGTATCAATATTCAATATTGAGCAGCGTCGAGCTCATTGGTGCCATAGTCCGGCATGCGCCCAAGAAGCTCTCCGTCAGCAGCCACTGTTGCAGACCTGAGTTTTAAGCTTCGCAATTAGCCTCTCTGAATGCTACGCTACGGGCCTCCTTTCTCGACTAACTAGTCATGTCTACGCAACCAACCAACACTGACAATCCCAAGCTGGGCCAGGGTATCAACCGAAAGCGCCTGTTTGCCTGTTGTTTATAAGAACTGACTGGGCTATTGTTCAGCCAGGATCTTCTTGTATCACGGTTCTCCAGTCGGTGTCCACATTCTGATTTCTTCATTTGCTGTTAATGTTGCCGGCCATCACCTGAACACATACACTATCTCGGGGCGATCGCCAGAGACGCGAATGCGTGCGCGATCTGCCGTATTCGTCTGCGGATGCAACGATACCTATATTGATGTTTCCAACTTTCCATGTACGACGGTTGAGCCGCCGCTTAAGGTTAACTCGCTTGTCGGACGGGTTCGATACTTGGGCGTCAGACATTCCAGAAAGGTAAAGAAGTCTTCTTGAATATTCAAGCTCTAGAACCTCTGATGTCGGACAGGTGAGTAGGGAGATGCGCGAGATTATTGAGGTGTCCGATTGGGCGGGCCACTTACACCTCTCTTCACGGTCACCGCTCAGCTCTCAGCACGCCCCTATCTGCACAGACATGATCTGAATACAGAAGACAGCCTGTACCACTCGTCGCCGCCCATATTCCTTTTGAGATGGGATTGTATCGAGACCTTCTAGAAGGAGGTCTGATGTGGGTAGCTTCAAACGCAAGGTCGGCCGAGCAAGCACGAGCTGCGAAGCTCTTTGACCATGTTCGGACTCACAGCGCGCACGTTTGACGAACACGGGTCATGGGGCCCACCCAGTCGTCGACCATTGCGGCACATCATCCCGTTCGGAGCCGGGCCTCGGTCGGGCAACGATCTCAAGACTCTTACACGTCGACGTTGGGCGCAGGGACGGGGAGAGGGACGAGGGAGAGTTTTTGTCTCTGACACTCCTACCGGCAGTTCGTGTTAGGTTCGGCCCAGGCTCTCTGTCTCACGACTTTGGCTTCGACTTTGACAGCTTCCTTGCGTCCTCCCATCTCGTGGAGGGTATCGGTCCCTAGGGGAGAGGTTATGCTGTCGTCGTCGGCCACGGATCGCGATTTGCTGGTGACGGTCCACCGTCCGTTGACCGGCCGAGAATAAACGCAAAGCAACACAGCCGAGGTGGATGTCTCCCCCATTAGAAGGCTCCAAAACATCTTGTCGCACACTCTTTCCTCTTGAGTCACATGTGTTCAATAGCTCAAATCGTTTTGCTGTCTTTCTCACTGGAGTTGAGCGCCCCGATGGAGATTGGTTGTGATATTCCGTAAACTCCTATCTAGCCCACCGACACCGTCTCTTGGTACCCTTTGCAGCAAATCGCTGTCAAAAAACCATTGCAAAGCCCCCCGTCGAAACCCTGAGTGATCTCGCTCGTGCCTCAGCCGCAGCGCTTTTTAAAGCACGCCGGGCTGTAATTTTCTTCCCCTGTCGTACTCATCTCTCTCCCTCTCTCCCGTATCTCTGTCTTTCTTCTTCTTCATCGAACCTTACACTCTGGCTAATCCTCTAAGGCTTGCAGCGTCCCATGTAGCGGGGGTACAAGCATGTCGTACGGACGGTGTGCTGGTTGGCCATCCAGGCCAGGAAACGCTCTAGGCCGAGACCGTAGCCGCCGTGGGGAGAGGTACCGTACCTGAAGCAATGTTGTTAGCATTTTCCTCTTATTTGGGTGACCAAACAGCTTCAAGAGGGTTCAAAACTCACTTTCTCTGGTCAGTGTACCAGTAGTAGTCCTTTGACGGAATTCCCTCTCTGTCGTAGGCGGCGAGGAGCTCGTCGTAGCCCTCCATTCTCATCGATCCACCAACAATCTCTCCGACGCCGGGCATCAGGCAGTCAACGCTCTCGGTGACACGCGGGTCGTTGGGGTCCTTCTTCATGTAGAAGGCCTTGATCTCGGTGGGGAAGTGGGTGAGGAAGATGGGCTTGTTGATGATGTCGGTCATCCTGCGCTCGGCGGCCTCAGCAATGTCGTCGCCAAACTTGTGGGTCTCGCCGTCCTCGTTGAGAATAGGGGGGTCTTGGGCGTTAAGCCAGTCAATGGCGTCGGTGTACTTCATGCGCAAGAAGGGGCGGACGGGCTTCTTGAAGTCGGGGTTAAGCTCCTTGACGTATGCGGCGATCTCCTCGTCGGCCAGGACGTTGTCGATGACGCGGCACATGACCTCCTCGAGATGGGCGAGCAGGTCGGGGAACTCGATGAAGTCGAGCTCCGCCTCGACGTGGGTGTACTCTGACAAGTGTCTGCGGGTCAAGCTGCGCTCGGCGCGGAAGGACTTTTCGATGCAGTAGACGCTGCCCAAGCTGGGGAGGACGGTCTCGAGGTACAGCTGGGAGGACTGGGTGAGGTAGGCAGCCTCGTCGTAGTAGGGGACGGAGAAGAGCGTGGAACCGCCCTCGACCTGGGTCTGGACCAGAGCTGGGGGGGAAACCTTTGTCATCTTGAGGTCCTTGTAGGTCTTGGTGAAGGCCCACTCGACGGCGGCGCGGATCTTCATGATGGCGGACGCGTTGTCGCCGCGGAGAACCAAGTGGCGGCTGTCCAGCATCTGGGAGTCCCACTGGTTCTGCAGCAGCGAGACCTTGTTGGTGATGGCATCCTCGTCCGAGGGTGAAGTACCAATAACCTTGTAGTAGTCGACGTGGAGTTCACGGTTATCCGGGGCCGTCTGTCCCTCGGGGACCTTCTTCAGCTCACCGTAGACCCAGAGGGAGGTTCCCTGAGCAAAGGTGAGGGCGTCGTACGTCTTTGTGAGGTCGCCGGCCTGGAGCACGCACTGGAGGTGTCCGTAGCCGTCGACGAGGGTGATAAAGGTGGCCTGCTTCTGGGCGCGCAGCCTGTGGATGCGGCCAGCAATCTTGACGCGGTCGCCCTTCTTATCGCCCTCGCCCAGCACGACGGTCTTGTCGGCGATGGTGATGCGCTTCGCGGCGGGCAGGGACTCGTCCTCCTTGATGACGATCTGCTTGGCGGTCTCGAGGGCCTGCTGGCGGGCCTTCTTCTGCTCCTCCTCCTTGGCCTCGATCTGGGCCTGCTTGACGAGCTTCTTGCGGTGGGCGTCGAGGGCGGACTGGGCCTTTTTCACGGCGCTCTTTGCGGGCTCCTTCCACTCGAGGCGGGCGGCCTCGTCGTCGCCCGTCTTGGAGGCGCGGGTGAGGAACTGGCGCGAGGTGAAGTTCTCGTTGTTGGCGATGTAGGCGGCGGCAAGGGACTTGAAGGGGGAGGACTCGGTGCCCTGGGTCGAGGGCTCGTCGGCGCCGGCGTCGGTGTCGACGTAGACCTTGTCCTCCGTTTTGGGACGCTCGGCCAACTCTTGAGGGGCGGCCATGGTTTGTGGTCGGTTGAGTTTCTAGAGGATGAGTAGAGTTGCGTCCGTCGACTGGTGACTCTTCAAAGCTGGTAATTTGTGTACAGTCGAGGTTTTGGGAAATTTTTGGGGACAGTTTCTGGATGGCGGGGTAAATTATTCGGATTGAGTTGGTGGGAGGGAGGGGAGGAGGGGTCCCGGAAAATGCAGGCGGGAGAGAGAGGGTGACCTGGTCTGATGTACACTACAGCGTTGGGTATCTTTTTTTTTTTGTGACTGTGCTGCGTGAGTCACTTGCAACTGGAAAGCCAGTAACAATTGGAACAGGGAAAGTAATCAGGAGTTGGTATTACAGAAGAGAAAAAGTACTGCAATTGAGCTCAGTCAAACGATGTGGCCTTCTTTATTTAACGCAGACTATCCGTACCTGACCTCACGCGTTGCTCGAAGCTGTGTGAGTCACCTCTGTTGGCTTCCAGTGTCTGGGGTTTGTTACAGTGCAATATACCTCGACCCCCTTGATACCGTTGCTCCCCAAGGTCACCGCCCGGCGCCCGGTGGTGGAGGGGCACCGAATGTTGTTTAAAAGACGTTGCGTGGTTACCTTCCCAAAAATCAATTGAGCGTTGTAATTGCTCAGAGATAAGGGAGCTCGGGCCTTACCTTACGGGGGCCCTCTTTCTCTTAATTATGAGCCCGCCCGTTTGGCATTTGCTGAGGGTTGGGTTCCGAAGATAGGCGGGTGCGTCTCCGTATCTATGTCTGCTGGACCCCCTTGACTCGAGCGTCTAATGACGGGCATAACAAAGTGACAGTGAGGCGATTTGACTCCTTACCTTGGGTTGGCGGTGAGAATGCTGGGAAACTGAACAACCTTTATGTTTGGGTCAAGGGCAAAGGGTCTACTCCGTAGAATAAAATTTGTCCTTCTTCGTGGTACATTACTTCTCCCTAGGCAAGACCCGGATTACACGCAAATATTGTACGTTGAGGGTCATTACCTACCTACTGGGGCTATAAGAGAAGTTCGGGAAAAGGGAAAGATGTCATGAAGCTTGAGAACACTCTTCATAGACGAGTAGTCTCTGGAGGGTCGTAGCTGATGGCATCTCATTATGTTCATAGCCAATGACTTTTATCCATTTCATCTTCTCGTTCTCGTCGTTCTTCGTAGGAAGATGTTTTACATGACAAATCGCTCTGAGATACCCAGCGATTGATGGAGGTTGTGATCGCCTGCCATCTTGAGTCCATAACATCCAACTTCGAGCTTCGCTTCGCCCACACCATTACGGTGAACATACCCGATTCCATCATTCCCTCCTAATCATCCCACTTCTCCTCCTGGCTCCCGGAGACATGCATTCTGCATCTCACCAGCGAGCGAACCTCCTTTCATCAAATGCCAGGCTTCATCCCATCCGAGATCATCCCAACTTTACAACTCATCCTTCTCATCAACAACAGCAGCAGCAGCAGCCTTGCCCTCCTTCCCCATCCCTTCAAGTCCCTTCTTCACCATCGAGCTCAGAACCTCATACACAACCTGCGCCGCCGCCAACGCAGTCTCCTCCCCAGCATTCTGATACGCAGGGCTCACCTCCACAACATCAGCACCAACAAGATTCAACCCCTCGATCCCTCTCAGAATACGAATCAGCTCGCGCGTCGTCCAGCCACCGGGCTCAGGCGTGCCCGTCCCGGGCGCGAACGCCGGGTCCAGCACGTCAATGTCGATGGACAGGTACACCGGGTCCTCGGTGCCCAGCGTCTCCATGATGGACTTTACGATGCCCGCCGTGCCAATCTCGTCAATGTCGTCGGCGGCGATGCGTACCCAATTCTGCGCCGTGTCGTCTTCGTGGTCGGCAAAGTCGGTGCCGGAGAGGCGGGTGCGAAGGCCTGCGTGGACCGAGGGCTGGCTTGAGGCGTTGGAGAGAAGGCCTTCGTTGCCGGCCATCCAGAACATGGAGCCGTGGTTGAATTGTGTGGCGGTCCAGTAGGAGGGGTACTTTGCCGGGTGCCAGGTGTCCAGGTGAGCTGCGTGGTTCGCGATATGTGTCAGCTCTGCTATCCCCTTCTCGAGCATCTGTGATCCCAGTCTTTCACCCCCTCCCCCCTTTCCTAATTTCCTTCCACTTCCCTCACTACACCCAGAAAACCCCACCGAAAAGGAGACACACAAAAACTCACCATCAAAATGCAACACCCTCAACGGCGCCCCGTATGCCTCCCTCAACGCCCTCAGCGCGGGAAGCGCGAGACTGTGGTCGCCGCCGAGAGTGATGAGCTTCGGCCTGCTCAGCGAGCTCGACACGGGCCTCCGCTGCCCGAGCTCCTTGAAGGCGGCCGACATCTGCTCCACAGCGACGACATTGTCCATGGGCGTGACGGGTATGTCGCCGCAGTCGAGGATCGTGGCCCAGTTGGCGTACGGGTTGATGCTCGCGCGCGGGTTGAAGCCGCGGAAGGACGTCTGTCTGCTCGAGGCCTGGCGGATGGCGCGGGGGCCGAAGCGGGCGCCTGAGGAACTTGTCAGTATGGACAATTCCCTTGAATATTGAAAAGGAGGAGCCCGTGGATAGAGTCGGAGTGGCTGTGCGGTGTGCAATGTGCCGTTGCGGGATGAGAGAAAAAGGGGGTGTCTCCTGCTCACCTGGCCTGTAACTAACAGCCGTATCAAACGGCGCACCGATGATGGCGATATCGTACAACTCGGACGGCGTTGTCAGGCACTTTACATGCTTGAGATGAGCGAAAGAGCCGATGCCCGTGAATCCTAAATCGTCTCGTGAGCCCCCAAACGCCTCGTCACGCTCCCATTCGCTCTCTAGTGACTTTTACTAACCCCACTGAACAGTGATCAGTTAGCCCCCGTTTCTCATCTCATCATCATCATCAAGCAAGTCAATAACTGCATCGAAATCCAACTAACCTCGAAACCCCATTTCGCTTCCAACTCATCCAGCTCAGCCTTGGTCCACTCCTTGTCATCGCCGTGGTTGCCGCACGCGGCGGCCAGGAGGGCCGACGAGCAGCCCAGCAGTAGAGTCGTCAACTTCATGACGGTAGGGTGTTGTGTATCTGTTCCGTTTCAAGGTCTTTCTTGTGATGTTCCGGCACCGACTCGTCGTGAAAATCCCAAGACCAAAAAAATTCGTGAGAGGGCTGTTGGGTGTGACTGGGGAGCAAAAGAACAAGGAATCTCAAATTCCAGCGAGTCTATCGGAAAAGGTAGCGATAAGTCTAAATTATAAGGAAACCGGGCCCAAGGTATATCGGGGACCGGAAGCGTCAAGAACGGGGACACCTCGACCGGCCCGGCGCGGGCTTGACGTGCACGACGCCCTTGTGGTTGTCGAATATCCAAAAGGCTAGACCGACACTCGCTCCACGTGTATTCGGGGGGGGGGCTTCTAGTTACAAAGATCCGCCCATTGTGTACTCATAATTGGCCAATGGTACTACACTTGCCGTGTTTTCCCTCCCCTGGTTGTGAGCTTACTTTACGTACAATCACATGGTGGGCATGGTAATACTATTGTATTCGATCCCAGCGGAGAACGTCCGGCGGGGAGGGGAATAGGTAGAAGGGGGGCGCGGTAAGATGTGGGGTTCGAAAGCTGTCGATAACGGTATCAATCGTCCGAAGAGTGAAGACCCCGCCGATGCCGGTAGACTGAGTAAGGAAATAAATTGTCAACGAATGCATTAGACTAGAGGAAATGCTTGGATGCGACGCGCCGGCTCTCTCCAGGATGCTGGCAGCAAGGTAGACGGTAGGAGGGGGGATTGTATGACGGGCAATGCGGGGTTCGCATGGCCGCCGGCGCCGTGGAGCAGATGAGTCCCGGATATGTAACTATACGGTATCCGATCTGATCCCGGAAAGTGGAGTACCCCGTTAAGAGTGCAAGCTGATGTGAGGTGGACACACTGAGGAAAAACGTCCAATCGCAAAGGTGCGATTTTGAGGTGCCGTTTATCCATCATCGTCAGCGTCCCAAGTTGTAGTGGATGGAGGGGGGGCTCTGCGGGCTGCGGGCTACAGAGGTCCCTGAACCATACGCTCATAGAACCTACATACAAAAGCGACTCTCCCCCAAGCAACTCCCTAGATCCCTCGAATCCTGAACCACAACCCGCATCTTCCATTATTCCTCTTAGAACCCCCCTCCCCCCTGGTCTACTTACTTAAACGTCCTTTGCCCTTTCCATCCCCCCCAAGTCCCCCAGGTTCCCCAGGGAAACCCCATGAATGCCCTCGTGGCGTTCGCAACGCGTCTCGAACATAGCCTCCGTCACGGTTGCGGCAAACTGCTACCTAGGCGTGCTAGCACTGCTAGGTAACGTCTGATACGCTGGCACGCTGCTGGTGCTGGTACGCGGAAACTTGGAAGGAAATGGATGAGTGGGGTGTATGGCTTCGGAGGCGGGTAAGACAAGAAGTGCCTCCTCCTGTCTCTGTCTCTGCCTCTGTCTCCCCGTATCTCTTTCTCGCTCTCTCCACCAATGTCGCAATGTTACTGTTCGCTCCGTTGTCTTCATAGAAGAAGAGGCCCGGGAGTCCCCGGGCGTGAGCGTTGTGAAAACCCGTTGGGGAACAGAACGGCACCATTTCCAAGTTCCTTAACCGCATCTGTCTCGCATTGATGACCGATTCGATCGGATGGACGACGGCGCGCCGAGGCTGCGACGTCATTCTTTTATGCAGTTCCTCCCCCATCCCCTTCCCCTCCCTACTACCAATTGTAATCACCCTCCAGACCCTTTCCACCACTGTTGGCCAAAATGGTCGGGCGGCCACACGCTCTCAGGCAGGTGAGGGGTCGTTGGTGGTCTTTGCGCTAGCCATCGCGCCGCCGCCGTAATAAAATAAAAAAGTCAAGTAGAGTTTGAAAAAGGGCGCAGCTGGACTCGAAAGAACATTCCAACGACAAGATTGGCAACGTTCGGGCATCCTACCTTGGAAAGTCCTGAGCCGACGGAACGAACGTAGGGCGCGACTCAACTAGCCCATAATTGAGCATGCTTTTCGAACAAAAGCTACTGCCCACCGTCCATTACTTGCCGCTTCCAACATGCCCTCTATGCCCCGCAACGTGCTGAAGATAAAAAGATGTGAGTGAACGGATGGCGTGTACCGAGGCGGGCAGCAAGCGGGAATGACTCGCCTTGTCGATCCGATGTTGGAGGCACTGTTCCGCCCACGCATGTTAAACATCAATAGTCAGTGGGTGATGATCCCCACGAGGCATTACCCTCCAGTTGATCGGTGCTCGCTCAGCGCGGGCTATGGTTGTGGAAGGGGGTCGCGTACAGACACTTTGGGGGTTCAGTGCGAAGAAAAAAAGACCATCGATTTAAAGTGCACTCCAATCGCCAAACTGTCCTATCGAAGTATTCCTGCCTGCGTGATGAATTTACCCATCCCTAAATGTAGAAAGAAGCAAGAAAGACCACCAAGATCCGGGCCACAGCAAGGCGTAATGGGGATGCGAGAGGGATGAGGGGCTGAAATTGGTAAGAGGGTGATAGGATGAGGAAGAGCTCTGGGAATTGGTGAACAGAATATGGAAGGGGGGAAACACAGCCCGTCGACTTGCCCATTCGTCCTCTTCGCAGTCCCCAATCAAGATATGCCTAGAAGCCCGGACCGCCGTGGCCAGATGATCCAATCCAAACCCTCATTGTCGCTGAACCAGGAAGTCCAATCCATTAATTCGCGAGGAACGACCGTCCCTGATCGGTCCAAAGCCGTGGTTGATCAACACCTAGCGTGTCCAATGCCATGCGCGCTGCAAAAAAAAGGTCCAAAATGCCGTTCGAAGATGGAAACCCAGAACCGTTTGCGCGCGCATCTGGATGGCAAGAGAAAATGTCCAAGCCTGGTTCTCGGCTTTTCCTCTCGCCGCCAGAGCCAGAACTGGGTAGGCATGGCGGGAGGAAAGCAAGACCCATGCGTCAAGGAGTCCCACGATCAAAGCACAAGACACTTGTGTGACTTCTTCTTCGGGGCAGGAGGCTCCAGAGCCGCAACAATTGCCTGGGGTAGCATGTCAGTATCAAATCTAGGGCTGATATAGAGGCAAGTGGAGGGGAAGAGTGAAAGAAAGTAAGTCCAACGGAAAATGTGGATATTACATACCTCATCGAAGACGTCCTTCAGCTTGTACTGCGTCAGAGCACTGCACTCGACATACTTGACCGCACCCAAATCCTTCGCCATCCGCTCACCATCCTCTTTCCGTACCGGAGACATCTTCTGCTTAGAAAGCTTCTCGCGGACGCTGGGGTCCTCGCGCAGATCGACCTGGGTGCCGACGATGAGGCAAGGGACGCCGGGGCAGTGGTGATGTACCTCGGGGAACCACTTCTCACGGACGTTCTCGAAGGAGGCGGGTGATGTGACGCTGAAGCAGACGAGGAAGACGTCGGTCTGGGGATAGGAAAGGGGGCGGAGTCTGTCGTAATCTTCCTGACCGGCGGTATCGAACAGTCCCAGTGTGTAAGGCTCGTCACCAATCCTGCGTAAGAGAAAAATCCAGCATCAGCGAAATGGCCTACCGAAAAGTCCAGCAGCTTCTCGTCTCTTGTAGCACACTTTCTCCCCGAATCCCCATTGTTATTGGTTCATCCATTCGTCGGTTTATCCGCCCCTTGACCATCTCTTGTAAAGACCCCCTTGCCTTTGCTTTGTGCAACTCGGACTTCGATTGTTTAGGAGGTGTTGTAGGAGAGGACTCACATAACGGTGACGGCGTAGTTATCGAAGACAGTCGGAACGTATTCGGAGGGGAACTTGTTCGTCGTGTAGCTGATGAGGAGACATGTCTTTCCGACCGCACCGTCGCCGACGACAACACACCTAGAAAAGGAGAGAATCAGTTCTTCTGAGGCAAACAAAAGTGGCTAGTGACATGCGCGCTTTGATGGCTGCCATTTGCCGATCGTCAAGTTGAAGTCAGGATTGGCAACGGTGAAGAAAAGCCTCCTCCAACCCCCGAGTAATAGGTAGCAGTGGAATCCGACAGCAACAGCGACGCTGCAAACAGGGCAATAGCAGGCAAGCGAAACAGTAGAAAGGGCGACGGCAAGTGTCAGTTGTCAAGTGTCGGGAAGGGGGAAAGTGAGAATATGAAGCCTAGCGAAAAGATGCTCAAATTGTACGCACTTGATAGTAGCGACGACCATTGTCTAGATCAATGATGTTCCTGTGCAGGAACAGAGACCTGTGGAAAGAAAAATTAAGACTGGTCTCTCAGTCTCTCCCTTATCGCGCGGCGCGTCGTGTCGTGTCGAGTGTCTTGTCTTGTCGAGGTCGGGGTCGGAGTCGGGCGTGATTTCCAGGCGCAGGTAGTTGGGGGTTAGAGTGGCAGCGGGCAGGAGGAGTCGAGTCGGGTGGTAGGTAAAGTGTGGTGGTAGTAGCCCAGTGGTATTGGTACGGAGTAGTAGTAAGGCAGGCAGGTAGTGGCAGTGGTGGTTGCCGTTGCTGCAGGGCGGAAAGATGAGGTGGGTAGTGGAGACGGAGAACGGGGTCGAGGTCGAAATGGGGGGGCGGCGACGAAGGGGAAGAAAAGGCGTGGATTGGGTCGGGTGCCGGTGTGGTGGTCTTTTTTTTCTCTTCGGTGCAGGTGGTGGTAAGAAGGTGAAGGAAGGAGCAAGGCAAGGGACAAGGTGACAAGGCAACGGCGAAGTGAAAAGAGTAAGGCGAGGAAGGATAACGGGGTAAGGTAGGGAAGGAACGAGTGAGAGAAGGAGGCGACGACGACGACGGGACGGGACCCAACCAAAGTAAAGCCGCAAGGTCAAGGACGTCTGGAAGGTCACAAGTGAGATGTCGTCGGGGATTTTTTTTATTTTTTTTTTCAGCAAGGTAGCGATGGCGTCGGCGGTGGTCTCGACACACGCTGCAGCGGTGCAGCAGCGGCAGAGTACACGCGGGAAAGTGGAACACCTCACCAGACGGGAGGGAATAGAAGGGGGAGGATGGGGTCGGGTAGTAGCAGATTCGACCTTGCGTTCGGGGGTTTGATTTTTAAAAGTCCCTGTTTTTCTACTTTCTTTCTTTTTTTGGCGTCGAATGAGGAGAGTGAGTGGTCGGGAGAAGAGCGAAGGGGGGAACAAGCAAATAAGAAGGATAAAATAATTCAAAAGACGGGTGGAATTGACGAGTGTCAGTTGGTGTCAGTGTCAAGGCAAGGCAAGGCAATGGAAGGCTGCAGGAAGAGAACCTTGCACACACCAGTGGCACTACACGCAAGGTAAGATGCAGAGAGAGACAGGACAGAGAGAGGTGTATGAGGCGTAGCAAGGTCAGTGTACGAAGTAGTTTATTCAGGCATTGTATGTCTAGACATTCTCGGGATGAAGATAGGTAATAAGTATCATATAGTCCTCATGTTGTTGGTCCTGAAGACAGCATTTGTCCTGAGATGCTTCGGCCAACTATCCATCCGGCGACACCCACACCCACAAGTACCTACCTCTAGGTACCTGACCTGATTACTCCCGAGTCTTCTTGGGGGGCTGGTGAACGAAGGATGAACAAAGACATGGCAGTTGACAGCAAAAAACTTTAGCAACATTTGCAGCCAACCAGCACAGGGCAAGTGTATAGGGATGTAGCTGCAGCAGATACAGGAACGGTTCCTTCCACCCTTCCTAATAAGGTCGGGTACCTCAGGTCTCCCAGGCCTCGAGTAGAGACCTCAACTCCGAGGTAATCAACCGATACGGAGAAGTATTCTCACAGATACCTGCCGCTATTCGAATCAGTTCGGAATGCCTCACGAGGGTAGCAAGCCCCCGATGAGTGACAGGGTTATGAAAAGGGAGAGAAAGAAAGGGGGATCCCTCATCTCTAATCAATGAGCAGTGGAAAAGCAAGCAACACCAAAGTCTCTCGTCTCATCTTTTGCTCCTCAAAGTGACTTGTTGCTGGACAAAGTGCCTCGTACCTCGTGCCCTGTGCCTGTATGTGAGGGTGAGCAAGACTGGGGGCGGGTAGAGATTGGAGAGTGCCCGTGTCAGAAGGGGTCTTCCAAGTCTCCGGTCTATTCACCACCACAAGTCCACAACCGCCGCCGTCGCCTCCTCTTCTTCCTGCTCCCACTTCAACGTCGACGTGTTAATTCGGTGTTTGCAAGGCTGCTCTTAGCAATGATTGGACTTGGACGGGGTGGTTACTGTTCCAGAGGGATGGATGGCGCCTGATCGGTTGGCGTTGGGGTGCTTGAGATAGCCTGGTGCAGTGCTAGCTGGAGGACATGGCCTAACCCGGAAGGTCAAGAACGTCCAGCCATGTTCCCTTGGTCCTTGGATTGTGCGGAAAGCAAGAGTGCTTCCGTGTGTACTGGCAGGCACCAAGGTACCGAACAACCCAGGGCAGGCCGCAGGCCGCAGGTCGCAGACGTGGGTGGGTTGATGCTGCTGCTGCTGCTGCTGTTGCTGCTGCTGCTGGGCTGGCTGGATTCTGGAACGAATAGCCTGGTCGGGGGTGAGCGGGGCATCTTCACCAATCTTCCACCTTGCCGGCTTTCCTTTAATTTGTTCGACGCTCACCTCAACTTCCAGGGGTTACGTAGCCAGCGTCGGTGCCATGCCCTGGTCTGCTCATCTCAGTCCCAAGTGCCATTCCTCCCTCCTGTCCTTTCCGCTAATATCAGAAGGGAATGAGATGCTGTATACGGACGGGAACGCAAGCAGCCACCCTTTTGTCGTCAATTCGTATCAAGGAGGCACCAAGCCAGCCCCTCAGGCGCTTACCTTTGATACCGAGAGGTGCGTTTGTTGGTGCCAGTGCCGATGTTGCCCGGTACAGCGTAGTCCTGCCACCCCTCCACACCAAGAACCGGCCCAACGCTCTCCAGCAACTGCCAACAAAGCTACGGTCTCCCCAAGCGGACCTAGGTACGGTGGTAAGGTGGGCGCGCGGCCACGATGTTGATGAGTTGGACAAAAGTCTTGGAATTCTCGGCTTGATGGTTCCGTCTGGCTCGGGGTTGGGTGCGCGGGGCATTCGTAGCTTGCTCCTCGTCTTGATCCTTCACCGCCCTCACCGACCACTTTTTTAACCCGTAAAGAGTGGATCGTCCCCCATCTTTGAAAGAGCGGCATCCGCTGGCTTGGGTTGAGCTGAGTAGATCTTGAACTGGCTTCGACCCCAGCAGCAATGGCGTTGCACTTTGCGACTGCTATGGTAGCCAAAAGACCAAAGCCGCAAGCTGTCGGATGGCGAGGCGGTGCCAGTTGTAAGCAGAAGCTGTATGTGCTTGGAGTGGTGCTGCGTCTATTGTACCCGGAGTGTCGCGACTTTGTCAGTCCTACTCCTCCAGGTGGTGAGGTGAGGAAAGGTATCCGTACCTTTCCTTGAGAAACCCTCGTCACTGCGCAAATTGGGCGGAGGACCTTTGGGCCTGAGGCGTTGGAATCCCGTCCCCCACCATTCTCACGTTGCAAAAGGCATGTGCTCTTGCTTCTATAAGTGACTACGTACCTGGTACCTCAAGCTTCGACGAGGAAGGTGCAAGTGCACGTCGAGAGGAAGCCACCTGCCTATGTACACTTTAATCCGTGTACACTTAAGGTACCTTAAGTTGATTTGAGGTGTCTTCTTGGATGAACGTGTGAGGCAGAAAACATCATTTCTAAAATCTAGTCCATCGTCCAAGCTTCTGCAGCAAGTCCCAAGAAGCACACCTGCCTAAACGCTTCCTTTTGCTCTTAGGGTTGCTCCTGCACCAGCAAAGCACGAGCATATGCATCACGGTCCTGACATCACGCCAGCCAACCCGCATATCGCATTGGCCTTCTTCGGACACAATACACTTCCCAACGCACATATCGCCAAGTGCCGTCTGCCGACGGCTCAAATGACTTCCTCGCACTTACCATCGAGGGTTCATTCTCGTCCAACCCTTTCGCAGCGGGGTGAGATGGAATGTGCCCCTTCATGTCAGTGCTTGGCTCTTGCCACTTGCAGAGACACCCTTCCACCAGAACAATATCAGACGAGAATACCTAGTCGGGCATCTTGACAGTTTCCTCAACGCATGAAAAAGAAAGGAATGCCCTCATGTCATCAGCAACTCAGCTCAGGCCAGGTTTGTCCAGCAGAGTTTTCACCAAACTTTGCGTGATCTCTTTTTTTTTCATGTAATCATCCCATAGTTCTTTCGCCCCCCTAGAACCGATCCGTATTGACGCCTCCTCATATCAGCATGGAAATCGTAAGTTCAACCACCAACGTCGGCGACCTCCCGCCACTCGGGGCCTGCAGCGGCCGTTTATCGAGATGGGAAGGGGCACCGGATCCAGACCATACATTGCTGCTCTTCGTCAATGCTGTAATGTACTGCGGGATCTAAGCTACTGGGCCCCACCGTCTCAGACAGACACCAATCGACCCGAGATGGTCTTCTCGGGCGGATCCGCACCTCCATCAAAAGCAACGCAGGCCCAGAATAATATGGCTTTGGAACTCGACTTCGCCTTACCGTTGACCTCGAAGTATACTCGTCGATGCCATCGGAGTAAGACAGGCGTGATTCTTACTCTGCTGTGCGTCAGCTGTCGCCGCCGAAACTCGAAAACTACTGGTAATTGGGCTTGATGCTCCTCGGACACCAAGGTACCTAACTCAGTGTTGTGGCTCATTCTCCAAACAATTTAGCGCACAATCCCTTCTTTGTCTTCAGCTCGACCACAAGGTCTTGAACCTCGACGTTTGACACTGACACGCCGATGGCGCGCCACTCGCTCGTGGCATGCCGTGTCTATTAGACTCACAAGTCTCCAACCCCTATGCAAGTCTTTCTTCTGCAGTTTGCCGTCCCGGATGCTACCCTCGCTTCGCGCCGTCAAAGTGGGCATCGAAACACCGCCAGGCCCGCAAAGTAGCTCCTGGGGTTGGACGATGCCTTCCAAGTCATATGGACGACACGCGTTTGAGGCAGTCTCTCATATACAGGGAATAAGCTAGACGGGAACCCGCAGCCTTCTTTAATGCTTCGATCCATCCGTCACTCCCGCCTGGCGCGATGGCCCAGTTTGCTTCCCGTCTTGCATTGCGTTGCACTTTTCTAAACATTTCTTCTGGTCTTCATCCAAGTCTTATTATCATTCCGGTCTTCTAAACAAAAGCCAAGGACTCCGTGTGCCTCCCTATTCTCCCGGCCATCCTCCTCAGTCTCACATGCGTCCATCGCCAGGGCCCTGCGTGATCGATCTCCGGGATCACCGACATAAAAGGACTATCCCCGGCTCGTGCTCGACAGATTGGCGTGGACAACGGGAAATAAGTCCCAACAGGCATTTGGACCCCATAGCGGCGTCAGTCTGTGATTCTATGTGGCTATTAGTTATCCTGATACCTGACCATCACGTCTCCCTTTCAGACGGCAATCTTCCCTGCTGGGCGCATGGCAGCATTCAAGAGCAAATCGTATCCATCAATGTCAAAAGCTGAAACAGGAAGCTATGCCGGAAAGGTCGCACTGGTACGAGCGCATTACAAACAACCACCGACCCGACGGCCATCCGAGGATAAAGCACATGGCAGGGCATGACAGGACCCCAAAGGACTAGAGGAAAGATTTTCGTACGGATACTGAGCTGATGCTCTCCGTCCGTCTTTGTTCCCGCTTTGTTTGCCGCCGAGCCTCGACATTGCCTCAGTCCCTTTGTGCGTGTGTTCCACGTCACCGTTGCTGTTGCATCACATTTCCCTGCGCGTTTGTTTGCTCAGCCGTTTTCTCTCTCTTGTCTTTTTTTGGGAAGCGTTGTCTTGGCAGGTGGCATTACCCGTTGGAATGTCTTGACCGCGGGATCATCGCATGTCAAGAACTTGCACGGGGAGTAAATTTGATTAAAGGTCGCTGGCCTGGCTGCTTAAAGTAGAGTGACTTATTTTGATACCTGGGCGTCTAAGAAAACGGATGTAAAGTACAGGTACCCATTGCCGCAGACTCGGGTCTTGCAGTCGCTAGCTCAGGGCTACCCCTGCATGAGAGTGCCGTTCCTTCTGTGCAGATCATCGCTCAAGCCACAAATTTCCAACGCATGTGAGGCTGCAGCCGACAATCAACCTCATGCATAGCCCTACGAGACCACCTCATCTTCAATTGCTTAGAGTCAGCTGCAAAGGCAACCCCGACGACATCCCGACCCATTTCACCCAGGTACACGCTTTGATTTCCCTTCCAGCCGCACACTTCAGCCACAGCAAATCGATCCGTTGACTTCTCGTCTCGCCTTTTGCTCACCTCACCTTTAAGCCCCCCCCGCCACATCTCCAATCTCACATCCCCATTTACCGCCAGCGCCGGAAGAACAATGGAGACGGACCACATCGATAGTCTCTTGGAGCGCTATCTCCTCCTGCTGGACGAGTACAGCGCCTTGCGCGAGCGCCTCAGCGGGACCCAGGCCGGCATGTATCAGAACATTGCACGAGCCAACTTCTCCGCCGAGAGGGGCGTCCGTTACGGGCCGGATTACTACGACCAGCGCATGCGGGCTTCGAGGACCCTCGAGCTGGCGGTTAATGACAGGGGTGTTCCCCGCTTTGAGGTTGTTAAAGCTGCGGATGATGGCGATGCTGTGACGGAGCCGAAGGTGGAGGCTGCGGAGGACGGAGCGTCTGCGGCGGCGGCGGCGGCGAAGAGTGGTGATGTCAATGAGGCTCCGGGTATGGAGTCGGAAGGGGTGACCTCCTCTATTGGCGAGGAGACCGAGAGAGAAGCCGAGAAGGAGGGGGAGTCAGAGAAGGAGAAGGAAGGGACGAAGCAGAAGAAGAAGAAGAAGAAGAAGAAGAGCAATGATCCCCTCCGGTGGTTCGGGATCCTGGCGCCGATGCCGCTGAGGCAGGCGCAAACGCTCTCGGTGCAGGCCGTGCAGGACGTCATCCCCCGGTTGGTCTCTGTGGATGCCGAGATGAAGGATATCGAGATTGAGGTCCGCCGGGCGAGGAAGAGGCGGGTCAAGGCTGAGGCGGCGGCGGCGGTGTTGAAGAGCAATGGTGTCGATGAGGGCGGCGAAGCTGTGCGAAGGGAGGCGCAAGTTCCGATGGCTGCTGTTTGAGTTGAGCTGATGAGGGCAATCTTCCGTTGATGGAGATTCAAATCATGGTCTAGGATCATGAGTTCTGAGCTTCCTTTTACAAGGAAGGTCAAAAGTTTCATAAATTTCTTGTTCCTAGCGGATTTTCGTCTAGATTGTAAATGATGACGGACAATTTGCAGGGGAGAATTACTAAAGATATTGAACTCGTTGAATTACTTCACTCGGGTATGATGATATTTGATGTGTTTTCCTGCCCTGGACCCCAATTCCCTCCAAGATTCAACTGCTTTCTTCCCCAAAAGACGTGGTCCGCAAGCAGGTTTGTTGCTCAGGCACAATAATCGAGGGGTTTGCCAGTAGACGTCGGTCATTCAGTCTACCTCTATATTCGAATTTGATGAAATGCTAAGTTATGCTTGGCTCAAACTTGGATTCTGGCACAACCCAGGTCGTGTCATTTACATCTTGCATTGCGCGGAGTGACTTACGGAAGCTTTATCTTGAGTATCGTATATGCTTCAGACTAGTTCTCCCACTGGATGTTCTAGTATGCCTCGTAGCTTCATGGTGTGACTTTTGACCTCCGATGTGTAGTATTTTATCCATCTTGGAAACACGAGGTCTCTTATCGGTTTTGTTCGTAGCCGTAGTTTCTTTGCATGTCACCCAGGTAGGGAATCATTCAAACATCGGCTCATTGCCAGTCAATCGCCACACATGTCTGGATATTTGGGCCTCGAATGGAAGAAAGCTGGTTATTTATGGAGCTGGAAGCTAGCGAAGTCTATCTAGTGTCTGCAGCACATCGTCCAAAGACTCCCTTAGCGGGTCATCGATACCCACGTGCTTCTCGAGCTGCGTAGCTATGCCAAGCATGGCGCTGATTGAGTGGACGTAACGCTGCCTCATACCGTACGGCGCGCCAATGAGCAAAGCAGTCGTAAGCTGGAGAGCTGCGACATGAGCCTCTTGGACCAGAGCGGGCTGCTTGACCTCGGGGGCATGCCAGGCGGCCAGCGTCGTCACGAGAGCCATCCATTCTTCTCTCGAGCCGGTCCCCTCGCCTTCCACGATTGGCAGAAGGATGCGGACGATCTCTATGCCGCGCGCGGCTTCGCTTTCGTCGCTCGATATCGACGTGGACTGCAGGATGGCCACGAGGTCTTTGGTCAGGACGTCCCAGCCGTTGTGTGTCGTGAACTCTTCCAGCCCTGCCTTTTCGACCAGTATTCCCTCCAGACCTACTAGGATTGGTGACCGGAAGTCGAGGCTTGAAGGAGAGCTCGACTTGTAGAGGTCGAGGAGCAAATCCGTCAGTCCTGCTGCTTCTTTCCTCAAGAGGTCGTTATCGTCCTCGCGAAGCCAGATCGCCAGAGCTTTGACAGCTGCCAGGATGAGAGGGTCCTCGTTAACGTTGCTCTTCTTTGACTCCCAAGAAATTGTCAGCCTCTTTCCCATGGAGGTGTCGGTCTCCTTTGAGCGTGCTTCGGGGTGTAGACCAAAGGCACCTGCCACGGACGCATCCCACCTATCTCGAAGGAACTCGATTACGAGGGACAGGGCCTCCGAAATCGTCCGACGGATCTTTAGCAGGAAGTCGGGAGGCATCACTAGGGCAGCTGGCGATGGACTCTCATCGTCGAGGCTCTTCACCAGATAGCCAATGAAGTGCGTTGTGACATCAAAGGCCGAGCCCAACCGTTGTGCGAGGGCTGGGTATATGGGATCGTTGAGAAGCTCCAAGAGGCGGGGAAGACTCGCCCGGGTGTCGGTGAGGAGTAGAGTGATGAACAGGTACGAGAATGGCTTATCATCCTTTTCATCGCTGGTGAACAAGAGTTTTGATGTTTCTGAAGGGTACACCTCGAGCAAGGATGCAGCTGCAATGGTGTAGGAATTTCTTGCCTCTGGTGTAGGCCGACTAGTAAGAAGTCTCTTGATGAAGTCGATGGATGACTTGATCCACTTTGGGTTCAAGGGTAGGGCCTATTTATGTGTAAGTCAGTTGCCTGTATGCTCTCATAGGGAAAACTACCTTGGGATCCGAGTTCCGCAGAAATTTGCCTATGAACTCGAGCAGAGTAACACCATCCGTTCCATTGAATGTCGATACCAAGGCTTGGATGGTTTCGTCTATCTTGGACTTCAGCACCAGTCTGTCTTCTGCGATGTCCATGCAGTTGATCCAGGCAAAAGAAAAGATTTCGAGAGCAGATGGGTTGTTCGGGGCAACCTCAACTAGAGGAGTTACGTCGTCAATATCGAAGAACACCTTTGCCCCTTCAGGAAAGGCGGCCAAGGTGAGTAGGGTCTGAATACTCATTTCAGAAGTTTCCCTAGAGCTACATTCATTGTGAGTGTGCGTATCAACTATCGTCTCAGTAGGCTGTCGGCATACCTTCGCAGCAAACTAGACACCAAAAGAGGCATTCTTCCAACAAGTCTCTTGTCTCTTTTCGCTTGATCTGGTAGAAGCAAGGCAAAAGTATGGACGACTGATACTGAAAGATCCAGCATGTTTTTCGCGTCCTTTGGACTAGATTGCGTGGATGACCCTGTCTTCAGCAGCCGGTCCAAGAACTTGGGGGAGATGGATTCCCAGAGGCCTGAGACGGTGTCTGCATCGTTGCGCAGCTCCTCCGAGTTGTCGAGTACACTTTTCAACAGAGCTAAGCCAACGAATCTAGAAGTATCATCTTTGGCCTTCAACATACTCTGAATTTGGTCGAGCGATGCGGTTTGCTGTGTTCCTGGCGTCGACTGAGAGACCCCGGGAGGTGCTTGCGCCGCGACGGACTCTGCAGGAGCTTGGTCTGCCATATCTACGCCTCTTGCCTTTTTTTTCTGTAGGTGTTTTGCGTTGACTCGATTGGCAGCTGAGAGAAAGTGAAAGACGAATGAGACAGCGTGTAAGTCGAGTGTTTGATTTCTTGCTCTACAAATCCGATGGGCACCACAGCCCTATCTGACTTGTACTGCAATCTGATTTCTTGGAAACAATGAGTTGTTTTTTTGATCCGAGTGCAAGAATTGCAGGCTGTCAACGTTACAGGAAGATGCAAGATGCCAAGATCAGACGAAAGGATGCTGTCGTGAAAAATTGCCCCGCGCAGAAAGACCCAGATCGTGGAAAGAGCCCCCCACTGTCAGATGAGGTGCATTCCATCAACAAGACCCCTGCAAGTGGTCCTCTTGGCCACTTGCCCCGGCGTCGCATCAGCCGCAAGACGGACCGCAAAGGGGCCCGAGCGTCCACACCGAGTCAGCCACGCGCGGCTCGTCACCGAACAGGTATCCATCCGGCGACGGGGAGGTGATACCTACTGTTTCCGTCCTGTTCAAGGGAACCTTGAACCGACAACAGGATGGCTATGATCTGACGATACTGGGAGTCAATGTCGCCAGATTCACACCATGGCCGGTCCTGTGCAATATGATTCGTCCGCCTCGTCCTCATCGCGCCCGCTGAACACTGGCGCCAGCAACAGCAACAGCAACAACGACCCCGCCGATCGAGACGAATTGGACTTCTGGAGCGAAGACGAAGACGAAGACGTCGCTGATGTCCTGATCGAAGACCCAATCCACGAGGAACTCGAAGAGCCCCTCTCCTTCAAGCGAAAACAGAAGCAGAATGCTCTCTCAGCTCCGAGCCGGCTTCTGTCCGCCTTTACCGGTTCGCGATCAGGCACTGCCTCTTCTCACTCCTCGCCGCGCGCGCGAACGCCGACCCACGATTCAAATCGATCACCACGGAGGGCAGGTGCACATGGTGCTGCGAGCCAAGGTACCAAAGATGGCGCGCCGCTAGATTGGTACGTGGAGGGGCCAGGCAGAAGAGTGGGATACGAGGATCTGACGGCCATCGATTGGATTTTCGAATACACAAAAGAGCGCCAGCGTCTGCGCGTCCTCCACTCGGGGGCGCAAGGGTTACTTGGACTGTTCAAGCAGCTCGTGGATGCCAGTGAGGTTTGGATCATTCTGATCCTGACTGGTATGGCTGTTGGCGCTGTAGCTGCTGGCATAGACATAACCACCGACTGGCTTGGCGACCTAAAAACAGGATACTGCTCTAGCGGCCCGGAAGGAGGCGCGTTCTATTTGAACAAAAACTTTTGCTGCTGGGGCTACAATGAGATGTCAAAGTGCGGCGGGTGGACGCCCTGGGCGAAGGCGTTGGGGGTTTCTTCCGGCGGTGGAAAATGGTTCATAGAGTACTTCTTCTTTCTTATCCTCTCTGTAAGTCTCGCAGTCCCACAGCCTCGCGACTATCTTCTGACAGGTTTGAGGTTATTTTGGCATCGGCCGCGGCTATGCTGGTCCAGGAGTACGGAATGTACGCCAAACACAGCGGCATACCCGAGATCAAGACGGTATTGGGTGGTTTCATTATTCGGAGGTTTCTTGGCAGCTGGACCTTGATCACCAAGTCACTGGGTTTGGTACGTTATATATCCGTTCTTCTCATTTTTGCCATGTTTACTAACTTCTGCAGTGTCTTGCAGTTGGTTCAGGCATGTGGCTGGGCAAAGAGGGACCCCTGGTTCACGTTGCCTGTTGCTGCGCCAATCTCTTTATCAAGCTTTTCAAGAACATCAACGACAACGAGGGTGAGCCAAGTCTGTAACGCAAATTTGGAGTGTTTACTAATGCTATGGCAGCCCGAAAGAGAGAGGTCCTCTCTGCTGCTGCTGCCTCTGGAATCTCGGTGGCTTTTGGCTCGCCGATCGGAGGAGTATTGTTCAGTCTAGAGGTTGGTAACGACCGGACATGCCCCTTCTTCAAGGCTAACCATATACTAGCAACTCTCATACTACTTTCCCGACAAAACCATGTGGCAGAGTTTTGTCTGTGCCATGACTGCTGCAGTGGTTCTTCAAGCATTTGATCCGTTTCGCACGGGACAGCTTGTCATGTACCAGGTCAAATTCAGCACGGGATGGCACGGCTTTGAGCTGATACCGTTTGTTTTCCTTGGTATCCTTGGTGTAAGTCGTACCGTCATTGAACCACAACCTCGACTGACAGTTTGACAGGGGATCTACGGCGGCCTCTTCATCAAAGCCAATATGGCCGTAGCACGATGGAAGAAGAACACGCCGTGGCTACCTGGACCTATTACGCAAGTTGCTGCGATTGCCCTTCTGACGGCACTCATCAACTATCCCAACCATTACATGAAGTTCCAGACATCAGAGCTTGTCTCCAACTTATTCGTCGAGTGCTCCAAGTACGTCGACGACCAAATTGGTCTCTGTAAGACCGGGGCCGCGTCAGCACCGACTATTGTTCTCTTGATATTTGGGGCTATCCTTGGTTTCTTCCTCGCCACCATCACATTCGGCCTCCAGCTGCCTGCCGGAATTATCTTGCCTTCGATGGCTATTGGAGCCCTGACTGGCAGAGCAGTGGGCATTATCATGGAGATCTGGGTTACGAACCACCCTACGTTCTTCGCATTTGCCTCCTGCGAGCCAGATGTTCCTTGCGTAACACCGGGAACATACGCCATCATCGGCGCGGCCGCTACACTTGCGGGCGTCACTCGAATGACGGTCTCAATTGTCGTCATCATGTTCGAGCTGACGGGAGCTCTGACCTATGTTCTCCCCATCATGATCGCTGTCATGCTGTCTAAATGGGTGGGAGATGCGTTCTCCCGGAAGGGTATCTACGAAGCATGGATCCACTTCAATGAGTATCCCTTCCTGGACAACAGCGAGGAGATGGTCATCCCCGATATTCCTGCCTCGCAGATTATGACTCGCATCGGGGACTTGGTTGTGCTCACGGCGACGGGCCACACTATTGGCAGTCTAAAGAACATTCTCGACACACATACCTACCGAGGATTTCCTGTTATTTCAGATCCCCGCGAAGCCATTTTGCTAGGATACATCTCCCGTGCAGAACTCACCTACAACTTGCAAATGTGTTCGCAGCCCCCGCGATCTCTTCCATCAGAGACGGAGGCATTTTTCTCTCACCAGCCCCTCGCGGACCCGCGTACGACTCTTGATCTCCGGCCGTGGATGGATCAGACGCCCATCACCATGGCGTCAAGGTCTAACCTACATCTTGCCGTCAGCTACTTCCAGAAGCTGGGCCTGCGGTACGTCCTATTCAGTGACCGCGGTGCTTTACAGGGTCTTCTGACCAAGAAGGACGTGTGGTACGTCCTCAACGGCGCAGAGGAGACGCGTCGGACGAGCGGGTTGTCAAGAGGCATGGGTGTCGAGACCGGCCTTACGAGAGAGGACGGCGGTGGCGAGCATCAGGGTCTTTTAAGGGATGACGGGCATGAAGAGGGGATTAGCCCGGCAGAAGACAGAGGGCCGATTTTATAAGCTAGAGGGCTTTATTGAGATAGTGAATGATTGTACGGCTACTTTAGACACATGCATGCATAGAAGGGAACTTTGAAACTCGGAAGCTTGGTAATTTGCATAACGTAATGCAGTACCTGTGAAAATCGTATACTCATTTGGTTGGGAGTTCATCTTCTCTCCGACCGTCAGGTCTTTAATAGATTGCCAGCCTATGATGGATTAATGGGATTTACGTCGGATTTTGCACTTCGTCGCGGGAGCCCAAGTAACTGCCGTGCAGTTGAGGTCTCAGTACACGTATATAGAAGTGCTGGGTTGTCATTCTTCCAGTAACAACTGCACACTTGTGTAGAAGCAAATCTGCCTCTCTTCCTATTCTGGTGCTTACTCAACATAGGCTCACGTCGTAAACGTGCCTTTGAATCTCTTCGTGATCTGATGAGGCTCTCCGGTTGGCGTGGTCCCGAAGGAAACAGCGGCGGGACAGATGTACCAACGGAGGCCCAGCTGGAGGGTTGCCGATGGCGAGGACTTACAAGGACTGATGCTCCATGGCAACATGAACCATCTCTATTTGCTGGGTTGGTAAGCTGAACAAGCTTTTGCCAGCCCTCCTCTTTCTCTCCCGCCCCCCTCTGTTGCTATTTATTCTGCCCAAACACTACCAAGATGACGAGGGACGGAAGAATCGAGGTATCAAGGTGCTGCCTATGTCCTATCTATAGTGTTTCAAGACACCGCTAGAACCCAATAGATTGCCAAGCAAGCAGGCAGCGGTCTTGTGCTAGGAGACCTGAATTCGTCTTCCCAGCGTCCTGATCATTGCCGGCAAACTGACAGGTGTGGAGAGCCACCTCCTTAAGTACTGCTTCTGGCAGGAAGACCGCCACGGTTCAATGCAATCTAAAAATGGACCGACTCTCGTGCCCGAGTTCAAGGGGACTCACGAGAGGATTATCGATATTGTTGGTGCGATGTGAGTTTCCCTACACTTTTTGACGTCAAAGAACACCACGAATTCAAATTTGGATTTATAATCCCCTTCTATCTGGAAAGTTCAACTAGATGCTCTACATTATTCCCAAGATCCTAGACCATTCCCCTAGTACACCCGATGTTTCTAACAGTAGTCCTTCAGATCCGATCTGATTCGTCTTATAAGTATGCTGCGATCATTGTGTCTAGTCGCATTAATCTTTCTTGGGGAAGCTGCCTCGTCTGCTCAGTCTACCGTTTGACTTTAATAGACCTCGTGGAACGAATATGATCAATTCCCATTGGGAAATGTAGACGCAAGGTTCAAGGGATTTTGCTTTGCACACAACACTTTGCAAAACTCGGTTTTCAATACCTGTAGTACCAATTTCGCATTTCCGGAATTTTCCCTACTAGCCCTACCAGGCCATCAAGGGGTCAGATAAGGCGGTGGCGAGCATTTTCCGAATCCGGGCTCAACTTTCGAAGAGATTCACATATCACGCCACTCTTTGCGTCTTTGTCTCAGCAATCTACGCGGATGGGACAGATTGATGTCGGCCCTCGCACCACGCACATTTGAACAGGATGGTGATCGAATGTCTGAGTTTCTCTCCTTCATCGTAGGAGCTACAATGATGGGGTGATTAATAGCCGAGAGGCGTTATTGGATGGAAGTAGTTCCGATATATATGATGTGCTCCGACAATCACGTGTGTATCTTTTGTTTTTGCTTTCTCGACTGAGTAGTTATTCAGCAGTGAAACCTATCAAGGACACCTTCGGCGAGGCCACAAACATTGATTCAATCACTGTTTCCTTCAAGACTGAGACGTGAGTGAGGAACCGGTCATAACAAACTCTGTTGAGGGAACCAGGAATGGATAATTATGTTGGCTAATACCATTCACATGGCTCGTACATGCTCCCTATCAATACATAACCTGATACATTTTCTTCGCAATACATTGCTAGTGTTTCATGACGCTCAAAAAGAACAGAAAAGACAAAAGGGTATCTTGAAAATGCAATCTGACCAGCCCAATACATAGTCTTGAAGTTCATGCTCGCGGCAGGTCCATCTCCTCCCTGCTCATAAGAAGGCTAGTGTGCTGTTACCATCTTGCCTTGCAGAAGAGAACGGGACGTGTTGTTTAACACGCTGGTGAAAAATTCTGTTCCCCCCCAGGAACCACAATGCCCATCCTTTGAAGTGATCCGGGGGCTTATGCCGACCCGAGAGCCATGATACACCACTGCGGCGGCGTCCAATTCGGAAACAGGTCGCGAACGGTCTTCATCGCCGCCTCCATTTGCCTCGCCATCTGCTGCTCCAGCACGCCGTGCGGGTTCGCGGGCACCAGCTCAACCTCGTCGTCGTAGACTGGGTTCTCGTCCCGCGGCACGAAGACGAGCTGTTCCAGCCTCGGCATACGCACGCGGATCTGCTTGAGGACCTCCACCGTCAGATTGGCGGCGCTCATGGACTGGTACATCGTGTCGACCCAGAAAAGGGAGTCGTTAATGGCGAGGCGGCGCACTTGTGAGATGTCTTCGGGGTCGCAGAGGGCCATGACTGTGCGGAACTGCGCCTCGGAGGCCATGTAGCCGTCGCGGGCGCCAAAGTAGAGGACGTCATGGTCTTTGTCGAAGAATATCTGGCCCGGGTTGCGCGTCATGCCGAAGCTGAGATGGTACGACTTGAGGGCCTCGAGGCGGGATTCATGACAGGCGTGGAGGTTGACGGGTACGGCTGTGTACGAGGTACACCCGCTCATCGAGGGCCTTGGTGATTGGGCGTGGGAGGCGAAGGAGAGAGACTTGGCACCGCACCGTATGGGCACGACACGCGGTGGTGGAAGGTTGAAGTTCCAGATCTTGAGGCGGAGTTCTACGGGTAGCCTTGAGAAGAGATGCTGTGATGGCTTCGGTCAACGGGGCTGGACGCGGCTATAGGCTATACAGGAGATCGACGGAGCTAAACGTACAAAGTGGTCTAGAGGCCGAGATGGTATCGCGTGCGCGGGGCAGCCGGTTGTTCGCGTTTTTGGAGCGGAGGTTATCGTGATGGTTGACATGATCTGTATAAACCGAGGGCTGACGCGAGACTACGAGAATGGTTTTGCGACGCTGAAGTCCCACAATGTGGGAATGGATGCCCAGAAACTAACGGATGTGTTTGTCAGGCCAGTGCGGGACACGACGACGGGTTGATGGAGGGGTGGCAAGCGTGAGTGGTTATTATATCGGCCGCGACGCCGCGGCTACCAGCGCTATCCCGGGCAAACGATACAAAGGATAAAGGATATGCCTGCCAGGCTGCGTCCCGCAAGGTCCAAGGCGACCCGAGACATCATTAGACTTCTTTGACAAATACCCAGCCCCGGTTCTCCTCACAAGGTAGGAGGGAAAGCTGTGTGCATACCAACTTTTCCGTGATTCATGACCACTTGACGAATACACCCCCCAGACTGCATATGTGTGTCAGGGAAGAAAGTGTGGCGGCCCAGAACCCGAGGCTTTGGGTCGGGGCGACCAGGGGTGTTCACACTGCTCGTAGGATTCTGACGGTGCTTGCTCCCTTTCCAGTTAGAGTGAACCCGGTGACAGGAAACTAAGTAGTCAAAGTGGTCGAGGACCTCGAGGGCGGGGTGCCGATCCAAGGGATGGTCAATATCCGTCTGCACGACAGAACTGCAGAGGTGTCGGTACTAAGCCAAGTCCCTAGGACTCTCGTAATTACAACGACACTGTGCCGTATTCGAGCCAATAACGTTTGATGAACCCTTGGAGATGGAACATTCATTAATTTCGATGTGAGAGAAGAGTGTGAGAGGTTCTCTGCAATGCAGGTGAAATGCAGAAGCCTTTGGGGTCTCGAAGTTGGGCCAAGGGGTGCAGATCTGCGGGAGCGCTGCTGGGAAAGCCGCAGCGGTGCGAATTGTGATGGGCCGGACCCATCAGGCACATGTGAATATGTTGCGGGTAGACATGGAGGGCTTGCTGGGCCTGGCCAGGACCTGTGTGGGCTGTAAGGATTCCCGTCCGCTATTACTTGCTCTACTGAGTCTTGTGTGTGCCTGTCTGGTTTCCCGGAAGTCGAGAGAAAGGAATTTGACCGGCCCGGCCGTAAGCTGGTCCGTAGATCATCAGAATGCAATGACGGGTGATGAGCGCCTGGTTGGTTCCAGTCAGTTGGGCTGAGCCAGGGGTCAGGGGTCTTGGACAGGGGATGTCTCGGTGGTCGCTGCAGTCTGCTTATTCTGGAGTCTGTGTGTCTGTGTGTTGAACCAGGGCCTTTCTGATGAACCATTGAATTTGAGTGGTTCTCAAGCGTCGTATCCCTCGCTTGGCTGTAGACAATCTCAGCTGAAGCGGAGTACCTACGTCTTCCGTTCTGGCTGGCCCGGACTTTTAAAGTTGCTGTATTGGACGTCATTCAGAGAAACCCTGCTGCAAAGAGGACAAGGTCGGCTGGCAAAACCCAATGATACTCTGTAATTCGCACAGAGAGGCAGATGAATATCGTGTCTGCCATGCGGGACATGGATCAACAACTGACTGACCGGCTGCAATGCATCTTGATGGTGCAACAGGAGTCAACCCGAGCATCTGGGACACTCAACCCGGAGGGATGGACTTGGGAGCCGTGCCGCAGTAAATACCCGTGGCGCCACGGTGAGACTTGAGTCGGCGAATCGACCTATCACTTCGTGGCCGACTTTTGATGGGCGAACCGTCACCCCACAGTCTCTGGCTGCCGAACTCCGAGTCTTGGGCCAATACTTGCGGTAGGCAGCTGAGTATCCGTAGTGCTGTTGTTGGCAACCTTGAGACCTTTGGCTTTCGCTAATATGCTCACGATGGCTTGATCGACATTCCACACCCGGTGGACGTTGAGGGCCAAGCACCTAAACTCTCGCTTCCTCCGATGTGCAGTCACGTCTGCCAAGTTCGTCGTTCGCGAACTGAAGACTTGTTCGCTAGTCTATCCAAACTGTTCTGGCACCCTGGGCGAGCTGGGGCACCAGCTAGGTTCGGCCGCTGGCCCGCTGCTTTGTCCGTTAATGGCCCGCCGGCTAGTGCAGACAATTGTTGACATGCGGAGCAGTCGGCCCTACCCGGCGGACGCCAATGTCTCTTCCAGTGGAGGCCAAGAACTAGGCCGGACTGGGCCCAAAAGATGGTCGTCCTACCCACCTGTGAAAGACCTTGGGACGAGGCTGGAACTGCAAAGATCTTTGTGTGCCGGCGACAAACCGACAGGGAGTTCAGATCAATTCTCTGTAAGATCATAAAAGCCGCTATCCGAGTCTAGGGGCAGTTGCAGTTGTCATCTCTAGTCCGACAGGCCGGCTTCTTGAAGGCTGCAGAGTTTTGACAGTCCCGACATCAGTTTGATCGCCGCAGACGGCTGCAAGGTTGGGACAGCCTCATCTGCAAGCCTACTGTTATTGTTGTACATTTGCTTGCTTACCTCACACTTTCGTGGAGGGGTCCGATACCCTGCCGTCCAGACGCCCCTGGCGATGTGGAATCATTGCCATCGCTCTAGGAAGGTGGAAACGTCATTGGCTGAGCAGTGCTGCATGTCGCAGCTCAGAGATGAGACACACTCGTGGTCATGGAGAGTTCATCGCAATCCAGCCTTCAGGGACGAGCATATCGGACAACGTCGCAGTGACCATCAGTTGTCTCATCCAATCTCCGTGCCCGTACGTCCGCAACCTTGAAGTCCCGTGTCCGTATGTGCCGTCAGGCCTCAAATGAGAAAGACCACGACAGGCCTGACAGTATGAAGCGCAAGTTGGGCATCTGTACGTGAAAATCTAGCTGGCGAAGTTGTATATTGATTTGCAGATACGAAGGTGCAAGTTCCTTTTTCGACGTCGGCGCTGGTGTGGGATGGATTGGTGAAGCCAATAACACAGATTGTGGACAAGGACAAGGTAGGATTGGTCTGCCAGCTGGCACCGCGACTCACCAGATGTCAACCACACATGTGGAGATTCATCACGTGTCGAGTCCACTTATCTGCGGCAGTTGCCGCCTGTCGGGTGAAAAAGGAAGAAGCTTACCTAAGTCGCCTGGCCTGGATCAAGGATGCTGGGATTGCTTTTCATCTCCACTCTTCCCGCTTGACGTGAGCTTATTCTTCGGATTCCTTCTGACGGCGGCAAATAAGAACCTCCATCATCAGAGTCTCATTCTATTATCATTGATTTGCAGCAACCTTGGATTGTGGTCACATCCCGGTTGGCGAATAAGCGTTTGCGTTTCGATTTAAAACGAGGTTATCTGCACCTCATCATTGGCCTCCTCCATGGCCTTCCCGCCATTTTAAGCGCTGGGGATGGCCGCCAATGGGACCGGCATCTGCGGGCTTCTGACCAATGTGAAGCTCGCCGGCTGTTCAAGGGTGCCCGATGATCCCCTCTCCCAAAGCCCCGAGATGTCGCAAGCGCGGCTATCTTGCATCGGCGCAACGCTCGTCACGATAATTTTGGACTCTGCCGTTGTTCCCCAGACAAGGTCAAGATTACGTGCCGGGCCTAAACACGGCTCACGGCGCGTATCTAATACTTGAGCTTTGTATTTGTACGTTCACGGGCGCCCTTTTCGTAGGTTTGTGATGCTGGAAACCACACAACAGCCTGGCTCCCATCCGCCTCTCCTCTTTCCTACGTCTTTTCTTTCCTCGAGATCGTTTCTTACTTCACGTCTGGTCATTCTACACTTGTAACTAATTTTACGACAATTCTCTACGACTTTCTTACCGCCATGTCTTCCGACCTCAAGAATGTCACACAAACCTCAGACTTTGAAGTCGATTCCGATGACACCCACAAACCTTCTCACGAACGTCTTCTCAAGGGAGTCGACGCCGCGAGAGTCAGTTTGACGGTTGTGGCCCTCCTTATGGGCATCACCATCCTGGGTACATCGGCAGATGCCCTGGCCGTCTACGATGCCACCCACGTACCAGCCGGCTTCATGCTTCCGCTGTGGCCGGACGCCTTCGACTTGCGTCCAACAGTAGCACTCGTCGTTGGGAGCTCCATTCTCATAATTGTCAATCTTGTCACTCTCCTTTTCAGTCGAGTCCAAAGTGTAAGTCAAATCTGCTTTAAAGAGTGAGCCCAGACTGACATCAACCAGCTGCGTAGCCGAACTCTCATCCATAACTCATTGGCTGTGGCCGCCCCGTTGGTCGGGCTGGTGGCATCGATCATTGCTATGTCCTTCTTCTACAGCATCAACGCGTCGATCACGGTCGACACACTGCAGAGCTGGAGCTGCCGCTGGTCCAATGTTGCGATGATGACGAGGCCGCACTTCGGCACTCTCTGCAAGCAAAGTAAGGCGGGCCTCTACCTGTCCATCCTGCTGATCCCGATCGAGGCCATCATCGTGGGAATGGGCGGCTATCAGATGATGCTCGAGCGAAACATCAGCAAGACCAACAGAGTGGTACTTGCGGAGCGCAAGTCTGGCAGTCCAGTGCCTTCATCAGTCCACGACGTCGAGGGTGATCACCACTAGGAAGAGCGGCTCGGTATTCGCGCGAGGGAGGTCAACGGTCGTCGTCTGCTATGTATCGACAGGTTGGGTCGAGGGAATAAAGAGGCCGCCGGAAACGGAAGTTCTTCCTTCTTGTAATCAGGCGTTAGGATATGTAGTATTAGCAGAGATGGGAGCCAACTACGTCACGCATCAGCGTAGTCATCCAATTAGTTCAATATTTTCTAGAGAATTAGCGTCTTTCATATTCGACAATGAATGGCTCTGCTCGACTGTCCGGTACCGATCAAGGATTTGATCCGATGTTCGTCCTTTTAGCAGCCAGGTTCCTCGATCGGGGGCCGCATGCGGCTTTCACCGAGGAATAGCAGCTTGAAGCTTGCAGCCCCCTGGGGATCTACAAGCCGCCACTCGAGTGCCCGCTGACGCAGGTGTATCCTCAACGTGAATCTAAGTTGGTGAAACCTGAGAACTTCTCGGTTATAACCGTTTGCGGACGAACTGTTGCTGCACTGGAGTGGATAAGGGTTGATGGAGCTGACCCACCCCGGCTCCGGCACGGCATTTTCAGTCGCCTCTTTTAAAATATCGGCATCCATACCTTATTTTGGCTAGGTAGTTGCTAATGTAATCTTCCAAGTCTGGGCAAAGTAACAAGGCGAGGGTTTGGGCCATAGGCGAACGAGTTTCAAGCTTATTCTCTTGTCAGCAAAAGAGCCAAGTGTAAAATCTCGCTCAGACACCCTGGACCCTTTGATGAACTACTGTAAGTCCCTTGAGTACTGGATATGGTACTCCTATCGTCGGGAGCATGCCTGCCTCCTATCTCTGAGTTTCAGTGAGACGCCTTCAAGCCACCAAAGACTCGAGAGACAGCCCAACCGTGCAAAGGTCGCGGGGGGGGACTCGGGAGTCGCTACGCCAGGTTAGATGCACGACTGACGACGACGGCTAGGGCGGCTAGGGGCTGCCGGGCGACAGGTGGACGCGGAACGATTGGCCCGAAAGCACAGCGCGTGCTTGGTGAAGTCGGTGTTGGGAACTTGGGATGGAACAAGAATCAAAATGAGGTGAGTGCCGCTTTGGCCCTCGAACTAACAGGAAGTGGCCGTAGCCCGTGTATTCTGCCCATAACCCCATCCTTAGCGCGCCCCATATTTCATCTTTTCTCCGGTACGTACCTGGGCCTAGCTGCAGTCTGCGTGTCCCACCTGAGTGCCCCCCCAGTGCTCATGGCTTCACATTTTCCATGTTTTAGACTCCCCGGAAACATGGTCATTCCGTCCAATCTTTACCAACTCCGTCGACCCCAGCAGAAACATACCCGCTTGTTGCCAATTCGTGTCTCCATTGTATTGACTTGTTCGTCTTTGAGCCGGCCTCGTTCCTGTCAAGACGGCGCAAGCAGGGTCGAAAGACGGAGTCAGACGGACGTGACGGACTCGACGACCAACACTTCAGCCGTGAGCGTGTCTAACAAATCCAGACGGCTCTAGAGTCCAGAGCCAGAGGAAGCAGACTTCCCCCCCCCCCCCCCCCCCCCCCACAAATCACGCGGAATCAGCAAACAACTTCTTTCCCCCTCCCCCCTCTTGTCAGCGCTTTCCGGATGTCGCACAGTCCATGATGCGGCTGGCCGAGCAGCTGGCTGCGGCGTGCCTTTGGCCTTACCCCTTCTCGCTCTCGTCTACCGATATCTCAGGCACCACAGTCTACCGCCGTAGACCGATTCAGGCGCTTTTGCATTCCAGAGCCGGCCCTCGGGTCCTGAACCCTGAATTTCTGGTATCTACTCCGTACCTAGACTGCCTTTGACCATGTCTCTGGTCCATGCCCCTTTAGCACTAACGGCAGCGGGAAGGCTCCAGACCTGCGGAATCCCAAGCAATCTCTCGTGTCGCAGACATGCAGCTTGGTGAGTTACGCTGCGGGCAACACGGTCGAGAATGGCAGAGGTAAGGTATGAATGAACGAAGGCACGGTAGGATGATTGCGGGTTTCCAGGTTGTTCATGTCGTGTGCCACGCACACCCAAACTCCACGGTCGCAATCAACGGAGAACCCTGGCAACACACATGTTGTAGCCTAGATGTAGACAATTTTAGGTAACACGGCCATGCCTCGCCTCCAGATATCGCGTGGTCAATCAATATGAGGTACAGCCCTTCCACAAATTCACTCTAGTCAAGGTAAGGTAGGTAGTTTGTTACCTGGCCAGATAAGTTACGGCCTGCTACCGCATCTTCCCAAACCAAAAAACTAGATGAGGCAAGTTGCCCTACCTACGTAACGTACCTCAAAATCAGAACACCGATATCCAGGTGAGGCAAAGGAAGATGCGAGCTTGGGCAAGGTTCGTCCAGTCCAGTCCAGTCCAGTCCAGCCCGCTTTCTTTCTCCATCTTTCCTCCTTCCGTTCGTTCTGATCGACCTGTCTTGCGTTGAAACCGGGCTTCGTCATGTGGGAAGAAAGGCGTAGACTGCGCATTTGGCCTTGGCTCTTTCCGTTTTCAACCATTTCCTTGCGTTTCTGGGTGGCTAACCGCCTCTGCATCGATTCCGTCCCAACGACTCGCGTATTCATAGCTCCTCAGGCTGACGACCAGCAACAGCTAGCACCAGCCATCTTCACCTCATATAATAGTCCCCCGAGTCACCAGGCAGTCGGATCCTGCTTTTGTTCGTTCGTCCAGCTGTTTGTTTCCCATATCAATCACTTTCGGAACTCCGCCGTATCCCGCCCAGCGCGTCTCGTTTCCTTGCCACATCTTGTAGGATCGGCAACCCGACTCCTCTCTCAGTGGCTGGTTCTTTGCATCGACCTTCTGCGCCTTTATCATTTCGGCGACTGTTTCCAGCCCTAGCCGTCTCGAGTACGAGAGACTCCGTGCGCGTCGTCCGCTCGACCTATCTACACTGCATTCTTGACAGCTGAACATATTACGCCAAGTCCAAGGGGAATCTAGTTGTCCAGACTCGCTCAGTTCGCCAACATCACTCGACGATAGCGGTTGGTGTTTCTTCGGTACGTGTCGAGCTAGGTGGTTTCTGGCCGATGGGCGACACTAACACGGCTGCTACTAGTGAAAGACGCCGTTCCCAGACAGCCACGTCTGATACATCAGCCCAATTCTTAAGCACCGTCGAAACACCTTTATCTCAGCCTCGGGCCTTCGAGTATCGTTGCCAAAAAAAAATGACCGACCCTGTCTCCCCGCCATCTTCCCCTCCCGCGGATTCTGTCACCCCTAGCACGACCAACGAGAAGATTCCCTCTCACCCACCCGTCACCCCCGAGAATAAACGTCTTTCGCAGGTCGGCGGTATGTCTTTTGCCGAGAGAAGGATGAGTCGTCGTCCCTCCACGGCACCCACCCCTATTGTCGAAGGGGACGGTCTTACTCGAGACGTCGTTCACTCTCTGCCTGGCGACACTCGCAACAACAATAGAAAATCCAAGACGCAGGCCGACATGGCTAAACGCCGCAGCTCTTACTATGAGGAGGCCTTCCAGGGCGACAGAGAGTCCAATGTTATCAAGGACCGCGCCTATGCGGAGGCCATCGTGATGGCAGAGCTCCGCACCAACGTCATTGTATGTGCTTTTCTGCGTCACGAGCAGAGGGTTCCCGATTAACACACCTTGCACAGATCAATGACGAGTTCAGTTTTATCACAGACTTCTCATATCAGCTGTCGGTTAGATACCAGCGGCCAGTAACTTCGATCGTGGTCAACCTGCAACATGGGGCATGCATGCTCTTTGGAGGTACCTTTGAACCGGCCTACACCATGTCGATCCATGCATTACCGCTCGAGGTCGGCGTAACCAAGAACAAGAGAAACACGGCCTTGCTCCAGAAGCACCTCCACGAAGCTCTTGGCGTTGCACCCGTCCGTGGATTCGTCAAGTTCGTCGAAGTCCCGGCAGAGAACATGGCTGTCAACAGCAAGACCACCGCTTCTCACATTGCGGAGATGACTGGCGAGGAGGAAGAGACCATTGCCGAGCGCCGTGGCCGCAACCGCAAGAGCATCAGCGGCAAGGTGTGTATCATGATAATCATGATCCAATATGAGATATGCTGACAGTCCTGCAGTCCATGTCAGCTCTGCGCCACGGCTCCATTGTCGGAGGCAGGAAGGGCTCTGTCTTTGACTTCAGAAGAGAATCCGTTGCTCCCCGCAAAGACTCGGTCATGCCTCCTCCCCATGAGCTTACTCCTCCGCACAGCGCAACCGATGCGCCCCCTATCCCTCCCATCCCCGAGGTACATGCCAACAAGACCCCGGCCGCGGTCCCCGATGAGAAGCTTGATGCGCCTATCAAGGAAGTCGAGAAGGCGCCTACCAATTCCTCAGCATCTCTCAAGAAGTCCAAGGTGGCAAAGCGCAAGAGCAGCTTCGTCACTGCGCTGTTCTCTCGCTCCCCTAGGAACACGCCCGCGCCTATGCCTACCGTTGCATCGTAAACGGTGATCCTTCTATCTCCCAACTGAAGTCTCTCTTTCTCTTTGTTTTGTATTGTGCTCTTTATCGGGTCTGGAGCAGTGGTCAAATTGGAACTGATGACGTCAAGGAACAGAGCATTGCATCGATAAAAAGGGAGACGGAGTTCTGCATTACAGCCCGCTCGGGCATGCTGGAGTCATAGTCTTGGAATTCTATCATTTGTAATCGCACCTGTGTCTAATAGTAGGAGTTTAATGGTTGAGAGGCAGACTGATCTGTATTCGTCTCAATCAATCTCATACATGCCAAAACTAGGCATTCACTAATTATATCAACCTTATCATTACACTTCATTCGCATCATTAACCTTCATTTGATCCATGATTTTTGCATTCCCAGTGACCTTCTAATGGTATTTGAGACATGATGTATATAGATATATGTAATGACCAACTATCATAAGACAGGATTAATTGGTTCCAAGTTCTTAATCCAGTGATCTTTTTGAAGCTTCATGGGGAAGTTGTGTGATGAATTTGGGCATCGACGTCATACCGAACTCATAACTCGTGGTGGTGAGTGCAAACGAATGAGTCTTGAGTGATAAGATGAACGGGTGAGAAACCTTGCCTCCTCATGTGCCACGGACAATGAGCAATGGAAGCTAAATGAAGTACGTTGGAACCTGGAAGGTGGGGTCTCGCTTAAATTGCGTGGAAAACCGCCCAATACTGGGCCAGCTCAAACGCGCTCAGCACGGGGGTTTTTATCGACTCAGGCCGTGTTTATCTTATCACTGCTCCTGCATCGTCATTCTCCCCTACCACCTTACGAATACCTACCTTACGCAGTAGTGCTTGCCTTTCCCGCCCACCCGCCTTGCCCGCTCCACAGGTCCGATATGCAACCTGGAAACGGTCACGGCATACAGATACGTACTCGGTGATAGGTCAGACGTACCTCCAGCACATCGTACTCGGACGGAACAGGCTTCCTTACTTCTCTACAACCACTGTCGGAGGGTCGGAAGGGGTTTTACCAAGCAAGAGAGCGGCACGTATTTCTTGCGCCTGCCTGTGTCAGCCTCGATTCCGGGAAACGAGTGTCCTATCAGCGGCCGTCGCTGTGGAGTGAGGTGATCCAACGACTGAGCCTCGACGACGACTCACGCTCAACGGCGCAAAGCAAGTGCGTCTTGTGAACTAGACAACAGGACTTCAAGCAAAGAGTTCAGGGAGTCTGAGAGGAAAATGGAAGTGAGTTCTTGATGTTTCTTAATGTTGTGGTCTTCGAATTCCTACCCAAGCTGCTGCGGTCCCCTTTGCCCTGCTTTCTCATTCACCCTTTACGCACTCTTGGAGAGGCTTCGAAACACGAGTCCCGAATACAAAATGATTTCAACTATATAACATTCCGGGGCACGCGTGATGAGGGCTCTTGGGTCGAACTTCTGAAAGTAGACTCAAGCTCGTTCGAGGACACGCATGCACTCCTTATACGGGATGCAAGCTCCTAGCAACTCGGATAACATCAGCATACGCTGCGCATCTGCATTCTGCGTCACCTCAGTAGTCATGCCAGCGAGGTCATTGGACAACAGGAGAGCCAACATGGTTCGTCCGCGGGAACGGGTAGTCAACTCGCTGTCCCTCGTCAGATCAAGCGGGAAGGGCTGAGCCACGGTGTCATGGATGATGTGGTGTTTTGTACGACAGTGAGATCAGCATCGAGTCAAAGCTGGTTCAAACACATTGGGCATCGACGTATGGTTCTGTCTCAAAAAGGCCTGCATGAAGGCCAACTATTTCTCAACTTTGCCCCTGCTCTTCAGCCACGTTTTTATCACGAAGATGCGCCAGACCTCGAGCCGGCAGATCTCCGCTGCGTGTGCCCGTCGAAGGCGGTCGTATTCTTTTCGACGTGTCTGAGAAAAACAAGCTTTTCAGATTGGGACACTTTGGAGGAGCCGCAAGCGAGTTGATGCGAGGGTTTGGTGGCAGGCCAGCCAGGCTTTGGGTGCCTCGCTGGCAACAGCTCTGTTTGAGGGACACGGCTCGATTCCCGTCACGGATCGTTGTCAGGCTTGAGATCCGGTCGACCTCATCAAAGAACCCGTGCAAACATCGAGGGGTCCCTTGGTCTGTGGCAACCATCTTCCCGAGACACCAACAAACAACGAAGGGCAAGCAGTCTACAGCGTGGCAACGCCCTCGGCGATACTATAACTCGTTGGCACTCAAGCTCTCGTGGTCTACCTTTATACAAGAGTTGCGCTCCTGAGAAAGCCGACTGACTTTCAACACTGATCCCCTCTGAGTTACGAAATGGACAAATCGCCCCAGTCTATAGATTCCATGCTGTCCCAAGTGGTCGATGGCTTGGGTGTTTCTTCCTACGGGGGCTCTTTGCGAACAAACGGCCGTTTAAGTCCAGCTAGGCTAACACTCCAGCGTGTCTACGATCAGAGTCAAGGAGTACAGCCGCAGGATGCGAGCAAGATTATGGAGATGCCTCCGGGCCCCCCTGCAAAGGGGAAGCCCAGACTCCTCTTGATGGGTCAGAGAAGGTATGACACTCTTCCATGCCGGTACCAGAGGTGATGTCCATACTGACTACGATGGCAGGAGCGGCAAGTCATCAATATCGAGCGTTGTCTTCCATAAGCTACCGCCAAACGAGACGCTTTTCCTTGAGTCGACAGCTCGTATCCAGAAGGACTCCATGGCGTAAGGACTCAACCCAAGCCATCGTGAAGAGCAACCTTTACTGACCATCTTCTTCAGATCTTTCATGGACTACCAGGTCTGGGATTTCCCCGGCCAGATTGACTTCTTCGAGAACCCAAACTTTGACATGGACGCCATCTTTGGCGAGATTGGCGCTCTCATCTGGGTCATTGACGCGCAGGACGACTACCTCGAAGCCGTAGCCCGCCTCAACGCCACAGTCCTGAACCTCCAGCGCTTCTACCCAAACATCAACATCGAGGTCTTTATCCACAAGGTCGACGGTTTATCGGACGACTACAAGCTCGATATCCAGCGCGACATCACCATCCGCATCCAAGACGAGCTCTCGGACCACGGCTTCGAAAACGCTCCCGTCACGTTCCACCTGACGTCCATCTACAACCACTCCATCTTTGAGGCCTTTTCCAAGGTCATCCAGAAACTCATCCCCCAGCTTGGCACCCTCGAGGCCATGCTCACTAATCTGTGCCGAACATGCCGCTTCGAAAAGGCCTACCTCTTTGATGTGCTTTCCAAGATTTACATCGCCACCGACTCCGCCACGGCCGACATGGCTTCCTACGAGATTTGCTCCGACTACATTGACGTCATCATCGACATCACCGAGGTCTACGGCTCCTGGCCACGGTCCGACGGCCAGCGCAAGCGTCTCGAGGCCGAGCCCTGGAACGCCAAAGTCGAGGACCAGGTTGCGTGCAACTGGGCCGAGAGCTGCATGGTCTTGCACGACTCGCAGCGGCCTATCATGCTGCGTGAGGTTGATCGGTACCTTGCTCTCGTGGCGATTATGAAGGAGGACTCGTATGACCGCATGCCGCTCGTCAACATGAACGTGGAGGCTGTCGTGCAGGGCGTCACCGAGTTCTTCGAGATTACAAAGTCGAGGAAGTGAGATTGGATGGGTTGGCTTGGAGGGACAGGAACGGGACCATGAGGCATGAGTGATTTGAGAAGCTTTGGGACGTCAAGCATCGAGCATCGAGTACGGAGGGGCATGAGTGGAGAGGCACTCATGTTGTGTAAATAGGTTCTGTTATCGGGAAAATAGCAACGATTGCGTTCAGAAGTACGGATAGCATACGCAGAGTACGCTTGTCATCGCGCCGCCCTTGCATGCTATTTCATCATTCTTCTCAGGAATAGAAAAGTTGCTTCCCACCCCCCAAGTCCCTCCTCAGACGCGACCTTCTAACTTGAACCCTGATAGCTTGACTTGCAGTACCGATAAATGGCCAGCCCGTGAGGAAGTACGCCCCTTTACTAGAACTGTATCTGGCTAACCAGCCCGAATGAAAGTTTCTGAATGTAAAACTCCTAAGTAGAACAGGCTGGTGAGCAAATGACATCGAGGGGACAAGTAGATGTGACGAGGTAAAAGACCACTACTATTACCGTTATCCCTATTTACATCTCTTGAAGTATATTCTTCGAGGAACATATGCATAACAGAGGTACTTCAGGATATAGAAGAGTGGTGGCAGAAACAGAGGTAAATACGAGGGGGGGAGAAATCCATTAGTGACTTATAATAAGTATGTCTCCTACTCTGTGGTGTACGTCCAAGAAGACTGGGTCTGGTAGCTCCGCGACTCCAAGATCTACAGAAGCGAATTTTACCACTTCGGGGTGGTTTTTGAACAGACCGATGGCGGGGTTCCTTGCGCAAAACTAGCGAATGTTGTATGTCGTGTTCTATATGGGCCTTAGTTGCGATTAAACGCTATGACAAAGATGGTGATAACTTACCGAACCATGCTGCTGCTCAAAACCAAATTCGAAGTCCCCGAAATCGCCATGGACTATTGCCTGCATCGTGAAAGCGTTGCCAGTCTGATTGATTGTGTCGGGGCCGATCTTCCCCTTGAGGTCAGGGAAGTATCTCCACAGCGGCCACCAAATCTTTGCGTTCGTGCGAAGCTATTGAGATTTCGTTAGTATGATAGCAAACAGTCTCCTCAAGACGGCCAGAAAGCCTCACATCCATCGGTTTCCGCTCGTCGGGTTTCTTTCTCGAGAACGGGATGATGTGAACGCACGCTAGGGTGCTAAGACAGCCTTGAGGCATCGTCTGCCCAGAGAACTTCTTCTCCAACCAGCCCTTGTCAAACCACTTGGTGACGACACATTGGCCGCCATCGTGGAGGAGGCAATCTCTTCTCAACTTTGAATCATTGACATAGGACTTAATCTCCCAAAGAAGTGAATTTGAGCGTTCTGTCTCTGACAACATTTCTTCGTTTTTGCGCTCTGAATGAGTTTTGACTAAGAGATGCAAAGCGTTAACTTCAATTCAAGTGGGATAGGGCATATACATACGAGGTATCAAAATGGCTTGGACGAGGAAATCACGAAGCTGCCTCAGCTTGGCTGGATTGTGCTTATATTGCATCATCTCCGAGAGCAGGACCAACTGTCCCTTGGCTGGGACTTTGTCTGCAAAGAGACGGAGTACTTTGGGAGTGTCATCCTGTACCCCGAGGGGGGTATAATCCGCGAGTGTCTCTAAGACTCAGCATGTAAATTGGCCTGTTTAGTGTCTAATAGCGCGGATGCTAGCTGGCCATTGATGATAGCCTCGACGTCTTTCTCTCCGTCCGGGTAGTCGCCAATTTCGTCCCTGTTGTCTCTGGATCCGTATTCAAGCATGAATACTGTGTTGAAGAGAAAAAATCCCAGTAGTGGTTGTGTTTCGGGTTTGCAAGTGGTCTCATGTGAGAAATAGCTGATTTACTTTCCTGCCTCAATGTATCTCCGATGTCATGATCGACAAAATCAATCCGTAGAAGAGGAAGGTTCATTGCAGCTGTACTTTCCTAAGAGCTTGGAGAATCGTGGCCGAATTTACCGCCTTTGCGAAAGTTTATGGCAGCTACTACTTGTCAGGAGACGAAAAGACCCCTTATCCTGCGTTGCCAACGTTGATGAAGGGATTAGGGGGGCTCAAGCAATGCCTTTCTCGGTAAGGTTACTCCCATTCATCTATTCACCCACCCCACATCATCTAAATTCCGCCATCCCACTCTAACGAGCCTACTCTCTATGGAAAAGCTCATCCAGCGTGGCGGCCTCCAACCTCCGCATATCCAGCACAGCCATGCGCTTCTTGCTGCGCGGCGTGAACCGCTTTGGCGGCACCCTGAACATGTTACCTGGCGACAGGGGCACGAGCGTCTTCTAGTCGCCACGCGCGGCTGCCGCCGCTGTCTTTCGCGGAGCGTCCTTGTCGTCGTGGCCGGACGCGAGGCTGAAGACCTTGTAGACCGAGCGGCTGGCGCCGAGGAGGCATACGCGTGCCGGGACTTCGCCGCGGGCGTCCGTGGCATTTTGTACGTCCATCCGTATCGGCGTGAAGGACGGGTCTTCAGGGAGTATTTTCGTGACGAGCCCTGCCTGGATTTGTTTGGATAGAGGCGTAGATCCTGGTAGGTTGTTCTCTTGATAGGGTACGTAGTTGATGCTGGGAGACTGGACAGGTACCATTATGATATTGGCGGGGTTTCCTAGAGAGGGATTTTAGTAGAAGTATCAGAATATGCAGTTATGAGTGTACCTTGTCTGTTCACAAGCAGAATTAACGAAGTGCTGTTCATGAACTTGACCTCGGCGATCTTTCCATCGTCTACAGATAGGGCAGCAACTGTCGTGGCGACGCTGCTGCTGATACCGTTGATGATGCGAATAGATGTTCGGAAGACGAAGACTGTCAAGCTGTTAGTTAATGTGAGACCTGGCTGGTAGTCGCGAGAAAGTACTGACACTCTTGATCCCGACCCTCTTCGGTCACGGCGGTGAAGGTGAGGCCAACAACTTCTTCCTGCAAAAATGTCAATTGAACGTATTCGCGCTGGGAACTTCAACACGTACGTCTCGTCTTTCCGAGCACATGGTAGAGTCGATCTTCGCAATTTTCTGGCTCAGCCCAATCTTTGTCGGCTGACCAAATCGAACGCTCCTCTTCTGTGCTTCGGCAATATCCTTGAACACCCCATTCACGCGGGCAGTGAGGTAGTCGACCAAGAAGCCCACATTTGGGAAGGCCTTCAGGTATGCCTGTCCCTCTTCCTGGCGTTTGAGCTGTGTATCTAGCTCTTCAAGCATTGACGTTCCGCTTTCAGCTCGTTCCCAATTCGCCGAGTAATCGTCTGTGGCCACTTCGTCCAGGAATATGGCCATGGGGCTCTCGATGAGGTAGCGCTGCACGTAGATAAGAACCTTGCTGTTCTCCATTGTAGCCTCCTTTTCCGTCAATTCTTCGCTCGCCGAGTTCGGAGCCGCAAAACGGTCAATCTGGAATCGCATCCACGTGGAGAAGGCATGGAAGAGGTCGAGTTCGTCCATGACGTTCAGGAGAATCTTGTGTCCAACCATTGTAAGGCAAGACACTATGTCCATTGCGCGGGTGATTTGGGCCACAGAGAAGCCAATATCGTCGCGCGAGTCGTAAAACTGAGCAAGGCCACGAAGGCGACTGAGAATGATGGCGCATCTTTCCAATGATGGGAGGAGATTTTCATGTATTAACCCGCGCAAATTCTCCAGTCCCGCAGTCACGGCCTTGTCCCATCGCTTGTGACCCTTGAAAAGCTGTCAGTTGCACATTTCATAGCGAGAAAAGCGTCTACTTACGCGCTCGGCCAAACTATCAACCAACCATTCTCGGAGTGGCTCATGTGCATGGCCAGTGACAACTGTGTGGTAAAGAGCCTGAACAATATTTGTCGGCCCATGTGCTATCTGTTCCAAGTCTCCTTCGACACTTCGTAAGAATTTGGACGGCAGCTCCCTTGTGTTCTTATACTCTACTTGCATGTGGAGCTGCGTCTGCTTAACATAACGCAGCAGCTTCTGTAACGTGGTGAGCTTTGACGCTAGGAGAGAGATGTTGATGGGCGACGAGGGTATGAAGGGCAGATCCATGGGAACCAAGTATACTGCCTGGTCGTTATCGGCTGAGGACTTTAGGAGGAGAGCGTGGGTGGACACCTCTGGATGAGAGGCATGTTGGATGAGCTGAAGAACACCTGGTCTGTACATGGAGCTGGGAAGCGTGTATCGGAAGTCGCCGATGACGAAGGAATCGTAGATGCTGATATGGAGGCGGCCATCACTCGTGCCTACCACCATGACAAAGACTTGGTCACTGTCCTCTGTGTTGAAAGGCTGGAACAGGAAGTCTATGCCAGTTCTTAATGTGAACACCAAGCCATCTTCGCTAAAGCCACAGTCAGCAACAGAATCTGAATCACAGCAGACTATACTCACCCTGCACCGGCGCTGGAACTAGGTAGAGGACTGATTATCGGTAATGCAGAGTCTACCTCTAAGAAGGCGAGCTCTCGAGGAAGATCTAACGGGGCCGGGCTGCCGGGTAAATTCAGTTCCTCTGACATGAGTTTTTGCCATGGTTGTGGAGGCGGCTGCCGGGCTTGCTTCTGCGATCTGCCCACTATGTTGCGCGACCAGCCGATGTGAGTGATGCTTGGCGCCGCGGTGTCATCCCCACAAACGCGAATGTGATGTGCAGCCTTGTTGTTCTCCAGGCCCATCAACCTCACGTACCCGTCACTCCAACCCACAGCAAGAAATTGGCCTGTGATCGAATTAGAAACTGCTCTCTAGTATAGTCGAGGATATCTTTGTACCGTCTGGTTTCCATCTCACAGCTTGAGGCTCTGGAGCCTGTTGACCTGGCTTCGCGAACTGGTGGCTTTTGGACACAACGTGTTCTCTGGGGCGATAGATCAAAAGATTCTTCCCTTGTGCGTCCCAGCTGACCGAGAGGTCAACCGTTGGATTACTGCATGGGAAGCCTTGGGCGACACGGTGGTCGAACTTGGTATCGCTGTAATGCCGTAGCTGCATGGCCTCGTCCATTTCGAATATACGAAGCTATCCGTATTGACAGGGGAGTGATGACTTCTCGAAGGACCATTGCTAGTCCCGTGGGACGAATTATTGACAGCAAATACCAGGCGTTTGATTATTGACTTTCACGAAATCGAATTGTAAAATCCGTAGTTCAATTGGGTTCGGCGAATCTGCTTCGCGCAAGTAGCTGTTGTTGTTTGGAAGGTTCACGACTTTTACAAATCTTGAAGTGTGAGCTGAGGTACATCAGGTAGGTACTTCTTCGTAGGTCCCGCCCGCCCATTCATTCTGCGGGAACTGCACCCAGCGTTCCATGTACCTGCCACTGACAAGGATGGGCTAGCGCCCCGCGCAAGACTGTCACTGCAAGACGTGGTGGATCATCACCTCGATCGCAGTGAAATACTTTTTTTCCTTTGAAGCAATATGGTCCAGGGCAAAGACGATGTTAGTCGATAAATAACTTCTTTGACTCGGAGCTTTCGCATCCCCTAGACTCTCTAAGATACGTTTCATTTCATGCAGCCAAATATCGTGGCCGTTTCCCAGCACCACAAGTCAACCCGCTGTTTGGAAAACTCATCAGTTGGCGCCTAGCTTTTGCTACCCCTGACTATCCCGCTCCAGTCTCAATATAAAAGCAGCTACATTCTATTCGATTAGGAAGTTGTCTGCGTGAGACTTAATCTCCTTGGAAAAAGTGACCTCCTCGTCCTCTTCAATCAAAGAGACAGTGGTAACCTAGTTTGTGCGTTAGCTTCCGAACAAATAGAAACTGTCGAGGATCAACTTACGTCAACATCGATGAAGGGAGAGGTCTTTGAGAACCTGACCGTCATTGGGAAGAAGTCGTTCTCGTCATTGGTCTCGGCCTCGAACTCGAAAGAACCGCTAGGGTTCTCATCCGAAACCGTGCCAATGTTCCACTCCAGTGAGTCGCCAGAAACCTCATACGAAGCATCGAAGCTCGATACCACAGGCTCGCTGGCCTGGTAAGGGATGATCACGCTAACATCCTTCAATGTGTCGCCGCCCGTGAGCTCATACTCGACCGTCATGTTGTACTTGTCTGCATCCTTGTTGATCCAAACAGTGAACGTAATGGGGCAGGCGCTGGTGTCGTCTGCCTTGGCCGTTGCTCTCCAACGCAGCACGCCGACTGACTGGTTGGTAGGGAAGCCGCGGGCAGTGTTGCTCATCTGGATGGTCTTAGTGCTGTTGAACAGGTTCTTGTCGACGTTGGGGTGCGTGCGGAACTGAGCACCGTGGGAAGCGTTGGCAGTCAGGTTCAGCTTGACCTTGGTCAAGCTCGGGTCCGAGATACGGAGGTTCAAGTCACCACTTATCGCAAGAGAGTTCAGGGCACCCTCTCTCGACAACTTGGCACTGATAGCTTCGTTGACCACGATGTGAATGGCGTCACGGTCAAGAGTAGAGGAAACACGAGACTCTGCCGCAGGCTCGGGAACGTGAGCTGGGGTTGGTGTAACAAGGGGGGTATCATCGACTTCGGCCCCCATCTCGCCTCGAACGCGCTCGAACATGTCGTTGGTCTTCGACTTCTTGCCGAGTTGCATACCCTTGCCCTTCGGGGCACTCAGCCTGTGGATGTTAGCGGGCGGCCACCGCCACGCATTACCCATAAGTCACTTACTTGTTGAACGTCTTGTTCTTCTCAGCCTCGTAAGAGTCGTACGTATCCGTCGGGGTCGGGCGCGTAGGGGGGGTGTAAGTCGGGTAGTTGGGCGTTCTGGGCATACCACCACCAACGCGGCCAGCTCGAGCCGATTCTTTCCGCTGCATCTCCAGCTGCTTGGCCTTCCTCTTGCGCTCCTCTGTCGCCTCCAGCTCCTTGTTCTATCCTTACAATCAGTATGATGTATCTCCAGGTACTGGGTATCGGTCAAACGGACTCGTGCGATGATCTCCTGGATCCGCTCCTCGTGACTCTCCATCTCGAGGAACGTCTTGATCTGGCTGATGGTCAAGTTCTCGCGGTATCCAAGCGTCACCAGCTCATCGAAGGCGCTGAGAAGTTCGTATGCATTCTTCAGAATCTCTCTCTCGTCGAGGCTCTTGCATGTGCTGGTCACAACCTGAGCGAACAGGTGCAGGGAATCGATGTCTTGGAGGATGTTGGATTGGCGGTTGGTAATGAGAACCATGTAAAGCTCGTCCAAGGGCTGATAGACGAAGCGCACATTGTCTTGTTCGACGGTCGTGTGTTGGGTGCCGCTGTCGGCGAGCTTCGGGAAGGACGCGAGGAGGGCCTCAATGCGGGATCGTGGCATCTCCCTGAACTGACGGGAGAGGACAGCTTTCCCGCCGCGGGTGCAAATCGAAGCTGCGAGGACGACCTGAGAGCGTTAGCATGCCAATATCCAAAGAGCAAGTACCGCAAGACGCCTCTTACCATTTTGGCGGAGTATGGTGACAGGTATAGAGCGAATTGAGGATGTAGGTGGACTGTCGCAACTCGACTTCAAGGTCCAGGCCGAAGGAGGGACCACATTGGGAGCTTGAATATTGAGGTCGGAATTGTGAATCTGGCCAGTGCACGGACCACACAACCTTACGTACAGCAGCTCGCACTAATCCGTAAATGGTAAAGCGGCAGCTGCCTCCAGAAGGCGCGTCAACCTGCGCTTACGGCACGTAGAGGGGTGGATGGGTTGTACCTGGCACCGTTTTTTAAATTCCCACGCGCCTCGGTCAACTCCACCTCATGCGTCTTGTTCCTCAACCCGCCATGTTCATACCCTTTGTTTTACCAAAGCTCCCTTCCCTTCCTCAGTCCATACCCACGGGAGCTACCTTCAAAGGATAACACACCGGAAACTCAGAACTCCATACACACGAAATACTACCGAAGCGACCTCTAGCTCATACCTGACCCGTTGGCTTTCGTCAGCGTCATCGAGCGGACATCCGAATTCTCACGACCCGAACCTGCCAGATAAAGAGACGAGCGTCCCGACAGAGGCAACGTAATCTCGACCGCGAGACCAGACATCGCTGTACGAACTCCCGGTTGTAGCAGGGATGACTGCCGAAGCAGCCCCAGCCTCAACCCTAGGCTCTGAGGGCCAGCTCCAAGAGGAGTATATTGACTATTCGGAGGACGATTCGGCAGCTCCTGCCGTCGTCATAAAAGGCGCCAACGTCACCTCAGTTCCCGCCGATGCCCACTTCGTCGCTGAGGAAGTGGGATACGTTGAAACGAGCACCTTAGAGCCGGAACACCAGACCATCGACGAACATGCCGATGCAGAAACTGATGATGTTTCTGTTGCCGCCGATGCATCGCTACAGCCCGGCGACCTAGACCCCACTGATGGGCTTGGAGTTCATGACCTTGATTCTGTTAGCGCGATAGAAGTTGAAGACTCTTACGTAAACGAAGATGAATCTCTTGCCTACGCCGATGTTGCCGAGCCCGCAGATGCTTTGGTCGCTGTGAATGAGATCAGTTGGGAAGACGGCCCGGCAAACGATGAGGACGTAGCCCAGGACGAAGAAAACGAGGGCGAGGACGACCAGGCCGAGAGCAACCAGGACGAGAGCAACCAGGACGAGAGCAACCAGGACGAGAACAATCAAGATGAGACCCCCATCACCCTTGAGAAAGAGGAATGGGAACTAGTGGAAGAGAGGGAAGGGTTCCCACAAAGCGGCCTGAGCCCCGCGAGAAATGCTGGGGAACAAGAAGAAACGGAAGCCCACGAAGCCGACCAAGAGCTTGCGAATTCTTCAAATAATGCAGACAACTTGGGCGCAAACCTAGACCTGTTTGACGTTAACGATGCCGGTGCTGGTCTAGATGAACAGCAAGCTGTCGAACCCCAAGACGAGGAAGTCAATGACCTGCACGAGATAGACTTCAACGACGGCAGCAACGTAGCAACCGTCGATGCCGTAGTGGACGCCAGTGATACTCAACCAGAGCATCCTCCAGACCTCCAAGAGACCGACGGCGATTTCCCGACGGAGCAGGATGTTGAGGATCATCCAATGGGCGAAGATATGGAATCGCAGCCCGAGGAAGAGCTTGAGAGCATCATGGCCGTTGCCAACGCTGACCAGGTCACTGACGAGGAGACCCCTGATGATGTCGTCAACACCGAAGACTACGACGCAGCTGCTGAAAACTCATCTATCCGCGAGCACGTGGAATTCGATGACGAAGTTCTTGCCGACGAGCGATCGTCTGTATCGGTAGAGACGCCCACTAACGAAGAGATGGAAATCCCTGTCGTCACTGTCTCGTACAAGGGCATCGACTATCCTTTCTTCTATGGGTCCCCGGACAGCCAAGGCAAAGAGTGTTTTTTCAATGACCTGTCTTTATTGCACTGCAAAATGGAGGGCGTATTGGCAGGCTTCCGTCGAGAGCTTGCCAACGAGTTGGGCCCTTTTGACGAGCTTGTGTTTCAAATCGACGAGCTTGGCCTTGAGTTCACCGAAGTAAGTTCTCATCCGCCCAAAACACAAGCTCTGCTAACATGTTCAAAGTCTAGCCAAGCAGAGGTCTTCTCGGACATCACATTGGGCCAGATTATTTCCGTGTTCGACTCACTGGTCAAAAACCAGAATGCCGATGCATCCAAGCCACTTTATGCATACCTGACAACGCGGCCTAATTGCAAGAAGCGCTGGCTTTCGCTCGTTGACGATGCCTATAATGGCAAAGGACTCGATGAAATTAGCTACTATTTCGCATCTCGCGCACAGAGCGAGGTGCCCGAGATCATGGATGATGAGCCTGACCTGATAGGAGAAGAAGATAACGCTGATGCTGCCGCTTGGCCGCAATCTCCCGCCGAGAGCGGACACGGTGAGCACAATTTGGATGATGCCGAAGGCGAGAATGAGGAGATCAACGAAGACGACGATGTCGGCGATGGCATCACTGGGGAAGACGATATCCAGTCGCAGAACGCCACTGGGGAGGATTCCTTGCAGCCAGACGAGAGCGCTATTTCGATGCTGGATGTTGAGGCTACCATGGTTGATACCGAGGCTTCTTTGATGGACGAATCCACCGCAGTTGCAGACATGAGCGTCGTTGAAGACGGCGACGTGGAAGATGTAACGGAGGATCAGCAGCCCCAAGAGAATGGGGAGACAGGTAATGACGACCTTTCTCATGTCACTCTGTGCTTCTACCCTCATTTCTGTCTCTGCGCCACTTGCACTTCGACCATTGTCGCAGACCAGATGGCGGAGGAAGACGATTTTCGGTTCGAGTCCTTGGTGCGAGTGACCAAGGAATCTGCTCGACAGCGAGGGCGTTCTCCCTTCGGCAATTTGCAGTTGGCGCTTCCCGAGGGACTGCTCTCGCAAAGAACATTCCGCCATTTGCAATCTTATTCAGAATCCAGCATCACATTTTCTTCGACTGCAGACGCTGACGCTAGAACCCAAGCTCCAGAGATCGATGAAACCGACTTACTCGCGTTGGGAACTCAGGAAGCGGCTGCCCTCAGCACTGCTGCTGACGCACATAACATATTTGACGATGCAGACGCAGCGTTCATCGCAGATCAGATCGTCGACAACGCCAATGAAAGCTCCGCAGAAAAGGTAACCCCTAACACCAGTGCCACGTCTACCTTGAACGGGGACGAAGAGGTCACCTACGAGAACGAACTTGATCTGAACGCCGACCTACTTGATACCGAGGACCATGGACCTGAGGCCACCGTCGAAGACGATGGTCTAGCAGAGATTGACTGGAGAGAATTTTCCGGGCAAGGGGATGATGAGATTACCGTAGAGTCCCCTTCAGCCTCTGGCAAACGCCAGAGGTCGGATGTGGACGACCTGCTGGATGCTGAAGCTCAACAAGGTACGCGGAAGAGGCTCAAAATATGACGAACATAATGAGCTAACTTTCTGTTAGACGTCAAGCGTCGTCGCCCATGAGCTTTGGATAACATCCCAACTAACCCCTTTTGGTGTATCACTCGACGCGATCGGATCTAGGTCCACTGGGCTTCCGCTTCCCGACGTTGACCAGTCCGGTGACTAGACCAACAAACAGCCCGATTTCATGGCCACCGACATTTCGAAGACGTGGACGATATACCCGGCAAGTAGGGCATCGCAATCGGCGCGACCACATAGCCCTCGAGGTAGGTTTCCTAAATTGTTGTTCCCACTGACTTACAGCTTTCCCAACTTCCAACCATTTCCAGGCGGTGACCTGGCAATTCCACGAACGACATACCCCCAGATACCGTCCTTCCCTGGAGCTTTTCGATACCCCCTCTGTTCTCTTGCGATATTGGTGGATTCTGGCGTAAAATGGGGCTCAAAAGCGATGCGATCACCTTCGTGGTTACGATCGATCTTGTACAATAAGACGTCTCAAGGACTCGAGAGGTGGCCATGAATTTGGTCACCAAGAACGGCCCGCTTAGCAAGGTGAAGTGTATGCCTGCTTTTCTGAAGATACTATTGAGAAAGAGTTGGACGAGATCAACGTCTGCATCCGTTGGGATATCTACTTGATGATCAGCTACTTTGGGACTCTGGCTTGAAGGGAAATATTTCATGACAGCAAGCTGAGGCGTCTGTTTTCTCAAAAGGAGCGGCCTGCATAGTTCTACCTGAGATATCTGACGAAGAACACGCATATTTCATTTTACTTGACTTGGTGAATGTTAACCTAACTTCTGTCTGAGTCAAATGTATCAAGCTCTGCAAGCCATGATACAAACAAGTTGCTGCTTTCGCACATAAACCTCAACCCAATGGGAGAGTTGCGACCGTGAATAGCGACCGTGAGACTAAGCTCATCCAACGTCAGTCATCAAATGAGACTTGTCTAAACGGTACACGTAAATGGTGATGTGCAGGTGAGACCATTCAATCTGACCTGAAAATTAGGATGTTTGCGCCGCGGGTCCCTGCTTATACAACGATACGAGCGTGATTTCAGCAGTCTCTTCTCTTCCTCATTTATTCATCTCATGTTGTAACCTCAGCAGTCTTTCGAGACTTTAAGAGCGCACCTTAGTGGTGTAGACATTCGTGAGTATGGCAGCATGAAGATTGACACGGGGATACAAGCAGTCAAATCCTGGCAATGGGCAGAGCTCGGGCGGCGTTCTGCAAGTAATTAAGAGCCAAGGTAGTAGATGGTCACTGGGAGGGAAAGTATATCACGGCTGGGTGATTTAGCTGGTAAGATTAAGGCCTGTCAGTGATGGAAAGGTTTTCTGAGTTGTTGGAACTTTGAGTGTGGTAGGACGGGCACACAGCACTAATCAACTACGTGGGACTGCCCACCTACCTATATTAAAGACGTCCTAGACGTGTCGATCAGGTACGGAGAGTGATAGAGTTTCCCTAGGTAAGGTGGTCTGCCGTTTGGCCCGCCCCCTTGAACGGGACAAGACGAGGAGCCCCTGCCATTCTTCCTTCTGATTTTTTTTTTTTGCGACAAACGCTCGTTCTCTTCCTCCCGTTCTTAAGAGGACAGATAATGGCAGACTTACGGATAGGTCCCTCCGTATCGGAATTTTTCTTTGGGTGGTGTGCTCGTTTCGACGACCGTTCGCGCTCAATGCGCTCGCTACCTCTGCCGTGGATGCCGCATTGCTTGAGCCCCTTCCCTTACTCCACCTGTCTTCCCCCCCATTCTAGGCCGTTGATTGAAATGTAGGAGGAAACGAGCTGTCAAGTGACGGACGGGTTCTCTTGTTTTAATTGTTTCCCAACGGCTCGGATGGGGGATCCGGGGAGCGAGGAGGAGAGAGGATCTACTGCCACCAGCGATATTGGCAGGGGGAGCGGACGGTATTTCGAATTACGTGAATTGGCACCATGGATATCGTTTGTTACATATGTTGTGCTCAATCCGTATTACCTAGGGCCGACGGTCCCACGTGAAAAGCAAAAGGCGTTGGTCACGAGTTACAGTATGGTATTGCGCCTTCCATTCCTCTTGTCGTGGACACTCTTACCTAAGATATGGTAAGGGAAATCAAGGGTTTGACACGAGAAAAGGCCTTGGAAGGGCTTGGGACGTATGGAGAGGGGACAAGCAAAGTCCCAGTCATCTGCTTGATGGCTATCTGATAAGTGAGCCTGTCGCTCTCTTTTATCTAATTGTCTTTTCCAAGTGGATAAGAAGAAACAGAGGCAGAGAAACGGCAGACCGTCGCCGGCTTCGGGCACTATCGGCAAAGCGGACTCGAGATATTCCCGTCTGCTGAGTGACAGACTGGCAAGATGGGGAGTGACGAGTGACGACGACGGCTACCGCAGTAGGGATGCGCGGTAGGGATGGGCAAAGCGTGAGATGGTGGCTGTGGCTGTTGGTTTAATTAACGAGGGCCGTTTTGGTGGTGGTCGTGTCGAGACTTTGTGAGTGCAAGTGTGGGTTCGGAGGGGGACTGCCAGGACTGGGAGAGGGCGGAGGTGGTGTCAGGGGGAGAGAGAGTGAGAGGCAGCAGTCACCAGTCACAGTGTCATTCGTAATGAACCTGTTTCAATGGGACCCCACATGGGTTGTGAGAGAAAAATAGAAATGCCGATTTCTGTCGTGGATCGGATCTTCGTATGGAGATTTGCAGGGGGGAAAGGGAAGCACTGACTTGTTCTGTACGGATAGTGTCGACTGACGACCGAGAGGGCCACGCCTCCCGCCATTTTTCGTATACTACGTAGGCCCTGCTGTTTGTTCATGGGGGAGAAGGATGATGTTCCTATTTTCTGTACATAACGCTAACGACTTAATGCCATTGGGCGCCCTTTTCACTGAAGGTTGAGTGAGAGTCCGCGGTATTCTCTTCACTGCTTGCACAGTTGGACTTCTGCTGTCTGTTTCGTTCAGGGGTTCATGGGCTCAGCGTGGATCGAGGACGAGACTAACCAAGGTACCGCCCCTCAAGACTGACACTCCAGGAGGAGTCCTGGAGACTTGGGGACACTTTGGGGAGTCTGCTGCCAACCACGGCCCCCTGCGGATAGTGGTGGTGTCCTGCTTTGGCGCCCTTAGCACCCCTGTCAGAGTCGAGTCGAGTTGCGTTAGTAAAGGGACCGTTTTCCAGTTGTTAGCCCCTGCTTGCTACCGCTGCGATGACCTCAGTGATGAACGGCGTTGGTATGGTGACCATGTTTCTAGGTTCTAGGTAGGTGAAGACATCGTGAATATTTAGGGAAGCGGATGAGTGGTGAGATAGGACGAGTGTATGTATGGATAGACATGGGCAGATGAAGCAGAGGAATAACAGAGTTTGAACACATGAGAAGAAACGGTACGGACGAAGAAGCAACCAAGCCTTGGCGTCCCTGTCAGGAAATCGCCTTCCGTCCAAAATCGCATGCGAAGCCTGTTCCATCCTCTCTGGATTTCCGTCCGACATCCGTCCAAGGCTTCTGGTCGTGCTGGTGTGTCCAAGGTGTAAAAGATTCAAGTGTTGGCCACTGGCCTGAATCGCTGCATATCGTATCAATCCAAGGCATGTTTGTACAACATCGTTCGTGGTTTGTTCAGAACTAGACCAAACCAAGTCGGGCCAAACCCACCAGGCTGAGCGTTTGGCGATGACAGGAAATTTTCGATGCTCCCCCGGGCCTCTAGGGCGTGCCCACTGCCAGGTCCAAAATGGACAGCTTGGCCTGGCCCTTCCCAAGGTCCTCTAGCGGCAGTGGCCCCCCCTCCGGCCGGCCTCAGCCCCTCGACCCTCTTGCCTCGAGCAGTCCACAGGTACCTATCTAAGGTACCGTACTGTCTAAGGTAAGTAACCCCACCCGCACTCAACAAGTCTGGCGTCCGCGGCCAAGTTCGTTCCCGTCCTCTCGCGCAGGCCCGTCTGGTATTTTTAGGGACAAGGTCCCGTCACCTCTTGGGTCTGTACCTATGTCCACAGGTACCTCTCGATAGGTACGGAGTACTGACACTACCTTAGCTGTCCGTCTATTCGAGCCACCACAAGTCCACAACCACAAGATCCCAGCTGAATAGCACAAGGAAAAAAGAAGGTAAAGTGCGCTATCGTGAAGAACGCGTACGCTCCAATTTACCCGTCCAGGTTTGCCAAGCAGGAGATGCCTACCTACCTCCATGGACATGGACATTGGGAGCATAGCAATGCCAAATACTCTGTACAAAGTATGGATTAGATACCTAGGTGACCTGACCTGCTTCACATCTTGCTGCAGGGCACCTCTTCAACCCTTCCCAGGGGCCTCTGAAACTCAAACCTGTCCCTATCTGGCTGGTTGGCATTCCTCGACACGCACCTACCCACTGCGAAGTCAGACAAGACCACATTTTTCCTGCACCTCAGTCTTCCCACCACCTTACTTTGCTTGCCTTACCTAAGAAAAGGTACCTATCTACACTACCTTACTCCGTACGGATACCTGACGTACCTATCGACCGACGCAGCAAAAGGTACCTTGCCATTCCGTTACCGCCAATACCTTGCTTGCCTTCTGCATCGCCTCGCCTTACGGTATTGCCGCACGTCGAGAACCCTCGAGAGGTACCTGATCCATCTCACTGCTGTCTCCGAACCTGTCACGCTACGTACCGCTCTCACAGTTTTATCTGCAAAATCCCACGAAACACTCTCCCTCCCCTTTCGGCTTTCCATTTGCGCCAACCAACCATCCCCGACCCCGACACACCTTTCAGTGACACCAAGACCACGACGACTCCCTCGACTCGCTTTGAATCCCCTCCACTCGAACTCGCCCCGACTCCACGACGCACGCCCGCGATCCCATCACGACTGCCCATCTCCCCTCCCTCCTCAACTGCGACTCCCCGACCACCAAGAGTCCCCCGGCTCCCAGATTTCCATGTGTCGCTGCTGACGAGGTTCGACGTTACCACTCCAAATTTCTCTCTACCTCGCCCGGCGCGAGCCTCGCAAGCTCCCCTTCACGGGACACCACACTCTCTACAGCGACCGCATTTGCCTCGGCGCACAACTCTAATCACCACCGACGCTCGTTTTGCTGTCCGTCGCAGTCGACGCGCTCATTTTCTTTTTTGGCAAGATGATGTTGGACGAGAAGTACGTTTGCGACTCGGCCGGCCTTTGGGTCTCCCTCCAGACCCTACTCATACGTCCACCTGGCCTTGGAACCTGGAATCGCTGACAGACCATCCGCGCAGATACATTGGCCTAGGCCTCGCCATGGCATCGAGTTTAGCCATTGGTATGCATGTCCTTCCCACAGTTTCTCGTAGACTACATCGCTGACAATACTCGCCTCACAGGTATAAGTTTCGTGGTTACGAAAAAGGTTCGCGGTTTCCGATCGCCAGAGTTGCCCTCGGCACTAGTTACAATTGACCTTACAATGTACGGGAGCTAATTCTCAACTGTAGGGTCTCATGCAAGCAGAAGAGCGCCATGGTTTCGAGGGCGACGGATTCGTATACCTGAAGAGCCCGGTCTGGTGGGCTGGTATTTCAACTTGTGAGTCTGCATTAGACCTCAACTGAAGGTGACGAAGCCGCTAACACGTGCGTAGTGGTTGTCGGAGAAATCTGCAATTTCGCTGCCTATGCATTCGCGCCTGCCATTCTCGTCACGCCTCTCGGAGCTCTCTCTGTCCTGATCGGTGCTGTTCTGGGTTCCTACTTCCTCAAGGAAGAGCTTGGAGTTCTGGGTCGTCTGGGCAGTGCAATCTGTCTAATCGGCGCCGTCATCATCGTGCTACATGCGCCTCCAGATGAAGATATCCAGACTGTTGACCAGATCCTGCACTACGCCATTCAGCCAGGTATGTCTACAATTATGTACAACAATGCGACCAAGAACTGACCCCTTTGTCAGGCTTTTTGTTGTACGCCTTCACTGTTACCGTCTTTGCAGTCGTCATGATTTACAGAGTCGCACCACTCCACGGAAAGAAAAACCCGATTATTTACCTCTCCATTTGCTCAACGGTTGGATCAGTTTCGGTCATGTCTGTCAAGGCCTTTGGAATCGCCCTCAAGCTCACTTTCGCCGGAAACAATCAGTTCAGCCACCCTTCGACTTATGTCTTCATGATCCTTACCACCGTTTGCATCCTGACGCAGATGAACTACTTTAATAAGGCTCTTGCTCAGTTCCCCACCAACATGTAAGTGAAGGAACGCCAAGTCTGTGATTGCCAAACGGCGCTAATAGAGGACCATATAGTGTAAACCCTCTCTACTACGTAACGTTCACGACCATGACCCTATGCGCCTCCTTCATCCTCTTCGGCGGTTTCAACACTACCGACACGGTCAACACGATATCCCTTCTCTGCGGTTTCCTGGTCACCTTTACCGGCGTCTACCTGTTGAACCTGTCTAGATCGGACCCGAACGGACATAAGTACGTTGCAGGCCGCGGCGGCGACGATGCCACCGGTACGGACATGATCTCTACAATCCAGACTCGTTTGAGTATGCAGGCACGCCGGAGTGGAGATCCCCACCGGATGAGCATTGGCAGCCGCCATGGAGATACAACGGGGCTGATGAGGGCCTACGACGAGGAAGCTGGTGCTGAGTTCGGTCTCACCGACCTGGCCGACGAAAGCGACGACGAGAATGACCACCGTGGAGCCAACGGGACCGCCAACGGCCACTCGAAAACACACAATGAGACAATTGAGCTTCAGAATCAGAGGTCCGACAGATGAGGAACCTGGAGGATGAACCGTCTGTTTTCTAGTTATCGGCCAACGCCGAGGCGGTGATTGTCTTTTTTCTTCGAAGCATTTCTTACCAGGGCCCAAATGGGGGCAGCATTGTACATTTTTCGCGAAAGTCAAATGACTGAGAAGTTTTCCACGACATGATCGGATTCATGAAAGAGGCAAAGACCCACGGAACAAGGCGCGCGCCCCAAGTGAGGGAGGGGAAAGCACCTAGGGAAACCAGAATCGAGCTTTCCCCTGCACTATTTCACTCCTGCCACGGCACGAGGAGTATTCACTGAGCAACGGGAGGGATCACTATTTGGGGGCGTTTATCGGGGTTTCCAATGGGATACTGGGCGTGCGGAAAGCACCTCTTGTTGTACGATTAAGGGCAAGGCGAATAGGGGAGAGGTGTATGTGAGTGTGAGAGAGAGGCATACCCTGGGTTCGCCTGGAGACCGGCATCTTCTGTTCACTGTCCAAAGCATTTCAAAAACCATAGAAGTAGGCCGAGGCCTAGAGCCTCGCGAATTGAGCATCATGGACCGACTGTAGACCGCCATCAGGTAGTAATATGGTGACAGGATTGACAAGTAGCAACGGATTGGATTGCTTTGGTACACAACATGCGCACATGATAGTAACCCATGGCCTTCGCCGTAGTTGGTAGTATCCACCTCCCTTCGAGACCAGTTGTTTGTAGATGACATCACAAGGTGGACACTGCAGATTACTTTTGAATGATTTCGTTGCTCATTTCATGGTTTGTTCTACCATGACAAGCCAGTCGCAACTATCCGAATTCCCTTTCGCAGAGTGATGCAAATGTTGATCAAGACGCCTGAGTAGTTATTCCACCCCCGTCCTCCCTTTTTTGCTGGTTCTTTTTTCGCGCGAAACACCCCGTTTTTTGTATTCCCCTAGTCTGGTATTGGAAGAAAACTAGGATGAACTAGAGACAGAAGCGTGCGACAAAAAAAAAGCAGACTCGAAAAATCCCCCTTTCGCGCTGAACAGCTTTCCAGTCCCTTGTTTTACCATCCGGCGGGGCTGAAAGAGTCAGCCTGCTCGACAGAAGAAACCTGCGGCTGGGCAGTCTCCTACGACTGAGCCTCGGCCTCCTCGCCAGCCTCGGGTTGCTGCTCCGCTTGTTGCGCCTCAGCGGCGGCCTGGGCCTGGGCAGCCTTAGCGCCGTAGTCCTGGGACATGGGCTGGACGACGGACTGCTCCTCCTTGGGCTCAAGGATGGAGACGGCGTCGGGGAGGGTCTTCTGGGGGCCGGCCTTGCCCTCGGGGTCGGAGCCGCGCATGATCTTGACCTTGATGCCGAGAACACCCTGGCGGAGGAGGACGTGGCGGGTGGCGTGGTCGATGAAGTCCTTGGCGGGCTGACCAGAGTGGATCATGAAGCCGTCGGTGAACTTCATGGACTTGGCGCGGGCGGCGCGGAGCTTGCCGGAGACGACAACCTCGCAACCCTTGGCGCCGGACTCCATGATGAAGCGGAGGACACCGTAGCAGGCGCGACGGACGGCGAGACCGTTGAGGAGCTTGTAGCGGAGGGACTCGCACTGGGCGACGGCGGAGAGACCGCGGTTCTGGACCTTTGCGGCGTAGAGGGAGACGGAGTTCTCGGGGAACTTGAAGCGCTTCTGGATGAGCGAGGTGAGCTCGCGGATGCGGCGGCCCTGCTCGCCGAGAACCTCCTGGGTGTGGGTGGCGCGGATGATGATGTCGGTTACCGTGGGGGTGACGCGGACCTCGACGCCGGAGTAGCCCTCCTCGGCCAGCTCGCGCTGGAAGAACTCGTTGAGCTCAGCGTAGAAGACGCCATCGGCGACGAACTTTCTGCGCTTGGAGCTATATGGGAAGAGACGAATTGTCAGTAAAGACTGTTCCTCCAAATATTTTCATCTTCTTTTCTACTTCAAGCATTTCGGAAAATTCGAGATTGGCGAAATTTGGTGACAGGCGGGGGGAGGATCTCGAGGAAATGTTGCATTGACAACAGAGGAAGGACAATTCTTACATCTGAGTGCCTGGAACAGCCATCTTGACTTTCGTGTGCCCGGTTTTGTCGAAAGGGGGGGGATAGTTGGACGAATTGTTGGAGTGTCGACGGTTTCGTTCGGCGGAGGGGCGGAAGGTTGAGAAGTGAGGTTGTTCGAGTAGTCCACACTTTGCCCAATCGTCAGTGCCCCGGGATCGATTTTGCGCTGCAAAAATTGAGCAAATTCTGTGTGCCCTAGAGAGGCGGGCGATAAGGGGAAGCCTTTGGTCTTTTGTGGTCTGTGCTCTGTTCTTATCGGGACGCGCCAGTGGACCCCATTTGCCAGCTGTGATGACCTGTCAGGCGTAAAGTGCATTTCCCCTCGTCTGGTCAGCAACATCCATACATACCCCAGTCGAGTGCTTTGCACGTGCTGGACAGAACCAACTGGCTGATCATCGGGACATCGGGAGAGAGAGCTCCGTTGGCCGGTAGTGGGGTTTCAAGGGGCCAGCTTCGGCTTGGTGGGGACCAGAGTCGTGGGAATTTGGAGGTCCCCTGTTGGGTTGCAGGCTTGCAGCGTGCTGGCCACGACAGTGACGGTCACAGGGGAGTTGAGAGCGTCAGGTGGGTGACATTTTGATGCTTGGGATCCAGACCAAACTGCGATTTATTACCAAATATTTTGCTGTCTGGCCTGTTGGTGGTGTCCTGAGCAGGTACCTAAGACTTAACATGACACTCATCAGATGGTATTCACTAGGCATTCCATAATCCTACAAGAATTCAAATTCTGTTGGAACAAGGCTTAGGTACGGAGTACACCACGCAAGCTTGCCGGTTGCTGGAAGAGAGCCATCAAGCACTGCCTCTGCAAACCGTGACGTCGGCTCTCTGCTCTCAGCCCCGCGCTAAGCTAAGGGACCAGGTAGATGGTGCGGATCAGCCGTTCCTCCCCTTCCTGCTGCTCCTGCTCTTTGCGACTGCGCAGCAACAAAATCAACCCCAGACAGCCGACCTCCGACCTGACAACCGCAACCGTCCCTCCCCACGCTACCTGACCTTGCCTCCAAACCTTACCCAGCCCAACCCTCCGACCTCCAACATCGTGTGGTTGCATTGATTTTCTTTGGCCTCTTCTTTTCCCTATTCAACCTCACTACCTCACTGAAGTTGCGCGGCTTTTCTGCTGCTCTTCTTCCAGTGAACTTATTCACCTACAAACACCCACGTCCCGAGCCTTCCGCATTTGCGCGCGGCCATGCTCCAGTAGCTCAAAGAAGCATCATCTTCCACATTGCACTTCATCATGGAGGCCAGGAAGGTAAGCTATTTGCCCTTTCTACTGACTATTTTTTTCCTTACTATGCAAAACCACATGAAAGAGGAAAGGCTGACTATGGTGTGATTCAAAAAATACAGGTAGTCGAAAACGTCCAGTGCATCAACGGAGGACTCACCTCGGTCGGCACCTTGCGCTTGACCGATTTCCACCTCGTCTTCTGCGCGCCACCTCCCCCTCCCAAGAAGCAGACCGCCGACCAGACCGATCAACCTCCTCCAAAACCTCGAGAATCATGGATCACCTATCCTATTCTATCGCAGTGCATACTCCGACTTATGCCTCCAACGCATGGCATACACAGCTCTATCCGCATCCGCTGTCGCGACTTCATCTTTGTCACATTCAATTTTGAAGACAACAATGTTGCTCGAGACGTCTTTGAGTTTGTGAAGCTCAGAACTTGCAAGCTGGGCACCATCGAGAGGCTCTTTGCTTTCAGTCACAAGCCCTCCAAGGCCGAGCGACAGATCAATGGCTGGAGCGTCTACGATCCCAAAGCCGAGTTCCGGCGTCAAGGCATCAGCGAGAAGTCATTGGACAAGGGATGGAGACTCACCAACATCAACAAGGATTTTACTTTCTGCGACACTTATCCCGCCGTTCTGGTGGTTCCCTCTTGCATCTCAGACAACGTTTTGAAATACGCCAAGGAGTATCGTTCTAGACACAGAATCCCGGCCCTGAGTTACATTCACGCAGACAATAACTGCACTATTACGCGCAGCTCACAGCCTCTTTCAGGCATCACTAGGAAGAACAATGTGCAAGACGAGAAGCTGGTATTGGCTTCGTTTGCACCTATCATGCCCCGAAGTAGCATTGATCAAGACCAGCCTCCCCGCCTGAGCCAGTCAGACATCTCCGAAAAGTCATCTACGGATGGAGAACTCTCTGAGCAGATTGCCGCAGACGATGAGCCCAAGATGTTTGATGAAAACGGCAAGCGCCTCATCTACGGTGCCCAACAAGCCAACATGATTGTCGATGCCAGACCTACTGTGAATGCCATGGTCAATCAGATTGGAGGAATGGGTTCTGAGCCTATGGACCGCTACCCAGGTGCCAAGAAAGCCTTCATGAACATCGAAAACATTCATGTGATGAGGAAGTCGTTGGAGAGCGTCATGCTATGTCTCAAGGATGCTGACCTGTCTCCTCTGTCCCCTGATCAGAACGCCCTGGCTGCCACCAACTGGCTGAAACACACGCAAGCTGTTTTGAATGGAGCTGATATCGTCGCCAAGCAAGTATGGCTGAAACAGTCACACGTCCTCATTCACTGCTCCGATGGCTGGGACCGAACCAGTCAGCTTAGCGCTCTTGCTCAGATCATGCTAGACCCTTTCTTCCGAACTATTGAGGGATTCATTGTCCTCGTCGAGAAGGACTGGCTTGCCTTTGGCCATATGTTTAGGCTTCGATGTGGCCACTTGAACCACGAGGACAACTTCAAGGTCCAGAACGACTCGATGGCAGGCTCAACTATTCAGCCTGGAGAAAATGATGGCCGCGCAGATGCTTTCCAGAACGTCTTCACTGGTGCGAGGCAGCTGTTTAACCCCAGCAAGGAAGACAAGGCTGAACTCGATGCCATCACCGAAGGTTCTACCGGAAAAGTCGCCAAAGACGAGGCTACTGTTCCTAAGATGGTCAGCCCAGTGTTCCACCAATTTGTGGACTGCGTCTACCAGCTTCTTCGCCAGAACCCGACCAAGTTTGAGTTCAACGAAAGATTCCTTCGCCGGCTTATCTACCATCTCTACTCCTGTCAGTATGGTACCTTCCTCTACAACTCCGAGAAGCAGAGACACGAGGCTCGTGCCGCTGAGCGCACTTCTTCGGTCTGGGACTATTTCTTGTCCCGCAAGCCAGAGTTCACCAATAAGGACTATGATCCGACCTTTGATGAGTATGTCAAGGGCCGTAGCCGCATCATAGTACCTGACATGAGCAACATCCGCTGGTGGCACCAGCTCTTCAACCGGACTGACGAAGAGATGAACTCACACCTCAACGCCGTGGCGACCGCTGCAGCCAACAGAGCTACGGCCATGAATGAATTGCACCCAACTACGGAGGATTCTTATGCGAATAGCCAGCCTGGAACCCCGCCCCATTCTGCCGCAAGTCCCAAGCCGCCATCTCTCCCTACCAGCCAGTCGGTTATGGGAGGTGTGGAGAATACGCATACCACGTTGACGCCTGATTATCAAGAGCGACAGGCTCCAGTTCTACGCCGCAGTGTGTCGGCCGAGAACTCCAATACCTTCAGCGCAGTAAGGGATGGAATCGCGGGCTTAAACATTGGCAAAAACGTCAGTGGGATGCTCAACAATCTGGCCGGACGCAGTGCCAGCCCTGCCTCCACTTCAAGGGTTACAAGCCGCAGCGAGCAAGAGCTCAGAGAGATGACATAGGGCGTCATGTTCGAACGAATGCACGAAGCGCCTTACACCGTCGAGGTGACTAGCGCTACAATGAAACTCGACGCCGAGCTCTTTTACCAGGAGAACTGGGCTGACTCGACTTATACGCTTAGCAACTGGGGCGATTCAACGGTCTGGGAATGGGGTACCAGAGCCGTTGCCAATGTCGCCACCCTTAGTAGAGATTGGTCAAACTTGACCGATGGCTTGGCCGAGGACATGCCTGATGGAGATGCTTGCGCTGACGGTATCCCCCGCGACAACGATGGCGTCTGTGTCAATGGAGATGCGTCAGCCGACATCGACGCCAGTTCCGACACGTTCTCTATTCATTCTCTCGGCCGTGTCTCGACGGAGGATGTCGCCGATAACAGCAACTTCATTTTGGTGAACTCGAGCACGGAGGACCTTTCGGCTGAGAATGGCGGATCTTTGGTGGACTCAAGCATGGAGGATCTGTCTGCAGCATACGGCGGATCTGTGATCTCCAGCCACTAGCCACACAAGACTTCCTAGTTCGATATTTCAGGAGCTTGGCATGGACTTGATGCATTTTCATCTCACGACTACGAAGGGCACGAAAGAAATGGGGTCTCTCAGCAAATGCAAGTCAAACACGTTTTTCTCAGAGGGAACGACTGATTTACGGCTTTTCATGATAGCGAGCCGGAGTTTTGTACAAGTACTACGACTTTTCTTCTTCTTTTTGACGCTTTCGCCCCTTTTTTTTCTCGATCTCCGTCATGCTGGATACCCAGCAATTCGTTTCCCCTCGCTCTACTTTTCGGCGTCCAAGAGGTGTGGTTAAAGAGAAACTTTTTGCGTCCAAGACTGGGAAAGGGTCTAAAACGGGATATGGGGATGAAACGGTTTCGTTGACACAGCAGCAACGCGGTTTGGAAGGGCAAGAGAAAAGTTTGGGTGGATGGAGTTCACGCGCAGAGAGTCGGGAGAGACACAAACGGAAAATGAGAGACGAGAGATGGGATAGAGATGGAGAGGCTTGGGGGTCCGTCATATAGATCCACTTGGCTTTTCGAACTCCTGTGTACTCTCGATTCCATAATTCTAATCAGTCTGAAGCTACTCTTCGTTCTCGTGATGATGTACTATGTGCTCTGGAGTGCTCGCGTGATCAGGTCGTCGTAGGTGTACGTAGCGCAGAGCTTCGGTACGCAGTAACTAGGTTGCGACAGTTTCTTCTTTTTGTTTGATCTTTTTTTATTCTTTGGTGTTAATTGCTTCATCTGCCTTAGCTCGCCTAGTGCAAAGAGCAAAGTCTATATCCGACCGCCTTACGTCTAGCAAAGCCTTTTTCCACGGTTTTAAAAAAACAGTCCGTAGCCATTCGTCATGCCCATATCCCATCATGCCTCGTCACTACAAGAAGACCTCAAGGTTGATCTCAAGGGTGCTCACAGGGTATCTGTCGCGTAGATTAGTATCTGATGGTCTAGCTTCGGGGTCAGAATAGGGGACGGGGTGGGTGGATAATACCTCAAGTCAAACTTCTCCAACACGGTAGGGTGCAAGATGCCGAACTCGCCGATGCGCGCCTCCTTACCACCCAGACGCAGGTAGATGGCGGCCGCGTGACCAGCGAAGAAAGTGGGCTCATCAACCTCCTCGATCCAGTAGCCGTCAGGCTTGCTGGGGTTCTCGACGACCTTGAAGTCGACGCTCTTGCCTGCCGTCAGACCCTCCTCGTGGGTGAGGAAAGCTGTACGGAGCATCAAGAGGACGCGGTCGAGAAGACCGTGAACAACCTCGAAACCGCTAGTCTTACCGTACCAGGCAGCAGCGAAGTGGCGCTCGTTGCGAGCCTTACGCTCCAGTGACTCGTCCTTGAAAACGACATCGGCTGACTCGAAGATCTTGATGGGGACGCTGTGCTTCTTATTCTCGCGGATGGTCTTGAGAAGACCAGGGACCAGGGATGTCCGCACAACCTGGTACTCGGCGGTCTTGGGGTTGGCAAGCTTGACAGCAGTCTTGCCGTCGTCCTTGCGGTTCAGCCAGCCGAAGTTCTCGTCGTGGCTGCACAGAATCAGAGGCATAACCTCGCTCCAACCAGACATGGCGGCCTCTGTCCGCACAATGTCAGCGAGCTTGTTGATCATGAGAGGCGCTCCAATGGTGGCGCTCTTGTTGGGAGAAGATCTAGGGAGATTGTTGTAGCCGTAGCAGATGGCCAGATCCTCCATGACGTCGCATTGGTGGAGCACATCGGCACGGGTGACAGGAATTGAGACGCTGAGGAGGTTGCTGTCCTTGTCGGAGGGCTTGGCGATGTAGGCCATCTTGTTGAGGAGCTGGCACATCTTCTCGGGGGTTTCACTGAGGCCAGTGCAGGCGTTGAGGTAGTCAATCTCGACACTGATCGTGCGGGGGGCGAGGGTTGGTGTCGTTCTTGATGCGCCGTTGTGCTCGGAAACGATCTTTACGGGCTCGACGGTGAAAGGCTCGGAGCAGTACTGCGAGAACATTGTGACCATCATGTCGCAGACAATATCGAGCTTGGTGGCGTCCGTCGCTGTCATCTCAATGAAGACATTCTTGGTGTTGACGGTGATCTTGGAGTGGTCGCCGTTGATGATGGGCGGTAGCGAACAGACGACTCGGTTCTTGTCGTAGATGACAGGGTAGACGGGAGAGTCCTTGATAATGTGCAGGTACCTGCCGAGATGCTTGTCACTCTCGTAGAACTGCATCAGCTCCTCGCCGTTCATCTCCTTGGTCTGGTTCAGGGGCTTGAACTTGATATCCTTGGCCGGCAGAGCCTCGTATGTGAAGGGACCTTCTATCGTGTCAAGATCGTGGGTTCCAATAGCCACCAATGTTCTTTGTCTCGCCAAGTTCATGTGCAGCTTGTCCTGAAGGCCGATGAAGGAGTCGTAGCTCTCCTGGGTGAACTTGATGTTTCTGAGAATGGCACCAGCGACGAGGGGTCGAATCTTGCTCGTGTCCTGAGCCACGGTGATGACGGAGGCTTCGGGGTTCTTGGGCTCTACGACCTTGTAGTTGGGTGCGGCGACCTTCTCCCTGAAGATGTTAAGCATGAGCGCGATACCCTCGAAGCACAGCATATCGTATCGGTTGGCGGGGATCTCGATCTTCAGCTGGGGCGGCTCCTGCACGCCATTGACAATCGGTCGGTCGTCATTCTCGGTGTCCTCGTCGAGTTCGATGCCGAATTCGAAGCAAAGGTCTTCAAACTCTTGGGTGGTGAAGCTGTGCGGGTGACGTTCAGCAAAAGGGAGTCTGGGGATGGCGGGGTCGAAATGTGTAGATCGGGGCGGGCGGTGCCAGGACGGCGCAACTCACTTTTGGCCCAGGGCCTTGTACAAATCGTACTTATTGACGGATATGGTAGGCATGGTGAGAATTGGCGAGAGTCTCTCGAGGATGTAGAGGTCCGGCTATCGTCAGGGGCAGGAGAGGATTCAAGCAATGGTCAATTTCCGTCTCCAATATGGCCTTGAGTCACAGAAATTTTGGGGACACTCGGAGATGAAGCAACTGCATGCACGCATGGAAGGTTCGCCGGGGCGGGATGAAGTTGCTGCTTTTAGAGGTCTGTGGGAGTCATTTCGGCTTCATCGCACCTATTGGAGGGGCTGCGGGGTTGAGGGGCAGCAAAAGCAGCGGTCGCACTCGGCATCTTAATTTTCCAGGGTCCGATGTCAGAGGGTGGTCCGTGCCAAGCGAAACCGGGACGGGCAGCAGTGCAGCAGCGCAGCAGGAGAAATGGAAGCCATAAATCACCCATATGCCTCTTCGGTGCAGGCCTAATGACAGCTGGCGGCCAGTGCACCCAGCCGTGCGCACATTCCAGCTACGAGATGTTTCGCCGCTGCTGGAAAGTGGAAGGGACTGGAAGGGACATGCCATCGACACCTGAGCTGTTTGTTCGTGACGGGAAGGTTTGACAGGTACCTCACTGACAGCTCATAGCTACCCAAGTCGAATACTTTGCTGGTCGAGATTCCGGCAGTGCAGTGAGCGCTGGATCTTTGTAATCACAGCCATGCCTACCCAAACACTCAGATTCGGAACAAGATAAAATATGAAATAGCTGTCCCATAGCCTCCCCCTCCATGAATGTGAGGCGGTGCGTACCTAGGTAAGGTGAGGTAGCTTAGCTGCATGCTGAATGACCCCTCCTCGGCTGGTCACCTGGGGAACATCTCAGCAGGCCAAGAAGGAATGAAGCCGAACTTGAAAGTTTAGATGCCTTAGATTAGCTGTTTGGAAGTGCTATGGTGCTGATTGCATTGATGACAGAGGACGAACAAGTTCCAAAGAAACATGAGGAAGTTGGGTACGCAGACGAGGGCAGGAGGGTTACGTCAGTAGGTACCTACTGCAAATCCGCTCTTCAGCTGTTAAGATGCAGCAGCAAGCAGGAAGCAGCAAGCAGGCAGCCCCTCACCAGAGAGAAAGAGCACCTCCTCCTGCACCCCTGCCTTACGACCACCAAGAAGTTCCAGGTACGTACCTTTCCTCTGGTACACCTTGCCTAAGGCGGTCACAGATACAGGCTCTCGTAGGCGCCTGGAAATGCAGTTGCCCATCTCCTAAGGACTGAGGTGGCCACCACAGCAGATAATTTAGGTGCGGTAAGGTAGCCCATTTCTGGTAGGGTGGGACAAGACTAGGAGGAGCAGAAGCGAAAGTCGACCTCAGAAACAGCACGTCAAACTTCCCTTCCCATGCCTCGTGCTTCCCACTATCTATCTCAAATCAACACCCGACCACGCTTCTCCTCCACTACTGCCATACGAACCTCACCACGACAACTAGCTGTGCCTTTCGCCAACCTGACGTCGGATCGCTGGCATGGTCTGCATGCCCGCAACCTCCTGATAATATCTGCCATACCACTATCCCGGTTGCGTCGTCTCAGATTTTAGAGCCCCCCCAATCCCACAACGACCGCCGCTCGCCCTCAACCAACCCATTGCATCACCCGCACGCGATCCACTCCGATCGCTCACAACCACGACGTCGACTCTCCTGAACATCAACCGACCCTCCCATCGATAAACGCGCCTGCGCAACCTCGCTCGCCATGGCAGACGCGCCGAATACCCAGGACGAGCTCTACCCCATCGCCGTCCTCATCGACGAGCTAAAGGTATGGCGGTGACTCTGCCTATTCCAGCCCACCCCCGACGTCAGCCTTCACCCGCCAGCGCACAACACATTGCTAACCTTTCGCGATCCAGCACGACGATGTCCTCCTACGCCTCAATGCCATCCACCGCCTCTCCACCATCGCCCTCGCCCTGGGCGCTGAGCGCACGCGTGAGGAATTGATTCCCTTCCTCGACGGTATGTCTTGCGCATCCATCCCTCTGTGAGCCAAAATCTTAACTTTCAATCAGAGTCCGTCGAGGACGAGGATGAGGTGCTAGTCGCTCTCAGCGGCGAGCTGGGCAACTTCATCGAGTACGTCGGAGGCGCCCAATGGGGTCATGTTCTCCTCTCCCCCCTCGAGAACCTCGCTGCCATCGAGGAGCCCGTGGTGCGGGACAAGGTAGCTATCGCCCCCTGCTCCACCCGAAAGTCATGTCGCCTAATCAAAACAGGCCGTCGAGTCCCTCAACAAGATCTGCGAGGAGCTGTCCTCCCAGCAAGTCGAAGAATACTTCATCCCTTTGACCATCCGACTTTCAAAAGCAGACTGGTTCACCTCCAAGGTGTCTGGCTGCGGTCTCTACACATCGCCCTACAAGAAGGTGTCCCCGGGCATTCAAGAAGACCTCCGAAAGCAGTTTGGACAGCTTGTTCACGATGAGACACCTATGGTCAGACGCCAAGCAGCCACTAACCTGGCAAAGTTCGTCAAGGAGATGCCGGCCGCTATTGTTGTTGAAGAGATGATACCCCTTTTCCAGCACCTCGCCCAGGACGATCAGGACAGCGTCCGCTTACTTACCGTCGAGATCCTCATTTCCATCGCCGAGGTCGTGCCCAAGGAGCAGCAGTCGAGTCACGGTGTTCTCCTCACTTCTCTGCGAAACCTGATCGAGGACAAGAGCTGGAGGGTTCGGTACATGATCGCGGACAGATTTGAAAAGGTTGGCAGGAATCGAGAAGCTCGTTTGGAGAGCCACGCTAATACGCGAACAGATTTCCAAGGCTGTTGATGAGGAGGTCGTCTCAAGGGATCTGGTGCCGTCTTTCGTGAAGCTCCTCAAGGATAACGAGGCAGAAGTCCGGACCGCGATTGCTGGACAAATACCTGGATTCTGTGCTCTGGTTGACCGAACTGTTCTCCTGAATGACATCATGAGCAGCGTGGAGGATCTCGTTTCCGACACGTCCCAGCATGTCAGAGCTGCTCTCGGTACTCAGATCAGCGGCCTTGCGCCCATCTTGGGAAAGCAAGAGTAGGTTCCATAAGCGCTGCGGTCTCGTCACAAGTGACTAACTTGCCACAGGACTATCGACCACCTTCTGCCCATGTTCTTGCAAATGCTGAAGGATGAATTCCCCGAAGTTCGCCTCCACATCATTTCCAAGCTTGAGCTAGTCAACCAGGGTATGTGCAACTTCCACGGATAAAAGCATCTTGCTAACTGTTTTGTAGTCATCGGAATTGATTTGCTCTCCCAGTCTCTTTTGCCCGCCATTGTGCAGCTTGCCGAGGACAAGCAGTGGCGTGTGAGACTGGCCATCATCGAGTACATTCCCCTCCTTGCCAGCCAGCTCGGAGTCAAGTTCTTCGACGAGAAGCTGAGCAATCTCTGCATGAGCTGGCTGGGCGATACCGTCTTCTCAATCCGTGAGGCGGCGACACACAACCTGAAGAAGCTCACCGAGGTCTTTGGAGTCGAATGGGCGAGTGAGGCGATCATTCCAAAGGTTATGGCCATGGGCAACCACCCTAACTACCTCTACCGAATGACAACCGCCTTTGCTATCACCGTAAGTCATGTATCTCGCATCTGCAATTGTGCCAGAAATGCTAATGATTGCAGACCCTGGCTTCGGTTGTGAGCCTTGATGTCATTGCTGACAAGATCCTGCCCATGTTGGACAAGCTCGTCGACGATGAGATCCCCAACATTCGCTTCAACGTCGCCAAGACATATGGCGTTCTGATTGACGTCCTTCGCCGTTTGCCCGAAGAGGGTACGATTTATTCCCTGGAGAAGGAGGGCGGCGCCTTCACTGCGTCTCCCAGAGGCATGGAGCTGATCCAGACACGCGTCATCCCTAAGCTCGAGAAGCTGCAGAAGGATGATGACGTCGACGTGCGGTACTTTGCGACAACGTCTGCGAACCAAGTGTCTGGACCTTCTTCTGGCGAGCCTATGAATACATCACCATAGATGAGAGACGTAATGAAGCAATTCCCAATCTTTTTATCAGGACCGTCCCAAGACTATTACCTTGCATGCTTCGACCAAACGCTACACGGTGTTGGGTGCTACTCCGGTTCGCCTGTCAGGCTTTACAGAAAAAAAAGAAGACCAACTAGAAAGAGAGAGGCGAAGTTTTCACTGGCGGTTGACGTGAGGAGAGACTTCTCCAGGGACACGGAAGCACCCATAGATGGGGCACAATGGAGAAGGCGTGTGGTTGAGCGTAGGTGACGTTGCTTGACATTCCCCCATTAAAGAAAAACATTGTATGATACACCAGCAGCCGTCAGAAGAGACACGAGATGCAATAACGAAGAATGTTATCTAGTGCCGTTGTGACTAACGATTTTGTGTGGGGTATCTTGAAGGTCTTGTTATTCGTCTAACTCATCGTCGCGTGATGCTCTTGCTACGCCTGCCTCTGGAAGCACAAGCTGCTAATGGTCTGGCCTTTGGCTCCGCCAAAGGTGAAGCTAGGGTAGTCCACCTTGCCCACAGCAACAAACTTGCCCACATCTCCCTCGTTAGAAGGGCTCTCGAACCATTTCCTGAGCTCCTCCTCTGTCCAGTTGCAGCTCGTGATGAGGAGCAGGCCGCCAGGCTTGACGAGGCGGAGCGCGCGGCCCCTGTACCCCTCGCAGATGCGCCGGCCCTGCGCGTCCTTTTCGTCGCTCAGGCAGATTGCGTCAAAGGTACCCTTGTCGAGAACGACGTCCCATCCGTCTTTTTGGGGTCCGTTGAGCACGATTTCCCAGGGTCCGTTGAGGACATCCCACTCCTCAAACTCTGGCTCTCTGGCGTCCGCCTCGTCGTCCTCACCCCCGGCGGGCGGCGCGTCCGACATGTCCTCGTCTTCCTTGGTAGCAGTAGCAGCATCTTGCTGTCTCTGCGCCGCGATCCGGCGCGCGAGCTCAACGCTCTGCGGGGCGTAGTCGACGCCCAGGGCGCGGCCGGCCCAGCCTTCGTCGCGGAGGGCGAAGAGGAGGGAGCCGTTGCCGCAGCCGAGGTCGAGGAAGGTGGCGTCGGCTTGGCGGAGAGAGTGGTCGAAGGGGGCGGACTCTGTGAGGTCTTCGAGGTAGGTTAGGAGCTTGGACTCGGCGTCCGAGTCGTCGAACCAGACTGTGCCGCGGTCTTCTGGGTTCTGGGCATTGTTTGTGAGTTCGGTTGTGTAGAGGGTGGCCCAGCTGTTTTGTGATTTGGCCGTTAGTTTAGTGGTCTTTACAAGGGGAAGAGGATGTAATTTCTGTTTTTCGGTAGCGCGCAGGGGGAATAAAGAGTGGTAAGTTTGAGTGACGAACTATTCTCTTGTTCCGAGCTTGGAGGGCTCCAGGTGTGCTGGGGTGGATGCCATTTTGGGTTGGTGGTGTAGTAAGGTGAGGTGATGCCAGGACCAGACTCTGAAGCGTCGTGTGGTATCTATATAAAAGGGGAGTCTTTGTGCCGGGAAAACGACGATGTTCATCTGTCACTCAACCAAGTATTTGGGAACCGAATTTGATGCCATCGCGAAAGAAGTTTGGCGGGGTGTTGTGCCGTTTTCGACCCAGAGTAGAAGGCGGTGAGGTGTCTTTTCGCTGGTGGTGGGGCCCCCCACTTCCTTGTCCTCTCCGGTATTCTGCTCGAGGTGCTGGGGATCCTTGCCCTGGCAATGGAGGGGTTGATCGGTAAAAGTTACGGTCGGGTCAATGGTTCTGGCATCTGGCAGCTCAGCTCAACATTGGTCGGTTGGGTGAACTGGGGAGTAGTAAACCCCAAATCCAAAGAACGTTATGAGCGCACTTGCGGGGTAGGATCTGATGAGAGAAGGGTATGACTGATTTGTATTTGAGATGAATGAATAGTCAAATAGCACTTCCTATCACAATGTATTGACTACAGGTAGCTAGCTCTACCTATCTCTTCTTCCCTGAGGATCAGATCATCCACTGCGAGGGACGATAATACAGTAGAGAGTAAGGTACAGTCGCGAAGCCATGATAGAGAGAGAGAGAGCATTGACGTTTCCGAATTGGTTGGTGCGGTGCAAAGAAACATACGTAATACAAGGTACACCAGACAAGCTACTGCACCCACACGAGCCTCTCCTTCTCTTCCCTTCCTTACCACAGGCACTTTCACCGCAAGAAGCAGAATGCAAAACCGTTTCGAGGGCAAAATTGTGCCATGTGCGCCAAGGGGGTAAGGTGGATTTGTACACATGTAGAGATCAAAGGTGAGATAAAACAATGCACTGCTGTAGGCGATGATGACTGAAGGAGAGATAGAGAGAGGTAGGTCTGTGTTACAGGGAACCCGCGTGCCTGGTGACTCCCCCCTCCGATGTTGCTCGCCCGTACAGAAGAAGCATCGCCACACAGGTAGTATTTGCTGTGATAGTTTTTCGTCTCATTCATCCAATGTATAGAGAGCACGACCGCGCGCTGCTGACAGAGAGGAGGGGCTTGGGGAAGGGGGGAAAGAAAGAATGGTGACGTTTCGTCTGGTGTCGTGAGGCTCGTTCATATACAGAGACACAGCGCAAATCGTCAAACCCGACGCCCCTTCTCTCCATCCACTCGTTCTCCCCTCCTTCGTGGCTATCGCCAACTTTTAGAGTCCTTTCTAAAAACCGGTAAAAGTCCAGGCCTCGACGCTCGCTTAATCACGCGTACGACAATCAATAATCCAAACCCCGTCGCGGACTTCTGCCATCCATCGATCAGAGGCAGAACCGCAACATCAACTCAGCTGCCGCACCTTTTCCGCGGCCCAAGGCTACTTACTTTTCGTGAGAACAACAGCAACCATGTATAACTCCCACCTCCTCCTCAGCTTCGTCCTCTTGCTTTTTGTAGCCTTCAGCGCGAGCGGCGCCGTCGCCCCGGCACACCACAACGACCGCCGTCAAATTCATCTCGCAGCGCGGCAGACGTCAGGCCAAGAAGAGACCAGGACCAGAGGTGTAAGTCACTTTGAAGGCAATCGCGGAGCAACATAACGATGATTGAATCCCCCCATTTTGTCCTTACCTTTGGGCTAATGTTGGTTTGTGTTAGACTTGTACACAGATGAGCAACAAATGCAACTTGACAGGGCGAGATGCCCAAGTTTGTCCGGCGGACTACAATAGAGTCTGTAACACCCTCCTTGAATATCACGGATGTAGCAGTATCTCCAGTTGCAAGAGCTGACATCAACCCGCAGTGCCCCTTCGACGGCGCATCGTGTGTCCTGATCGAGCCGAAGGGGGATTCGAGCCGCAAACCCGAAGTGCGTTGCGGCTATCTTGGCAGCACGAGGTCGTGAATCAGGAACGGAATGGTTGTGAGGAACGGCAAGAAAGCAAGCAACTTGTGAAGGTACCCTGGAGACTATCTAGGCTCTCTGTTTTGAATAGAGAGCAGGCATCCAAGTTTTCCTCCTGGTATGAATGTGAAACTTCAGTCATGAGTTCCGCCCCTTTCCATCCGCATTGTTGATGGTTGACTCCTGTCCCCTTCCTTCCGGCTGAGGTCCTCCAACCCATGTGGACCTCCTTCCACGCTCTTAACGCAGCAAGTTCGACTGGAAATCCTGCCCCTCCACGTGGACTGCTGCAAAGTCACCGGAGCATATCTTCTGAACCTTGGCTCACCCGAAACATTTTCAAAGTGCCCAAACAGTTGCCTTGACAAGAACCTGGCGACCCCGAACTTCCACTACTGGGAAGCCCGCGAGTCGAACCGTGCTGTTGTCCTTGGGGGGGATAGCTGAAGGAAGGGCGGTATCAGTACTTGTGCCAACGATTGACGACGCAGTGCTGCCCTTGCGGCCGGCCTGCGGTCCACCGCTGAGTATATTTGTGAACATACCGCTCTTGGTCTTGTCCGCCCGCTGGTTCTTGCCACTCTTGTCCTTGTCGCCTTCTTCAGCCTCTGCTTCCCCCTCGGCTTTCTGAATCTCCAGAGGTGGAAGCGGCGTCTTCTCAACTTCCATGATGTTGAGTTGAATCGGGTCTCCCGGCAAGGGATAATTGATGGCAACATCTCTGCTCTCTAGCGGCAGGTTGGCTGCGATACCTACTGCCAACTCGACAATCATGGATGCGCTGCCGTCAAATCCAAGTGGCGCAGGAGTTGTCATGTACTGGAAAAGTGTCGCCGTGAGTTTCGTTGTACACATCTGGGTGAAGTTCGCCCTGCTGTCTGCACTCTCTGGGGAGTTCAGAATTCTCTGCAGACCCTCCAAGGTGGCCATTCGCCAGCTCACGACCTTATTTGTCAAGGCATCGAACTCTTCCTGGCTGCTCATCGTGTACGAGAAGCGGCGGATGTTGAGCTCGATCTCCTTCAGCTGCCGGCTGAGGTCCATGTCGAGGCCGGGGTGGAAGCACTTCTGGAAGATCTCTTCTACAATCCACCTCGTAATGACAGCACGACCAACGGCTGTCATCTCCTGCTTGCCGGTCTTGAGCGCATCAATGCTGACGAACATGTCCAACCACTGCGGTACTGTACGCCAGTCCTTTCTGATATTGAACGAAAGGTTGTTGATAGCACCATTCAGACGGTTAAATCTTGTTATGTACTCGCTGTCGTCGAGGGCAGTCCGTGACTGTGACATTCGCTGATTGGCAACTGCATTTTGAAGGACCTCAATTTGAGAGTTGAGATTGTCGATCTGTGTCTTGCCGTCAAAGTACAACCGCTTAACATTCTTATACTTAGTTACTAGGACTTGTCAGTACACTTCTAGCATAGCATTCATGTACTGCTTACGAAGCTCCTTGAATTTGTCGGGATCTGTGCCGTCGCGATCGGGGTTGGATGGCTGTGGGCTGTTCCGGCCTTGCTCTCCGGTGGCGCCTTCGAATTGGCGAGAGTCTGCAGCACCGCCAGGCCGGAAGGCAGCGTTGGCGCTGCCAGTGGTAGGAGGCATGATCTGACTCTGTCTATAACCTGGAGGAGGGCCTGCAGATGCGTCGACCTGACTGCGCAATGCCTTCTCTGTCTCTTGGGATCGTCTACTCGGGGGAGGGCCGCCAGAGGGAGGGGTCATATTCTGCTGGTGCGGCTGCTGCTGGGTTTGAGGTCCTCCTTGCTGTGCAGGGGGGAGTGTGGGAGGCAGCGGGCTGTCTGTGGTTTGTACAGCGTACCTCACTGCGGGGGAGGTTTGGTTGGAATGTACGTTTGCCGACAGAGCGTCTGAATCAGTGACGGGTGATTCATGCGACAGCTGGGAAACAGTCTCGGGATTCTGATGCGAACCGGCACCCAAGTGACTAGTGTAGATCGTGGGTGGTCCAGCTTGGTACTGACCAGGCTGCTGGTTGGAGTATTGTTGCTGGTACTGCTGCTGTGAGGGGTCGTAAGCAGGCTGCTGACCGTGTTGGTGCTGTTCCTGTAAGGTCGGGATCTGCTGTGGCTGGCGATCTCCGTAGTCGGCTTCTTCGTAGGGGGTATTGTCGAAGTCGGTCGGGACGTAGCGAATGGAGTTGCGATTGGAATCGGGGTTCTGTAGACGAGGGTCTCTGTTAGGGTCTTGTGCAAAGTGGTGATCCTCGGTCTCGCCGACGCCCTGTAAGGGGGAGGGTTGTTGGTGAGGTGCCGAAAGTGGCCAGTCGGCAGGTTGTTGGTCCAAGGACTGCTGGGACGGCTGCTGGGACAAAGTAATTCTTGCAGGTGGTGGATTGCTCACTCTTTTGGACGGTCGGCGAGCAAGACCACCGGTGTTATCGTAGGAACTTGGCGGGGTAGGTTGGGGGGCGGGGTGTTGTGATGATCGCGGCCCGATCCGCCCAAAATGTTCCTGAGCAGCTTTCGTGCGGATCGCTTTTCGGGGACGGGAGCGGGTTGCTGTTGCGGAAGAGGCGACGTTGCTTGAGGAGCAGATGAAGTGGTGTTGACGGAAGTTCTGAGGTTGTCGACGGAGCTAGATGCAGCGCCGGGTTTGGCGTTGTTGGAGTAGGGGGCCACGCCGGGCGGGTAGCGCTGTGACTGGGAGCGGGAGACGGAGTCGGTGTAATCCTGCTGACTCCTCTGGCGCAAGTCAGCTATGGGTGGATTGTGGTGCTGCAATAGGAGGGAGTTGCGCGAGGTCGAGGCAGGAGGATGGTAATCGTGGGGCTGCTGCAGTGGAGATGGCCCTTGCTGCCCTTGTTGCTGTAACTGGTGTTGTTGTTGAAGGAGTTGTTGCTGTTGCTGCTGCTGTTGGAGCTGATGTTGTTGATGAGCAGCCAGCTGGTTTGGGTGGATGTCAAAGGATTCGCTGGAGCTGAAGGCGGTCGACGAGGCTGAATGGGGGGTAATTTGATTGAGACTATTAGCGCCGGCGGCGTTGTTGGTCGTGGTTGTGCCAGTGCCTGCGCTCAAGGCAGGAGCGAGGGAGGAGGAGTGAGAGTGAGATGAGGAGGAAGGAACACCGGCGGCACCAGCAGGGCCGGAAGGCAGCGCAGGACCAGAAGGACCAGGCGTGGGATGTGATATCGCTGAACCTGAACCTGAACCTGAGCCTGAACCCGATCCAGCAGCAACCTCTCCGCCCGGATCAACAAGTGCTTGCTGCGAGCGGTTGTGGTGCCTTCCAATGCGACCGAAGGCCGGCATTATAACACTGTGATGCCGTTGTGCGCAGCCGCCGCAGTCCAACCTGGCTTCTTTTTTTGGTTTATTGGTAGGTCTCTTTTTTTTTTGTCCCTTGTTGCTTGTTTGGGACGCTTGCCCTCCACTGAACACTGCGGGTAAAAGGGAGCAAGCAGATCAATCGTCCTATGCCAAAACGGCACAGCCCGTGGGTTGACTGACTGACTGAACTGACTGAAAATGAGAGAAAGCAGAGACAGACAGATACACAAGACCGGATGGTGGACCGAACGCGCAGCTTTGCTTGCTTGCTTCCGGGGGTACGCAGCAACGTAGCAGGACAGGCTTCGTTCGCTTCAGCTCAGCCTGGCTCAGTCAAATGTCGGCTCGAATCTTGTCTGTCCGTCGATGTGCAAGGTCGAGATGCAGTGGCAGAAGCAATGACAGCTAGCAGCCAGCGGCAAGCAAGAAAGGGAAGCAAGAGGATGGCAAGATGAGAGATTGATCAGCCCGTCCTGCTGGTCCCTGTTCCTATTTTTTGCGCGCCTGCGCCTGCGCCTGCGGTTCTGCGTCTGCGAGACCCTGTCTGTCCACTTCTCACCCAAGTTCAATCTAACCTACGTGTGCAGGTGCCCGCCAAAGGAAGCACCACCACCAGAGCAACAGGCAGAAGAACAGATGGATTGATTCGGATTGGCTACACAACCTGCAGAAGCGGATGCCGCGCTGGGTGACTGGGTCTCCCGTCTAGGTCTGGGTTCCTTGGAGGGGCTTCCTTGGGGCTGTGCACAAGTCAACCTAGGTCGCCGTACGGATACTCCTCGCGAGCTGGAGGGAGAGCTGGATTCGCTGATGGCTTGATGCTAGGGTGCTGCCGATGGCTACTTTGATGGAGGCTGTCTGTCTGGTGTGCAACGCTATCCCATTCTTGACCAGCAATCGCAAGCCAAAGATGAATAGCTGCAGAAGGGTTGGAGGGATTCGCTGTCTCCTCCGTCGTGTCTTTCTGTCGGGTCTCTGCTCCGGCTGCCTCTGTTACTGGCTGGGGTTACCTCTCTTCAGACGAACAGCGGTTAAGGCTCGACACTCGTGGGGGACGATGAGCGACACGCTACAGCTGCTGCGGGGGAGGGATCTGGGGTCGTTTGGTGAAACACAGGCTGGTTTCGATCCGCGTCGTCAGGGGTCGTCGTTCGAGGTCTCGTCATCGGCAACCCAAAGATAAAGCCTCGAAAGCCAAGCACTGGGATGGCAAAGACAAACGATGAGCGGTAGAACAACGAATCGATAACGGGCGAGAGTTGCGGGTTGCTCAATGGTCAGTTGTGGATGTCAACGGTAAATTCGATTCAACCCGATGAAATTGGGCGGAATGTGGAAGAGGGGGCGTAATCAGACTGAGGAGAGGCGAATGGTGTCGTGTTAGGATCCCACGCCAGGATAGGGCTGATCAATTGCCTTTTCGCCGGTCGACCTTCTTCTCCCCGCTAGGGAAGGGCTACAGACACGAGATAATGCCTCATGAAACGAGCTTATCGGATGGGGGACTTCAACATTCGTAGGAAGCCTTGAGAGAAACGGTCAAAGAAACGACACAAGATCCTACGTCTTCCTCGCTCCGGCTCTGAGCTTATTTACATGCAGTATTTCTGTCCGGAGCTCGCGGCAAACAAGCCAAGTTCAAGGCTATCCAATGCTTGCCGTCTGTCAGCACCAGCGATGTATCTGAACATTAATGGGATGATGGCACTGGGTCGGGCATTCTCAACATCAGATCTTTTTCGAAAATTCAACTCAAGACTGGACGGACGTAATAGACTCAAAGATTGTTGGGCGCCAACTTTACCCAAGCCTTCATCCGAATTTTAACCACGAGCTCATTCATCGCCCATCAACAACGACGACCCTACTTCTTACACTGTTCAGCAGCAAGATCCTCGTTACCTAGTCTTCAGTCACCTTCTTGGCCACTCGGTAGTGCGGGAGAGCTGCTGCCACCCTGCACGAAGCAGGCCAAACCCAGCCCAGACTAGCCGGCCCTTGGCCTGCATCCCCGTTGTCAAAATCACCGACCACGCAACAAGACTGCGGCCCTGCGGCTGACACCCAGCCCCGAACAGCACGCGTAGACGGGGAAAGCGGACCACCCATTATCCGTATGTTGCCCGAGCTGAGCGGTGCAGTGCAGTGCAGAGGGGGAGGAGCAGAGAGGGTTGCCAAATCCTAGGCTTTGCACCCAGGCATTGGGCTACGACGCATTACCGATAGCATTGAGCACTCACTCACGTCTACCCTGCATGCATGTCAAAAGGCGCACGTCTCTTACGGCCTTTCTCCATCTCAAAACAAGTCAGGAGGTAATGCGAACCCTCGTCGATATCTTGGTATTCGGGACAGACTCAACTTGCTTTGGCGTACGTTTTTGGAAAGCTAGGAAATGACGACATTTCACAGCAAACAACAGAATTTGAGATGGGCATCTAGAAATACTCTTCTCGGAAGCCATGTAATATTCAACGTGTATACCACCTACCTTATCCCCGCCAAACAGGCGCAGCTCGGACAGCTCAGCCCTAACGGAACCTTGTTCGTGGGTATAACTTCCCAGGTGCGGCGTGCCGAGCTGGTCTCTCTTCATGTGCTCCCCTCTGCACTTTAAGTGCAAATGAGCAGTGGGGAGCTCTCTCACCTTATTCTCGGCGAAGGCTTGCCCGTGTGGTCTCCTCCCCCACCTCACGATGCTGCGTCCCGCTTCAATATGGGACAGCTTTACGCCCTTGAGCTCCATATCGCAGAGCTGGTATCATTATCATATCAACAAGCATGTGTGCAGCATGAAAAGGCCATGGCACATATAATGATCAATCCGACTTGGCAATTCTTAAGCCTTGTTTGCAAGAAACTAAGCTCCAGTCTTTCAGTCGTCTCAAGATGCTTATCAGTTGTTCTAGTCTCCGGCTCGTTTTATGCATCATCGGCGATGGGTTGTTTCCTCTAGACGCGCAGAGCTATTTTCAGGGTACAACCAGGAAACACTGTGGCCATGATATCGTACTTCTTTGCTGCAACTAATAGAACTAACCTCATAGCAAGATGCTATCTTTACAGCCGAGCAAATGAGCTCCGGCAGACAGACAGGTCTCGGGTCTACGAGCTTAGGTGGAGCCGCTTCCAGAGCAAGTTGAAGCTACTACTACGTAGTCAATCTACTGGGAGGAGAGACCATAGGGCTAACAGTAAGCTCAGTATTCGTAAGGTTCTTCACATTGACAGCAGTAGGTACGAATACTCCGTACGAAGTACAGCTCACGGCAAATTACAAGCACGTGTGCTTTTTGCAGTGAAGCTACCGGGGGGTGAGTCATGGTGCGTCATTTGGATTAAATCATAGGAAATGACATTCTGCTGTAGATGAAATAGATTCCACAAAGTTACTTTGTAGCTCTGGAGCAACGGACCAAGACCCGTGTCTTCGGATTTCATCCTGAGTGTGATTCAAACGAGGACATTACTACGCCGCCACGCAGAAAACAGCACATCTTCACATCGTCGTCTTCATCCAAATCACTAACTGCAGTGCCCTTTGCAAGCGATCCAATGTCGGCAGGGGTCTCGTTCAAAAAATGGGGTGTGGGGGGGTGGGAGGGGAGACTCTTTGCTTCAAGCTCCTCTGCAAAAAAGTTTGTTTGGCATGGTTGTGGTCTATTAATAGCCACCGTCGTACTGAGAGAAACAGACAAGAAGGAAAAAGGGGGGTCCCCAACCCTAGAGAGGGCGAATCCGACTTGTCCATTCGTGCCATTCTGGAGTCTTGGACACCTAGAGGGCGGGCTTCTCTTGGCGGTGGGAGCCGAATCTCTCTCTTCCTCTTTTTCTCTCTCCGCAACTGGACTTATCCGAATCAGGGATGGCTCGGACTCTTTCCAGCTCACCTCACCTAAGACAAACGAAAGGGGGGGCAAGCAGGAGGAGGGGAGGGGTTCCACCAGGTTTAGCACTCCATGTTCTACGGATACGCCTGACTGCTGGGACCGCAGATCTCGTCGCCTACTACAATGATACGCCGGAATGCCAACTTTTCTTTTGAGTTGATGATCCCTGAGGAGTCAGCAGATCAAGTAATGATTTGGCTGCTAGTAATTATTCTCTGCACGGATACGTATAGTCCCAGGAAATGCCAGCTTTCTATTTGGTGAGGCAAGCGCCTGTGGACGGCATTGAGACACGGTGATCTCCATGCCCGGTATATCTCCGTGTAAAGCTTTGCTCTCTGCGTGAGTCGTGACGAGCAAAGCAATGGTATCCGTGAACCTAGTCGTCAACAACTTCTTGTGTCTCAACGGAATTCTTTGGGGTGCCGAAGGTACCTTGTCTCCTTCTCATATGCATCATGCAAGGCTGGTGTGAAGGTATGCAAGTAATCATCATCATGGCTGAGTCCAATAGATCCGGGATCTCGGCCGAAGTATTGATTTTCTGCAGGAAAGCAATGTTCTAGGATCAAAGGACCGCCATGGGGAATACGAAACATTCATCCTAAGCCTTGCTTGCTTGCACACCAATCATGTGTAGTTCACACCATGGTCCAATGGACGTTTTCGAATGAAAGATAACCGCTTCTCGCGATCCCCTCGACGCAAGGCGTTCCAGGACAACATGTGAAAGTCGACACTGCCAACACTTTAGGAGTGAACTCGGCGAATGACCAGGATAAAGTCAACCCAACACTACTGATACCTCCAATGTGTATAATCTAGAGCACAGAGCGTCACTAAGGCCCTGAGGGATCTCCTCGGAACACATGCGGTCCCGTCCCGTCTGAGTCCCCGTGGTCCGCGGCCCGCGGTTTACTCAGCGGCCCCAGCAGATACTATCAGTCAGCGGGGCCTGCCATCCTTTGTTAGATATTCGAGCCTGTCAAGGAAGTAGTAAGACGTTGAGTCGTGGACGCTTCGAGCCATGACGGCCTTGGGTCTAGGCTGCTTTGGTCCGTTTCAGGAGATGAGTCTTGCTTCTCGTGTCTTCTAGCATCTTAGAGAAACGGCTATGAAAATTGAGGATGCTGAAGATTGTGTTAGCTAGTCAGAGCTCGGTGATGCGGGTGATCTGGTTGGTATTGGGGACGTATGGTGAGGTGAGGAAGAGCACCGCTTCCGAAGGCGTGTCCGTGGGAATGGATCAATTTCTGGGATAAGTCCAGGAAAAGGATTTACACTGCTTGTCCTAGGCCACTGCAATCGTGACGATGACTCTACAGGGCTATTGTGAACTTCATAGCAAGATATCGTGACCGTTTGGAGGAGCATACCGAGATCCAAAACATGATATGGGACTGAACGTAATGGATAAGGGCCATGGTGATCTAGATTTGATTGTCCTCCCAGATTTTCTGGACAAACTTGGAGCGGGCCTAGGCTATAACAGACAAGTACTGAGCCCCTACTTCTGGGTTGATATTAGGAAGACTTCTTTTCAGCATGGTTGGCAGAAGAAGTATATCAGACTGACGATTAAGTCACTTTGCTTAGTGGTGGGATGGATTGTCTAGTGTATGAGGAGACGAATGGGGGCTTGTAGAAGAAGACAATGAGGATTTTGGAGATGGAAGGCAATAAGAAATGCCTCACACTTTCCAAGACCATCAAAATCCTGAGGCTGTGTCGTTCCACCCAGTTTGCTTCCTAGTCTCACCTTCCGCCATTACAGATACGTCCGCGATACCCCTCCTCCGCCGCCGCCTCATCCATCCTCCACCAGCGCCGCGCGCCTGGCCTCGGCATCTTGGGCAGCCTTGGCCGCTTGAGTCTCGTTACGCTGAAGCTCGTCGTAGACATCTCGGGCATAGCCCCTGGCCACCTCTATGTCGTATTGGCACTATCGTGTCGCCTTGCGCCTTGAGTTGTCTTCACATAATATACCAGTATGAAGTTCATATACATAGGACGACCGATTGTGTAAGAATATATGTTTGACTTACGTGTAAGAACAATCACACGCGTGGCTGTCTGGGATGCCAAATGGCCAGCCTTTCTCCCTTATTTGCAGAAGCAGAGCCAGCGAGTTGGAGGGATGACGCAGAGGATTGATCTACTAGAACGCACTGAGGACGTGTAGATATCGTTGTAGCAAAGTTCAAATTTGTAAGTAGGAGTATATTTATTTTCTTCCCCGTTTTCTTCCTGGAGAACTTCCCGCCTCCTACGCGTGTAAGAGCAAGCCGTATTTACTGAGCCTAGTACTTGGCTTGTTCACCAGGATGACCAGTTGCTGGCTATCCTGAAGGATTTATTTCAGCATAAATCTCTCTTCATCCCATGCTCATTAGGCGGTGTACAAGTATTCAAGTTGTCGGGTTGCTAGAGGCCTCTGCTGAATCTGGCGGAGAAGCAGATTTGCCAACAGTTCAAAATCACAAGCATCATCGCATGACCAACCAATAATACGAGCAGGTGGCTTGTACAGTACTGAATCGTAGATAGTGGCCTCGGTGAGGCAGAGTTCTTAGCTTCGATAGCCAAGTACGCACCATCTCATTTGAGCAGTCCATTACGTGCGACTTTATCGCGAGGTTTTCAACTGTACCAGAGGAAATACCGACACTGGAGGAGATTACCTTCCTTTCATCGCAGATTACAATAAGTCCTCATCTCATGTAGATACCGTCAAACTCCAAGACGTCATGCGCGCCTCGTTGTCAGAGAAGTCTGTTTAACCTTTGCCAAACTTCTGCTTCAAGACATCCAACATCAGCGACGTCGTCTGTCGTTTGCCTGTCACGGGTGGAGCCGTGGAAGAGATTAGCCTGTACCCAGATTCCACCGTCCAACCTCCAGTCCTCGTGGCAACAGGTTCCGTTGGGTTTTTGGAAATCAATCCTGGTCACTCGTGGGCAGGCAACACGATTCTTAGTTACCCAGGCTGTTTCCCTGAGCAGTTACATGAACAGGTAACACGAATATTCTGCACCAATGCTGTGATCACTCCATACCATTGCGAGGCGCGTAGTCGAAATAGCTTCGTGAAGAGCGGTGTGAGTGCTCCTAGACTGGTATTCTTAGCTTTGAATGTTGGAGTAGCAGGCTCGGTTAGACACGATGCCCGGTGTTTGACCGCGATGCGCGAGGCAACCAGTGAAATACCGAGTTCACGATAGCTGTGCTGCCTTAACGGCTTCACCTCGGAGATCGACAACATGCACACCATAGGTGGTGCCAGAACCAGCCTCGAGTATTCATTGGATATTTGGGAAAGCTTCTCACCGCTCGATCGCTGCCTCTCATACCCGAAGAGGAGCCATCAAGCGACCCCTGTAAATAGCGTTCAAAAACTACGAGCGGTATCACGTCAAAGATGCGTCGGCCACGATGGCGGCCAGTCTCTGGCTTGCTGCTCTTGGCAGGACCGCTCTTTAGCAGGCGTTACTCGATTTTCCTGGAAGGGAGTAGATGGCCGAATTCGGCTGAGAGGATCGCTCATTCCGGCTCAAGGGCGCAGGATCGTCAGCTGGATGGCTGCAGTTGATCAGGCTACTAGCTTGCATTTCCAGGAGACTGGATATGCTTCTTGTAGGAGTGCCGATGTTCCGTGGAGTATTGGAGGTGGAACGAGTGGAAAGAGTGTGTATCAAGCAAACAAATGTCTGCGGCATCTCTTCCACTGTCCTGACGAAGTTGCACGGGACAGGCGGAGAGGTAATTTGCCGTTCCCGGTAGCACGATGAAAATCATCTGTGATCTGCCGTTGCATATCTGTGGTTTGATACGTCGATATTCCTTGGCCGAAGACGCATGATATTCTATGGAAGATGTACGATCAGAACCGGCTCGGCTTGATACACATCCTCGAATATCTTCCTATTGAAGGGAAGACAATCGTGTCCGCGGGCCGAGCGGACACGACCGTCAGTTGTGACAAGTGACAAGGCCATCAAACTCCTGAACGGCACTACATGGTCATGAACATTCTTGTAACCCTCTTGTGTGTTCAACTCGAGGGCCTCTCTTCCTCTGCCATCTGCCGCCCTGCTTTGGCCGCACTGAAGATCTGACTAGTGAATGGCCATATCTGGGTTTTTATGGCAAGGGCTATCACGAGTGGCTTCATATGGACTACTTAACTTCTGTGAACCGCCGGCAGCTCTTCTTACTTGCTGAAGTCGGTTTACTGGGGGAAACTGTATGACTGTGGCTTAAGATGAACAGCGATTAGGATGTGTTCAGGCACATACCATGGATTCTGTGTCTTCCTCATTGATCGTTTTCTGGTGATACCTCCAGTTTTATCTGACTACGGTTGATATCTCGTATAATCCACAATTGCCGTAGTGTATGACCGCGTACAACCACGGATGCTCGCATCGGGCCGCGTGGGCATACCGTCGGTTTCTTGCGTCGTGGTCCGTCTTTGATGGCAACTTTGCCAAGAGCGGTTTGGGCATATGATATACCACCGCCGTAACGATCAACAAGGGCGCCACAGGTTATCTTCCCGAGATTCTATAAAGCTCCCCCAAGGAATCATGTCAGTTCTATCCTTGAACATTGAGAGACGCACATTTGAGTTCACAACATCGTAAAGCTGCTAAGATATTTTCCCAGCAAATCAATTACACATCCTCGAAGTCTCCTTAAACGCTCGTGATGGGATTCCTCACATTATTTCCTCTATTGTCCTTACTTTCTCTCGTCCCAGCATTGCCACTACTAGAGACGCAGGAAGCTGCCAAGTTCCGGTATCCATGGAAAGACTTCACACTCAGCAACCTCGAGACCGTCTGTCGTAAACAGAACGGAGACGAGCGGTACACTTGCACCCTCAAATGTGAGTAGTAATCAAGCCCGGTTGATCACCAGAACCAAGCCGCGCGATGCGTGGCCTGGCCCGGTTCCACGCAATCCTCAAGACTAACTTCCGGGGCGGTCGCTCCCCTTGTCAAGTCGACATTTATGACTTCAACACGGAAGACGTCGTGGAAGTCAGCGGAGCACATTGCGGCACGGCCTGGCGATGGGACGGCGTCACCCCAAACCAGGGCCCCGATAACAACTACCCCAGCAACGGCGTCCTCTGCTGGAGCGCCGGTTCAGACGCCTTCCAGTTCAGGGTGGCAAAGTTTCGTTCCGCCTCGAACTTTGAACTCTACATCAACCACTTTTACAGGGACACGCGGTGAGTTTTTTTTACCCGACCGAACCTTGCCTTCGTACTCGCAAGTCATTCTAGACTTTTGTTCTCCGTTCGTTTGGCTGACGAGTCGAATTCTCGACACCTTGTAGATACTTCAAGCCGCCGTACGACGGGAGAAAGGCTTTGGTAAATATTATCATCCCAGATGCCCACCCCCTTCCACCAATGGCGCCGTATGTGCCTCCTGTGGATCAATTCGAATTCATAGCGACAGCAACGATCTCGAGGCGCACAGACGGATTGTCATAGCGGAGTGCTGGTAGTGATGGTGTTGTGTCAGTCTCCTGTACTTTTTTTTAAGAGAGTCGTACTGGTTCGTCGCAGGGGCGCTTGGTCGGAAGAACTTTCCGTCGTGTTTTAGTACCGCCTCATGTTGTGGAAGTTGAGATGATTTATTCGACCCCTGACCGGAATGTTTGTGGGATGGTGTCTAGTTTTGCAAAGAGGAACTTGGAAAGAAGAACCCAATCAAAGTATATACGGAGACCGCGCTGGTCACTAATAGTTGTGAAGTCCCAGAGGTGCATTGTGTGCTCATCGTGCATTCTCTTGTCCGATAGTCGTTGATGAAAGGTGTCGAGGAACAGGGAGAATGGTTAAACGAGTATAGCTCGGACTTATGAGTTACATTTGCCGCAAGGCCACCCTCGGGCTTCGGAATCAACTATGTTGCCAAATAAGCGCCGAAGAAAAAGTCATTTAAGCTCACCGAGAATGAGTAAAAGTTTTGCCAAGTTGGTCACGATAATTGTCTTTGGTATATTGCGGGCGGAGCCATGATTAGCTGATGTGTTTTCGAACGAGATTATATGCGCGTCTAACATATAACTTGATCGACGGAACTAGAGAGCAGTACAATTGCTTGTCTCGGACGATTTGCGGGGATGTTTCTCGGTAGCCGGTAACGACTATCAAGCTTTTTGGATTCGCCAAGAGATGCAACCTCATGTCTTGTTCTCTCTTGGCTTGTTTTGAACATCACACTGGCGATCGGTTCATCCTCCATCCCCGCAGAGTACAGGGAAAGCTGCCTTCCTTCCCCATGTATCAGAATAGCGGAAAGGACAGCGAAAGAATCAGCGATCATGATGTAGGGCGGATGATCGACAAATCATATTCTCAAAGACCATTGGAGCATTACACCCTGCTACACCAACGCTGTTAACCAATAACAAGCTTAGGCACAGGAGTGATTAGACTACGGAGTTCTGGGATGGCAAACCACGGAAGAGATAGCGTACGACGACCGAGTGGGTATTTGTGTATTGTTCGTCGAAAGAAGGTTAGTCGTTCCTGCATTACACTCCTCCGTGGATCATGACTTAGGTATTAGTCCTCCCGCCGGCAAGTTGCGAAGACGAGTAAGGGGCAGGGTTCGTGTGTTGAAACGTGCAGATTTGCAATTGTTTTGGGTACTTGTAACCTTAAGTCGGATCAAAACGCGAGCAGACATGTTGGGACGAAGAAGGCCTCCGCCGCGAGAATCCTACGACAAGTTCTGTCACAACTGTCGCACCTGTCCCAGTTGGAGCATTGAGTTCTTCGAGGGGAAATCCAGTTCCCGGCGGTAAGGGGGAACCTTTCGATGCCCGACCGAGACGTGTACCCTGCCGAGACGGGCACTTCCGTATGGCAGGACCTGAATCTCTCTCTGTTGACTCGTGATCATTTTCGTCCCAATTGGCTCTTGTTGCGTTTCCTCAGACGTTATACAAGCTGGTCCCGTAATCCGCATGTGCTTCTGATTTCCCCTTATATCCATAGCTGGGCTATCTGGTTTCTTTCTTCCCCCCGCAGCGCTCTCTCACGTTCGGACCTCTGCGAGACACGAATGAACGGCGCCCGATAATATCACCAACCCATCCTCGTGCCCCTCCCAGCAAAGAGAAAAGGAAGAGCACCCAGAATGGCGCCTCTCAAAGCCCTTCTGGCCCTCGCGGCCGCCTTCACCGGCATCGAAGCCCGCCTCATGTCTAGGGCAGCCGCGCTCGCCAACGGCGTCCAGATGACGAATATGGCCGCCGATGACCAGCAGATCAACCTCCAGATCGGCATCAAGCTGCAAAACATTGACAAGCTGGAGCCCATGCTGAGGGACGTCTCCGACCCAGACAGCCCCAACTACGGCAAGTACCTGACGGCGGCTCAGGTCAACGACATGTTCAAGCCGGCCGAGGCCTCGGTCAAGGCCATCCAGACCTGGCTCGCCAACGAGAACGTCACCGACGTATCGTACACGGACAACGGCCGCTTCGTCAACTTTGCGACCAACGTTGGCACGGCGAACAAGATGCTCGGCGCCACTTTTGCGTACTACGACGTCCAGGGCACCATGAAGTTGCGGACGACCGAGTACTCTCTCCCGAACGCGATGACGGAGCACATTGAGCTGGTGACGCCCACGACATACTTTGGCAATATGAAGTCCGACCCGGCCTTCACAAACGCCCAGCTGCCGCAGATGCCCGCACCGCTCTCTCGCAGACAGGGCACTGGGCCCAGCGCGACAGCCAACTGCTCCAAGGTCTTCACGCCGGCCTGCTTCGAGCTGGCATACAACTACGGTGCCTACCAGGCCGACCCGGCGGCAGGCAGCCGTGTCGGTTTCGCCAGCTTCCTCAACCAGTCCGCCCGCCAGGACGACCTCACGGCCTTCCTGGGCAGGTTCCAGCTGCCACCTCAAAAGTTCACTAGTGTCCTCGTCAACGGCGGACAAGATCATCAGGACCCCAAGGGCGCCATCGGCGAGGCTAACCTCGACGCCCAGGTCATGGCCGCCGCCGTCAAGACCCTCCCGATCACGCAGTACCTCACAGGCGGCAAGCCGCCCCTGGTGCCCAACCTCCGCACGCCAACGCAGGCAGACAACCAGAACGAGCCGTTCCTCGACTTTTACCAGTTCATGATGACGCAGGAGAACGATAAGATCCCGCAGGTGCTCTCCGTCTCGTACGGCGACGACGAGCAGACCGTCCCCATCGAGTACGCCACGCGCGTGTGCAACCTCATCGGCATGATGGGCCTGCGCGGCGTCAGCGTCCTCGAGTCCAGCGGCGACACGGGTGTCGGCGCGCCGTGCCGTGCCAACGACGGCAGCAACACACCGCAGTTTACACCGCAATTCCCCGCGACGTGCCCGTACATCACCGCCGTCGGCGGCACCCAGGCATTCGGGCCAGAGACCACGTGGGTGGCATCCGGTAGCGGCTTTAGCAACTACTTCAAGCAGGCGTGGTACCAGGAGACGATGGTGGCCCAATATCTCCAGACCGGCATCCCTGCCGACGTGAAGGCGTACTACCAGCCCTTTGCCAACTTCACCGGCCGCGGGTTCCCTGATATTGCAGCTCACTCCGCCAGCCCCCCGTTCGCCATCGTCAACGCCAACAAGCTTGTTGGAACCGGTGGCACCTCAGCTTCCGCCCCATTGATGGCCGGCCTCGTCGGACTTCTCAACGACGCCAGGATCCGCGCCGGACAGCCGACCATGGGCTTCATGAACCCGTGGCTGTATAAGAGAGGATTCAAGGGCCTTACCGACGTCACGACCGGCGTCGCCCAGGGTTGCGGCGGTACGGACTTGCAGTCGGGCAAGCCGTTGCAAGGGTCTGGTGTCATTCCCTTTGCGACATGGAACGGCACTCAGGGTTGGGATCCTGTGACGGGACTCGGCCTTCCCAACTTTGAGGAGATGAAGAAGATTGCTCTTACTAAATAGACTCGTTATGCCTTCTCTCGAGGGAATGATTGGCACTTGGGAGTTCATTTCAGATGCTGGCTAGCCTAATCTAAATACACTTGAGTTACTGTTACCATCTCATTCTCCTGCCAGAAGCCCTTTTGACATGCTGAGCTCTGTGACAGAAGCACAATGATGAAGTAGAATCTGCCAAGCTGATGCCGAATAGAAGGAATCAGCCACGAGGGAATCACAACTATGCCAAGGGCACTTGTAAATCTCTTGTGATCGTGCTCATGTGGCATCCCGTAGCGCTTGCGATAGCATCTCGACTACTAGTAGCTTTGCCCGAGGTGTTTCTAGGCAACTTTGCCAAACCACTGCGGCGTCGTTCCTGACAGCCACTTGGCCATCGCAGAAGAGACCACAAATAGGCAGAGTGAGGGATCAGACATTAAAGAATCAGAAATTTGATTCGCCAGGGTCCGACGAAAAGAGGAAGCTTTTGCTCAAGATAGGGCTGGGAAGCTGGGGATGAGAGACAAGAGGACAGACAGAGTGAAACAAGACATTCTTGCCCGACTTCCCCAAAATGAACCTAGTCTCAAGGGTCCTGCGATGCGATCCCGAGGCCGTGGGAATGGCTTCGCACGCATATCATGAGCCGGCTATCCTCGTCGCGTGGGTTGCCTGACAGATTCGATTTCCCGAATTTGACTATAGATCGTTTTCGAGTTTCGATAGCGTCCTTTCAGCTGGTGGCAAGGTCCAAGGTCCGAGCCCCGCGCCAGTCTCGCGGATGGCTGACAGCTGAAGTCTTGGCGCCAAAATAGAGGCTTTTCAGGGGGAAATTCGATTCTCCTGAGGGGACTGACTCTCTGGAAACTTTTGTGTAAAAATTCTTTCAGTACGGCTGTCTTTCAGCTGGCCTCTCCGGATAGAGGGGGGGTGTTGCCGTCTTTACTCCTGCAATGCGCAGTGAACCGCGCTGTCGAAGACTTGGAGCACTTTATTGATCCCATGCCCACGCGTCGTTACGACGGACGGTTTAGCTAGCTGTCAAAGTCCCTTTCTCGAGAGTCGACGCCTTGGTCAGATCCAAGATTGCTTTTCACCAAATTTTTTATTTTTTTTGAATATTTTTCTTGCATGTCTTTCGTTGGTTCGAAAGGGTCCAGCAAAAAACCCCGGCAAATGCAGGCCGAGGCGGGAAAGAAGCTGCTAACGTGGCTAGAGGTGTACCATTTGACAAAGTCGATGTGATAGTAATAATCCAGACCGAATAGTCACAGGAAGCGGGACCAGGCTGCGAGAGGAGCGCGAACCCAACTCATGTGGGCAACCGCATTATCAATGTAACGAACTCGTCCTTGCCTGCAGCAGCCAGCAATAACTTTGCTTCTATCCGCCTGTCTGTGGCAACGCTAGTTAATATATCTCCCGAGATGAAGACATTTCCGTATAATTATGTTGCGGTTGCTAAAATGGATACCCTCGGGAAGGGCAATGGTCCAGCAGCCTTTGGCGCAAAGAAAGAAAGCAAAAAGGACAGACTAGTGAATAAGGGTCTGCCACTTTTCGAAGTTTCTGGCGGTGTTTTCGTTGCCGGTCCCAGCGTTGCTAGATGCCGCGAGCCGCCTGGTCCCGACCTTTTGACGGAGTCCGACGTGGGACCAGCTAAGGTCTGGAAGGACGAAGGCTGCTCTGGTCCCTGGAAAATCCAGGACTGCAACCCTTGCAATCTTTCACGATGTCCTAAACAACTGTACGGCAACCCAAATCTAGCTGAAAACTATGAGTTCGTGAGGTTGACGATATGGGGCGGTGCAAGGATTCGATTGGACAGTTCTGGGGCGGAGATATCGTGAACCGGGAAAATTGCATGCGGGATAGCAATAGTCGAAGACGGGATCTGCGCAGGCTCAGGGGTTGGCTAGATAGGCATTACAAACACGCCGAAAGCTGAAGTTGATGCAGGCAGCAGAAGGCCTGGTAGGTTCGCTACGCGAAGAGAGTGCAATTGCCACCTCCACCGTCAATTCGATAGAGATACTGAGCGGAAGGCTAAAGCCAACAGTTGTTGAGTAGGCTTTGCTCACGACGGGAGTTGAGACAGTCAGACAGAGACTGCCAATTCGTACAATCGCTGGGCTAAGAGTCTTGTCGTCCATTGTCAAGCAACCCACAGTGGACGCTGGCAGCAAGGCCGTTCTGGGGCAGAGTCGATCTAGAAAAGAGCCCAGAGACTTGGCTCATTTGGGGCAGAATGCCGACACTTACGTTTTTCGTTTCCTTTCAGCAAATTCAGCGTCATGGAGCCTTTCTTGTGTGCTCGTCAAAGTCGCTCGCGTCTTTGTTGGGATTTGCCGCACCCATTGTTCGACTTGTTCGGACTGCTCAGGCCTCTAGCGCAGAGTATGGCCGGGATGGCGAAAGGACTGCATACATACTCGGTAAACCGAAGTCGAAAGATGAAGCGATGATACCCAAGTGGATTTGAAGCAGCTGCGTCTTGGGAAAGACCGAAAAAACGCCACGGTCGGGATGAATGGGAATCGGCGCGACCAGAGGTTGGGAAGTTGAGAACTTCAGACCAATATTCTCCATTGTGTATGTAGCATTGCAGCACAAACGTAGCTGAAAGTCGAGGTTTGGACGTATCATAGTCGAGCCTGGTGCCTAGAAAAGCAAGATAGTCGTATGCAGCCACATGGTATCTGCAGCGTTGCAATGGGTGTTGCGGGCGAAAGCTTCTGGATGTTTGATTGTCGTGACCCGAGGCGGAAAGGACCAGTAACACTGCTTACACGCCGGCCGCTTCCCGAAGAGCCCGATAGGCGGGCGGCGGATAGCCCTGGTATACGAATAAACCCCTTATATTGCATAGAGAATGGATCACGTCATTCAGCAGGATATCTTTAAGGGTAAAGAGTACGCAACTAGATAGCACAACGAGCTACACGCATAATGACATCTTTGTTTCTGCAAGGCACAGGCGGGAGGGAAGGTGCCGGTGGAAGGATGCCGATGCCGCCGAGCAACCAAGACACCACCAAGACACACCACTTTATCTAACCATATGCGGAAACGACATCTGCGATCTGCCGCTATCCATGACTGCGCTGCCTTGCAATGTGCATCGCCATCAACACCTTCGGCGTGTCAGCGTGCCAATGTGCCAACGTGCCTAGCTTTCCCGTCCCTCCTCCATCCTCTTTCACTCGGTTTCCTTCGTCTGCCTCTGCCCCTCTGCCGGCTTCCTTCCGCCACCACTGTACGACCAACACATCTATCGACGACGTACATGGGATGGGCCTGGTCTACACACCAACACTGTTTGTACGCCATACCACCCCTGGAAATCGGCAGGACCAGGCAATGTCACAGGTTCAGCAAGCCACTCTTGCCCACCTAATCTCTACCCATCTCATCACAATCATCCCATATTGACCATTCCGCCCGAACCTCGCCACTACTTGGGATGACGGCTGTTTCCCGTCTTACGCCCAAATTCCCCCTCCAGTCGTTCTGCAAGTTACCGTCATATGCATGGCTCTCGGACGAGACAACGACTGTGAGCATACCATTCCCGAAACATTGTTGCATGCCTTCGTGGAAAATACCGTATTGTTCCAAAAAGCAAGCAACAACGGGAAGCCAACTCCATTTGGGTTCACGAGGCAAAAATTCACCTCCACCCCGCCAGAGGTGTGCTTCAGGTTGGCCCCCGGGGCCCCGATACGTGATTTTTCACCACCGCTCACGACCTTCACCGTGGCTAGTGCCAATCGCAAAACTTTGAACGCCCACCAACTCCAGATGTACCCATAGACACCCATAAGACTGTTGTACGGATACTTGATCGAAAGACCAACTTCTCGTTCTAAAGCCGAAACACACAAACCCTCTGTGAGGACTCGGTCTGAAGATCGCTGTTATTATACGAGCGTCCCCCACCCGCGACGCAGAGACAACGGGAAGCCTAGAGAGTAGAGACACACTCGGCCCGGACAGCGTTTTGTCTCTCCCAACGTGGATATTTTCACAGTTCCTGGGCTGCTGGCCCAAGTGGTTGACGAATAAGGTTACCAAGACCTCGGAAGGTCCTGCCAGCTTGCCGTGACCAGGGGTCTGGGTAGAAAGTGGCTAGACGCCCAGAATCAGTCGTCCTGCAGCTTGCGGTATGCCAATTTTAGCGCCTACACCCAAGTTGGCTGGCGCAAGCCAAGCAAACGAGCGGAGGTTTTCAATGGTCCAAGACCTCTCGGGGGCTTGCTTTGCGGCAAGGCTAGGCCTGGTCAGGAAAGGACGAGAAAAAGTCCTTTTTTTCTCTCGGCTGTTGATATCAACTAGTTTTGCGCTTCTTTGCTTACACGACTTTCTGGGAAGCACAATCAGAGCCTCAGGAGACGGCCGATTTAGACTACGCTAAGTCAGGACGGCTCTAGTCGTTCCTGAGCTAGACTGCCCATCATCCGCCGTTCTTCTGTTTCTAACCTTTTGGTTTGCTAGTATGCTGTTGATCACCAACAGCGCTGAAATTTTCTCTGGCCGGCTTCTATTAACATGTCTCCGGCCTGGGCGACTGCCTTGATCAAGCTTGTCGTTGCCGGTGTCTAATCCCAGGCAGATTCTTTGGCCTGACGAGAACTCTTTGGCGATCTTCCCGCGTCGTTCCGCTGGCCCAGTGGCCCGTAACCAGCTCGCTTATTCCAGATCAGTATCATCATCATGATACGGAGTACTCGACCACGTCGACTAAGGCGACACCGATGAGCTAGCATGCCTTTGCCTTCACAGGGGTGTTTATGGCTGTTTCTCAGTCTAACGGCTTGGCCATGCAACGCTTGGGGAGGCATCGCTCGTGCGATAAGGCCTCGACGCTCCTTTGTCGCCTCCATCCACGCTACCCCCTCACGATGGGGAAAAGCTTCTCTCCTTCTTTGTACCTGACTACCGGCTTTCCACCCAACGCACGGGTGGCGCCAGTTCTCTAAGCACCAGAGTCAGGAATCATGCCGCTTTTCACCAGTCCCATCTCAGCTAGGAGTCCGTCTTGAACGGACGACTTAGGCGTGTGGAACCCAGGTTTGCGTGCGTGGTCGACCGGCGAGTGCTGGCGAGGCCAACCGTTGTTTGTCCCCCCCTCCTCGATACGATCCTTGACTGACGCCTTTCATTGCCGCATTGGAGGCGTCCATGGCCGCTCATATCGTTTTTGGCGTACTCAGCTAGACCAGACAATATTGCTCTCAGCTCCCGGTGCCCCCGTCTATGCAGCTTGGCTAGACCTTTGTCCCCAGGATAGATGCCTTCCGCGCTTGCAGAGTCTCTACTATGGTCCCGTCTCACATATCTTAAACCGATTCCCCATCCCCCTGAACTACTAGTTACCCTGAACAACAATCACTCTCTTCGCTTACACTCACTTATCCTGTTCTTTCTTCACCTCAAGGTAGGAAGTGGTTTGAGCAGTCTGTGGTTCGTTCGTTTCACAGTCTCCACAAGATGAAGGCTTTCAAGACCTACTTCGCGCCCGACCAGGCGTCGGGCCAACCCGCTCCCGAATCGTCGAAGTCGAATACACTGCAACCGCTTGCACCCCAGCCGAAGCCGCAGGCGGCCCAGAGACCAGCTCCTTACCGGGCACAAAGCGCCAGAACATCCGCTCGACAGTCGACAGTGAGCTTGGCACTCACTGCTGGTATGAGGGACAAGCATGCCAGCAGCATCATCGATCTCAGGGCAGACGTCACTGTACACAGTATCTATCAGGATCAGCTCAGAAAGATGTATGCTTCGGCATGGAACCTGGGGGAGGGTGTTGTTCTTAAGAAGGGCCGTAACGATTATGTCTGCGCTCCTCCTCAGCTATCTACGGTACCAAATGGGTTCTTCGATATGGCGACCCAGCTCAACGTCAGCGTAAGTACTCGAAGAGTATCAGAATAATAGCAAATTCTGACCACCTTCTTAGTGTGCCATGACGGTCAACACACCTTTCATTCAGTCCATCATTCACGGAATCCTGAACCGCGGCGAACTCTTGACCTCCATTCCTCTTGCCGGGGGCTTGCAGCTTCAGGTCCTCCAGAGGATGACCGATCTGCCCAGGTGTCAGAAGCATCACTTTGCAGCCTTTATTCTCGACCCTCCTGTTCTCACCGTCTGGGATGACGATGCCAATAAACTTCAAGCCCGCGCAGAGAGCCTGGAGCACATGATTATCTCATACATCTGGCGCAACGAGGGAGGCGAGGCCGAGGAGAGTGACGAGAAGAACGAGAAGCAGCCCGACATTAACGTCGAGGAACTCTCGCCTGCTGCGCTTGAAGAGGCCCTCAAGGCTGAGGTACGGCCAGTCCGATTGACCAGTTGCATAATGGTTTCGTTGGGACTTTGCTTGTCTGTGGTATGTCTGGGACTCGGTTACCGGAACTTGGCCCTACAGTCCACCGTTGACGGCAGCTACGTGCGTTGGGCGCTCGTGGCGGTTACCCCAATCACGCTTTTCATCAGTCTTGTGAGTATTGTGAATCTTGAGTGTCTTGTTGCCACCAACTAACGCACCGTAAGTTCTTCTTCCTGTCTATTGCCGGAAACGTCTTCCAGATTTTCGGTCCCATCTCGTCGGTTCACGCAAACTCCAAGAACTACTCTGGTAAGGCGCCGCGCCGCCTGAGCCCTTATCGAGGCGAACTACCTCATGTTACCATCCAGATGCCTGTCTACAAGGAGGGTCTGAACGCTGTCATCAAGCCCACGGTTCTTTCTCTCAAGACTGCCATCTCCACCTATGAGATGCAGGGCGGTTCCGCTAGCATCTTTGTCAACGACGACGGCATGCAGCTCATCAGTGAGGATGAAGCCTCAGCACGTAGGGAATTCTACGAGGAGCACAACATGGGATGGGTTGCTCGCCCTGGCCACAACCCTAAGCCTGCGGACCCCAGCGTGCAGCCTTTCATCCGCAGAGGCAGATTCAAGAAGGCCTCCAACATGAACTACGCCTTGATGACTAGTAACAAGGTTGAGGAGAAGCTCAAGCACATCAACCGCGGAAGCAGATGGAGTCAGGACAGTGAAGATCAAGCCTACGAGCAAGCTCTTGCCGAGGTTCTCGACGAGTCTGAGGGCCGAACCTGGGCTGAGGGCAACATCCGCATGGGTGACTACATTCTTCTTATCGACTCTGATACCCGTGTTCCGCGTGACTGCTTTTTGGATGCCGTCAGCGAGATGGAGGCCTCCCCCGAGGTTGCCATCATTCAGTACACTTCCGGTGTCATGCGGGTTTCCGACTCATTCTTCGAGAAGGCGTAAGTACGATCGAGCCGTCATTCCATACACACCAGCTAACTCCTTTCACAGTGTCACGTGGTTCACGCAGATGATTTACACCATCATCACCTTCGCCGTCGCCAATGGCGACATCTCCCCCTTCGTCGGTCACAACGCTATCCTCCGCTGGTCTGCTCTCCAAGATGCTGCTTCCTATATGGAGGATGGCTACGAGAAGTTCTGGTCCGAGTCTCACGTCTCTGAGGATTTCGATATGGCTTTGCGTCTTCAGACCTCGGGTTACACTATCCGCTACGGTGCTTACACCGGCGATGGCTTCCAAGAGGGTGTCTCGCTCACTGTCTACGACGAGTTGGCCCGCTGGGAGAAATATGCTTACGGATGTAACGAGCTGCTGTTTCACCCCTTCCGTTTCTGGATCACTCGTGGCCCCTTCACGCCCCTCTTCAGGCGCTTCATCTGCTCCAATATTGCCTTCTACAGAAAGGTTACGATTCTGTCCTACATCGGCACTTACTACGCTATTGGAGCATCTTGGATTCTTACTCTTATGAACTACTTCCTCACGGGATGGTTTTGGGGCTACTACGACAAGTACTACCTCGATTCGTTCGCTATCTTCTTGTCCATCATGGTCGTTTTTCCGCTCACTGGCAACATCGCCTTGGCTGTGCTCAGGTACAGACTGGGCCAGAAGTCCCTCCTCGGAGCCCGTAAGTTTCCCTCTTGTTTTCTGGACAGACGCCAGACAGCTAACCTTTGAAACGTAGTCTGGGATAACTTCAAGTGGATGCCCATCTTCACCATCTTTCTCGGCGGAATCTCGCTCCACGTGTCCAAGGCTTTGCTTTGCCACTTCTTCGAGATTGATATCCAGTGGGGCGCCACCTCCAAGGAAGTCGAGAATTGCAACTTCATGGAGGAAATTCCCAAGATCATCAAGAGCTTCGCGGGCACGTTTGTCTTCACAGCACTTGGGATCGCCCTCATCGTCTGTGGATACTACGTCTTCCCCCAACAGTGGCAGATTCGCTGGCTATCGACAATCTTCCCTGTGGGGATGTCCATCGCTTCGCACTTTTGCCTCCCGGTACTCCTCAACCCGGCTTTGATGAAGTTCACCTTCTAAATCAGCACACCTTACGCGACCATTTAATGAACATATTTTCTAGACATGGGATCTATAGACGGAGTTTATTTTTGGCAGACGGGATCCTTCCTCCATGGAGGTACAGACTGTTGGCAGCATTTTTGATGGGTCTTTTACTCACTTTTTTTTCATTCCATCTGGCCTTGATGATGACGAGCATCGTCATGGATACAGCATGATTTAATGTTTTCAATCTCTATATATATACCAGGCATATCCACAGATATCCAATCAAAGAAGATAATCAAAAGCGTCCCATTTGAGAACACTGCTAGCGACTTGAAGTCCCACATCATACCCCAAGAGTTCAGTCACTTGGCATCTGGCTACTGGCTTGGTGAACTTTGCAAATACAGAATCGCAGAGGCGGGCCAACTACGCCTCGGTCAGAAATCCCAACTGTACAAGCCTCCCGTGAGAGAGACGCACTCATGGCTCAGAACCATCTTTTGGAATCCGCCTCCAAGGGGCTGCCTGGTACGGCTCAATAGACCAGCCGATACTGCTGGTCATAATGATCTCAAGGTCGAAATGGAGCAATCACTTACGCGATCCCTCGATTTTCTCTGGACCTCATGAGAAGATACCTGATCTGGCAGTAGATGAAATTTTGCAGTACTGCTAGACAGCGAGCCTTCGCAAATTCAAATCGTGAAGAGCTCTGAGCCAAAACCAACGTCTAACTGTGCATTCTTCTCCTCAAAGTAAAAAGATCAAAATTGCCCATGACCAATAATCACAGTAAAACGCCGTGTGAAAAATGCCCCAACCGTTCTTCAAGCTCTCTCTTTTTTGGTGAACCCAAAACGCCGTTCCAAATGTGCCAAACATGAAAACCCAGAGGGTGTTGAGAGCAGCAGCACCGCCACCACCACAGCCATTACCTCCTATGACACCTCCCGCCCCTCCTCTCCAATTCTCTTACAGCCAGACAGACCCATCTAACTGTTCGTCGCAAAGAGGGTATCTTCGTCGCGCAAGTATTCGCCGGCGTCGGATTGCCTGAAGCAAACAACACCAGTGGGATCGAGACGGCGCGCCTCGGCCGTGGAGCGGGCGGTGACGCCGAAGCCGAGGGGCTTGTCGTCCATGGCGTAGACGATGACTCCTTGGTGCTCGGGGCAGTCGTCGGACCAGCGGCCGACGTGGGCCTTGACGATGTTGCCGCCGTACAGGAAGGGCATCTCTCCGTTGGGCTGAAGATTTCCCGGTCAGCATATTTGTTCCACTATGCATGCTTGAACTCGAACGAATGGGTCCCCGTTTGACATACCTTGACCCAAATCTTGTATCTTGCGTGCTCGCCGAGGACCGGGAGGGCGGTGATGTGCAGGCGGAACTTGCCAGTCTTTGTGAACTTTCCTATATTGCGCAACAAGAAGTGGTAATTAGTCCATGTGTACGCAGAGAGTTGACGAGAGGTTGGGTTGGCTTTGCGCGCAAGGAACATACCGAGGCAGATGCCGATGCTGAGGAGCTTATCGCGAGCGATGCTGGTCGCCAGGTTCGCAACGGAGAGGCGCACGTAGTAGACACGGTCGCGAATCATGCGGAAGACGTAACGATCGGGCTCGGGGCCGTTGTTGAGCGGGGCGATGAGGTTCTTCAGCGAGCTGCCCATGTAGCTGGCCAGCTTGTTGAAGAGGGTCTCGGTCTCTTTTTCTGTGAGGGGACGCATTTTGGGATCTCTGGTTTTGTTTGACGTCGAATGTGTTCGGTTCGGTGTCTGCAGACTTGTGTTGAGGACTCGTTGAGCTTTCCTTGGACGAAAACTTTCAAAGTCGAATGTGCCGTTACCGAAAGGTGGGATGCCAGCTGCATCGCGATGCGAAAAAGGTTGGAGTAGCGGCAGAAACCCAAAAAATTTCGGGCGGTCTGAGGGTGTTCCGGGGTTTCCATTGGCTCAATGGCCAAAACCTCCACTAAAAAGTTCTCGATGGTCCCTCTTCCCGCTGTTGGCGGTCCCAGGGTCCCCCATTCAATCCCACCGTGCATCGAGAAATCTTCCATTCAGCGAGGACGAGAACATCTTAAAGACCAACGAAGCCAGAAACCACCGCCTAAACTTTCTTCAAAGTTCCTCTCCCTGCCGATTGGCCTTTCAGACAAACCATCATTCACAATGTCCTCCAGAGCTTCAAAACGTCGTAGGCTCACGCCGCCGCCCGAAGACGAGAATGACCACACCAGCAAGTCGTCCAAGAAGATCCAAAAGTCTTTCTTCAAGAACGCCGCCAGCTGGAACCTGGAGCAGGACTACGAGAACCGCCCGCGAAAGGGAAAGAAGGATAAGAAGGAAAGCACCCGCCTGCCCATCAAGACGGCCGACGGCCGCCTCGAGCAGTACCGGTCTCTGCAAGGCGACGACAACAACGACGATGCCGACTCGGTCGGGAGCGACGGCGAGTGGCTCGAGGGCCGCGAGGACGAGGAGGCCACTGCCGAGGCGGGCGCCGAAAGGCTGCGTCAGGACCGCAGGAAAGAAGAGGAGGAGTCGGACCTGCCTGAGTCCGTCCAGATCCACCAGGCCAAGGAAGAGCTCGCCAAGATCGCAATGGCACTGAACGAGGATCCGGAGGAGAACGTCGCGGCCTTCAAGGCCATTGCAAAGATTGGACAGTCGCGTATCCCGGCCATCCAGAAGCTCACGCTGGCCACCCAGCTTGCCGTCTACAAGGACGTTATCCCGGGCTACCGCATCCGGCCCGTCGCCGAAGACGCCCCTGTAGAGAAGCTCTCCAAGGAGGTCCGGAAGCTGCGCGCTTTTGAGCAGGCCCTCGTTTCCGGTTACCAGGGTTACGTGAAGGAGCTCGCGAAGTGGGCAAAGGCCGATATACCGACCACGCGGAAAACGGGTCAGAGCATCTCGAGCGTCGCCATCTCGTGCGCCTGCACGCTCGTCAACGCCGTCCCGCACTTCAACTTCCGCAACGACCTCCTCAAGATTATCGTCAGCAAGCTCTCCAAGCGCAAGATCGACGCCGACTTTCACAAGTGCCGTCGCGCGCTCGAGACGCTCTTTGTCGACGACGAGGAGGGCCGCCCTTCCATGGAAGCCGCCTCCCTGCTCACCAAGATGATGAAGGCCCGCAACTTTGCCGTCGACGAGACCGTGCTCAACCTCTTCCTCCACCTGCGCCTGCTCTCCGAGTTCGCGGGTAAAGCCTCGCAGGACCGCGTCGACCGCGAGCGCGACCCGAGTGCCCCGCCACCGCAGTCGCGCAAGAACTTCAAAAAGGAGTTCCGCACCAAGAAGGAGCGCAAGATGCTCAAAGAGCAGAGGGCCATCCAGAAGGACATGGAACAGGCCGACGCCCTCGTCAGCCACGAGGAGCGCGAGCGCATGCAGTCTGAGACGCTGAAGCTCGTCTTCGTCTCCTACTTCCGCATTCTCAAGATGCGCGTGCCGTGGCTCATGGGCGCCGTGCTCGAGGGCCTGGCCAAGTACGCCCACCTCATCAACCAGGACTTCTTTGGCGATCTTCTCGAAGCTCTCAAAGATCTCATTCGCCACGCCCAAGAGGACGCGGAAGGCAACAACCGCGATGACGACGATGAAGAGAACCAAGACGAAGAAGAAGAAGACGACGACGGCCTCGGCGGCGCATCCCGCAACACGAGCCGCGAAGCCCTCCTCTGCACAGTCACAGCCTTTGCCCTCCTCGCAGGCCAGGACGCCCACAACTCCCGCTCCGCACTGCACCTCGACCTCTCTCACTTCGTTACCCACCTCTTCACCTCCCTCCCCTCCCTCTCCCTGAACCCGGACCTCGAACTCACCTCCAAATCCCTCCACATCCGCCCCGCCCAGGCCGCCGCCACACGCGACAACCGCGTCAATCTGCAGACCACCACCGTCCTCCTCCTGCGCTGCCTCACGGCCGTTCTCCTGCCAGCCTACCAGATCCGCTCCGTCCCGCCCCTGCGCCTCGCGGCGTTTAGCAAGCAAATCATGTCCGCGGCGCTGCACATGCCCGACAAGTCGGCACAGGCGGCGCTGGCGCTCATGCAGGACGTCGGACACACCCACGGCAAGAAGATTGCCGCGCTGTGGTGCACCGAGGAGCGCAAGGGCGACGGCAACTACAATGCCCTCAGCGATAGTGTCGAGGGCAGCAACCCGTTTGCCACGACGGTGTGGGAGGGCGAGCTGCTGCGGAGGCATTTTTCGCCAAAGGTTAGGGAGGGTGTCAAGTTATTAGAGAAGGAGATTAATAGCGCATGATGATGAGGATGAAGGGCGATCGAGGTTGAGTCGAATAAATTATAAAAGGAGTTGGGAAAGAATGGGAAAAAGTGAAAAGGGGTTACCTTTTTTTGGGTGTTGCGGGCTTTGGCATTTAGAGACCTCGTACATATTATATACACTGCCCATGACCAAAGAAGCTATCTTCGGACTCAATCAAGATACCTACTTTAGCAGTGCTGATATGTCCCATGTTGTATCGAGCTTTGGCATTCATAAGAGTTTTGAGAAACTGTAGGTTGACTTTCTACCTAAACTGTCTGTGAGGTATCGTTCCTGAGCAAAGTGACCTGAGCAGCGGACAATCTAATACCTCTAGAAGCAAGATAGTGCATCTGTACGAGATATCTCGTTCTGCCCCCCCAAGTCGAGAGACCCCCACAGCCAATATCAAAGTCAACCATTATTCATCATGTCAACTCTCTCTGTCTCGTCGAACCCCCGCCATTTCCTCACGCCGATGCTGAGTGGCATCCTCGTTACCCCTTCTCCATAGCTACTCAAGGTTTTGCCAGCATAGGGCAGCATTAAAGAGTGCTGAAAGAGATCAGGTACGTTGTTTTAACTTCCACAATCTGAGGACATGGCTGCAAAAGTTCGCCTATGCTTATCGAGTCCGGTTCGTGTCAGCACTGTGGCCCCTCGAAGGTTTTCAAGTCATTGCCCAATCATATAGGCGCGATAAATCAAGCATTCTAGGCTTGTTGACGGTCATGAATTCATCTCGAGAACGAGTTAGGCCCACATCGAGTCGTTGATGCCTCTGCGGCGGATAGTCGGCTGTGGGACTGGGGCACCAGCCAAAGGAGGACCGGACGAATTGTGCGAAGGGCCAGCCAAGTTGTTCTGAGGACCGTACGAGTTGATCTTCCGAACAGGCACGCTGATCGAGGGACCGGATAAGCCGTTCGAATCCTTCCATCGGATGGCCTGGAGATGATCGTCGGGGTCATCCACAACGGCAGGGCTGGCGCCAAAGTGAAGGGGGAATTTGGCAGCTGCCCGAAGCAGCTTGGGGCAGTCCAGGTTCGAGTGCTCGTGGAGGACAACGTTAACGGCGAACTTATCCTTCACTGCATCCGATGCAGCTTGCATGCGAACGAGGTCATGGTCACCATCAGAATCCGTGTTGCAGCAAGAAGCCGCCAAGCCAATAATAGGGTGGCTTCTCTTCGGGCAGTTGCAGTCGGATCCCTCAGTCAGCGGCTCCGCTGCCTTCTCCTCGTTGGTAGTTTCCTGTCTCTGAATAACGTTTTCAGTGTTGTTAATGCTTCCAGAGTGATGATCGGTGATGGACACAACGCCGGGCTTATTTTTGGATACCTGAGCCTTCCGAGCGTGAAACGCATCAAATCCAGGAAGCTCCAGACCGCGGTTGAGTTGCGCCAGAGCCCATTCGACAGTGCCAAACTTTGGCTCTGGTTCAACAGCAGAGGCCTCAGTCTTCGCGGCGGAGGTTTCAGCATCTTGCTCGATGTCAACTCTCTCAAGAATACGAGAAGCCTGTCCATTGTAGTTAGACTGCGACTGTGTGGCCGATTCAACGTCTTCGACAAGAAGAGCGGAAGCTCGGGCGTTCAAGTTGGAGTCGTTCTGCTCCTTGATGACCTTTGCATCGTAAGCGACCCGCAGGCTCTTTCCCAAGCCACTGGGCTTCGAATGGACGGTCGTCTCAGGATTGGCATCAACATCTTGCTTCAGAGAAGGCGGCAGAGCGATAGACTGAGGAATAGCTTTGACATTTCCGACAGTGGCGACTCTCGATGTCTCGGGGCCATCCATCTTGGTGAGAAGTACCGTTGAAGAGGAATGGCTGATCGGAGTCTCCTTGGGGGGAGCGGCAACCGGGTTAGGCGCGGGCGTGAGCCAGCTGGCGAGATCCTTATCGATTCCTTTCGGAGCGGTAGAGCGAGCAGGAATCGTTTTCGCGGGCATCGCAGGTATCTTTGACATCGTGGTCATTGTGGACGCAGCGAGCGTCGCAGGCGTCGCGGGGCTAGCCTGAGGAGTGTTCGAGCCTGCCAACCAACCTGCAAGAGCGGGATTCACGCGAGTGACGGCGGAAGGTTGAACCTTAGCTCGGTTCACCTCAGCCTGCGTGAAGATAGAACGCGAGGAGGCGAGCGTGGGACGGTCTGCGAGGATTAGCAAATTGCACGATAGATTCCCAAGAAGTCAACTCACTCATTTGAAGCGGATGAGCATCATAACGAGTAGAGATGGCTGCTCTTCCGACGCCGCCCGGCCGGCTGCTACTGCCGCCATTGTTCATGCCTCCGCGGCCACCGCCACCGCTTCCCTTGGCTTTCCTGAACTCCGAGGCAAGAAGTCTTGCTGCTGCCATCTGTTCAGCCTGCTTCTTGGGGTCCATGTTGGCAAGAATGTTGGCGGCACGCTCTCTTTAGACTTGCGAGGTTGATATTCCGGAACCTTTTCTGATAAATGTCTAGTGATTTGATTAGTATTGAACTCTTCCTTGGAACTGGTCATAGCCTGAAATATCTGTCGGCCAATTATGCAGAAGCATTCCAAAAATGTGGAAGATGTAGAAAGCGTCGAAGTTGAGGCTTTGGCATCCTGTCCCATAAGCGGACAATGCATAGAGATCGACAGAAGAGCAGAGGCGCTAGAAAATCCAAGCTCATAATCTTTGTGAAGATGCCTTCAGAAAGAAGTGCCCCAATCCAGTATATGAATCCCTGCAAGGAGCAAGGGGAAAAATGTGTAGTACTAACCTTACTTATGTAGACTGCCTTTCTCAATTGCTGGAAGGAGAAAGCCTGTCTGTCGGTGTTCTGCTACCTGCAGCCAGCGTCAACGTAGAGTATGGCTGGAGACGGCGCCCAAGGTGGGAAACCGAGTATAACTGGATAGGAATCTGGACAGGTAAAACTGGCGTGAGCGCTGAATAGGCAGACTGGGTCAAGTGGGAAGACACCAGACTGGCTCGTCATGAGATGTAGAGAAGGAACCTTACCCAGTGGTTAACGAAGGAAGGAAAGCGTATCTTTCCACCCTTGGAATAATGAGAAGGTAGGGTTGCTGAAGCAGGTGGTCTTCGAGAAAGGTAGGAGCTTGGGACAAAATCAAGGAGTCAAAAGGCAAGCACAGGTGGGTTGCTCTGGAGACTTATGACACAGGAAAAAAACGGTAGAGTAAACAAAATGGATTCACCCCAGCTCGAGGTAAAGACGAAAATGGGACGGAATGAGTATTTAGGACGGTAGGTAGGGACCGCAGGTACATGAGACGGAGGGAGTAGTTGGGGCGATGGAAGAATCATCACGAGATGACTTTGAAGGATGCTACTTCCCCTCTGTCATGAGGCCGTTGATTCACGCATGGAGGCTTGGCTAACTACCAGGCGTGAAGGTCAAGAACATGGCTGCGGGAGAAACAATAAAAGAAAGAAACCATGAAGCTTTTTGTTGGATGTCCACTTACCTGGCACTCGTCAGCTGAGTTTCATGTTGAAGAAGAAGAATCCACCTGGTAGAGGTATCTAGCGGGAGGGACATTTCAATTCTGAAGTACATGTACAAGACAGTCCCCTCTCACATTTGTGAGGGCTGTTCTGCCTCTTCAATGCCAAGGGTGTAGTGGGGGAAGCACATAACTGACAGACGGTCCCCCCTTTTAGCCAGAATATCCAGTGTATGCATACCTTCAAGTAAAAGCCGATTCAGCGTGGCAAAACATGGCAACATCTCGGAATTCACATTGGCAGGTGTAGGCAGGTTGGGGGTATCTCATCTCCATCTCTATTTCTCTGCAAGAATGCTCTCAAGTCGAGCTGAAAATCGGCGTTTCCAACACCTCACGCCTTGCCGCTCTTCTTGGCCGGTAACATCTTTTCTTCCACTCTCAGCTGTGTAGAACGGTAGACAGCATCTTTCACCTCGTCCAACCAAGCGACGCTGACAGGCGAGACGTGTTTCTGGACGTAGTCGACCAGCGCCTTCGACATTGGGGCACCGACCCGGATTCCAATCGACGAGACCCTCGGGATACCGACGGCAGCGCTGAGTCTCTCGGCACATGGCTTGGAGTATCCTACCAGTCTTGTCGCGGGCGCAGGTGCAGTGGCATTGGAAGCAACGGCGACCATCTGGGGGAGTTGACAATTGAAGGCCGATGACTGGCCGGAGCGGGCCACGAAAATGAGGGCGTATGGGGCAGGGGGGACTGCCGCAGCGTTGGCTCCTTCGTCGTCCTTTTCTGAGCCTTGCTGTGTCGATGCCAGTCTTTCGAGGTTGCGAGTGATGCTTGCCAACCCAACATCGACGAAAGAGGCGATTTCTGGCAGTGGTGGACGTTCGGCTTTCTCAGGTTCCTTGCCGGCAGCTGCCTCTTCCTTTCTCTTCCGTTTGGCGGCCCGTTTACCTTCTGAAGGCTGAATGTGCCGTTGGCGGTGTTGGCCCAGGGGCATCAATAAACTACATGTCTGGTTAGTTTGACTCCACCGTAGACGCGTGCTAGTAGACCGAGCATTAACCGGCTTGGGAACGTAAAATATACCTGCAGAGTAGTTCCAAAATGGCATCTTGATCTTCAAAGATGACTTCAGGCCTATGATATGTGAGCAATGCGAGTACTTGAACAGATCCGTCAAAGGCTATCCAACCATTGTACTGTTGAGAATGGCGTGTCAACCGAATACACCAACTTCTTTCGCAATTGATTTGCCATTTCTGTGTCTTGTGTGGCGTGAGTGAACGTCACTATTGATCTTCTCAAATGTAAGTCAAGGACTCGAGCCAATCGCGACCTAAGAACTGTGCTCCAGAAGGTGAGTTGCCAGATGAAGGAGGCGAATGGAGACGATTGATGGTGGCCCAGGAAGAATCTCGGTTGCAATTGAGAGACGTTGGATTTGATGGTCCACTTGAAGTAGTTCAGGGGCTGGCAAACCAAGACTTGGAAGTTGGAGTTGGGTGGCTGGTGCTCGAGATGCTCAAATCTTGAATGTGTATTAGCCCGTAAGGCCTGGTCGATGCTTATGGAAGACAGCGAATAATCGAGAGAAACTCGGCATTACAGCTTCAGTCACGATAATGATAGCAGCACGTACTTGGCAGCTGGGGACCAAGATACACAGCTGAAAGGGTCGATGCCAGCACTTGTGAGTCGTTGCCCAAAGAAAAGAAATAAAGACAAAAATAAAACTCGTCAGTCGGAAACAGCAGTGGGACTAATTGGCCTTAGCGGCCGATGGACAGATAAGCGAGGTGGCACTAGCGCCACATGGGATCATCAGAGGGGAAGGAAACAGATGAACGGGCATCGAAAGCTTCAACTTTGAAGTTGGAGGGTGATGATGAGTCGGGTAAGTAGCTTGGCGGACGGCTGGCAAGTGGTGATACAGATCGTTTTCTTGACTCGGGGGCCTTCGAACACCCTTTTTGAGCTCTCTGGGGCAACTGGTCCCAATGATGTCTATGCGGCAGTCGGCTGAACGTCGACGTTGGGGTTGTTGAGGCGAGTTTACATGGACATGGGCCGCTAGGAGGCTAGGTACTCCGTACCGGCCCCGCATGAGCTCCAAGCCCCTCGGGGAGCACGGACAGACAGCTGCGAGTGGAAGAGCCAGGACGCGCAAGGGTCGCCGAGAGGCCGAATGCTACGTTGGGTTGTGACCAAAGTGACGGAAGTTTTCCATGTGTTATCTGGTCGATTCTAATACGAGACTGGACTGTAAGACAGAGCATACCAGACGGCTCGAATCTGGCATCGCTCCGGGCCGGGTCGGAGGATTACGCTGCTTGCCATGGGACGGGAGCACCCAAGGTCGCCGAGGCAAGGTAATAGCAAGCTGGGAACCCGGCTGATGTCGTAGAGATACCCGCACGTATGGGATTAGACCAGAACATGGAGGAGCATACCTAGCTTTGGGTTGCTGCCTGCTATGAGCAGCCCGTGAACCAAGCTGCCCATTCAGGGTCACCTCTCACCCAAAGAAGTATCTTATTCTCTGTCGAGAATTAGGAACTTCTGCCTCGTGCTTTTCTAGTGACGTCGGTATTGAAGACGTTGCAGCTTGAGCCTTCGTCTGGGAAACTTGACAATGTCAAGTAAGATGGATTTGCTAACTTTGGTCAGTTGATGCTAGAGAGTGATATTGCTAATCCTCGGCCAATCCTTTGGTGCAGTTCCAGGGCTCAGGCCTAAGTTGGGGATACGAGCACAATCGCCTAAAAGTCGCATTTGGACGCTGGTATTTCCTTGGCAAGATGCCCCACTGTCAACGTTCTTTCCATCAGGCCAGGTACCTGGATGCATTGATCAATGGCAATGCCTCGTCTTTTCTGTCTTGCGTTGCTCCAGAGCATAGGTATTCCTTCCTTAAACTGGATGCATTTCGTGAATGAAAGATCGAGCCCTCTCCCTACATTTAAGAAGAGACGAGGAAAGAAGTCTCTCAAACAGTTGACAGCTCCTTATTACGAGTATTTCATTCTAGTCCTGTCTGGTATTTGTGTACCTTGAGTCAGGTAGGTACGGACAATAGGTAATCTGCAAGTTGAAGCAAGGCAGCTCGCGCCAATCAGCCACAAACTGTGGACCAATTGTTGCATCGTCCCATTACCTAAGCAAAGCAAGCCGCTCCTCGTCTGGTGAGAGTACCTCAAGCATGTTAATGCTCTTTGAAGAAGAAGAAGAGACGGCTTTGACAGCTGAAATATTTCAATTCGAGACAAGATGATGGTAAAAAGGCTGCTTGATGTCGCCGTCACCTTGCGTCGCGAGAGCTTGACGTACAACTTGCAAGGTACCCAGTACCTCACTTCTGGAAGATCCCGTCACTTCTGGTCGTCTCCACTACCATCTCACTTTCGCATCTGGTGCCTCAGGTACCTTGGTACCTACCTTTACTGCTCCTTGAGCTTGAGCCACACCAAAGACATCGCATTGCACCAGCGACCCCACCCCGCACCTATCATCTCGAGGACCTTATCGTCCAAAAGCTTCTGCCAGCACCTCATCTTCAACTGTTCTGACCGGTGGGTGTTGTCCTAGGTAAGCCAGAGAAACCCAGAAAGGCAGCTATGCTTTTGGTCTGTCACGTAGGAGAAAAATTCTGTAAAGGCAGACAGGCATCCACCAATCTCCATCTAACACCTCGCTTCAGACTCCCTCATACCTTACCTAGAGCCAACCCAGCTCTTTTTCACCCACGGGCATCTTTCACCTACATTACCCATCGC